AAAATCCACGAACAGACCACCAAAGCACTGGAAAAAGCGGCAGAAACCATGAAAAAGCAGTACGACAAACACCAACGAGTGGCCGTAGAATACCAACCGGGAGACAAGGTTTGGTTGGACTCTACGAACCTACACCTTCCTCGACCAATGAAGAAGCTAGGTGACAAGCGCGTCGGACCATTCGAAGTACTATCCAAACATGGCGCCTCCGCATATAAACTGCGACTCCCCCTCTCCTGGAAGATTCATGACCGCTTTAACGAAAACCTCCTTACCCCTTATCACCCGCCAGAGTTCCCAATCCAAGTACAGCCTTTACCACCACCACCAGATCTCGTGGACGGACAGGAACAGTACGAAGTAGAGGAAATCGTAGACCGAAGAGAAAGAGCACGAGGACGAGGAAGAAGACGGGGCACGGGTATCAAATACCTAGTCAAGTGGAAGGGATACCCGAGGGAGGAAAACTCCTGGGTGGACGAACAAGACCTGGACAATGCCAGGGATGCAATAGAAGACTTCGAACAAGTCTCTTTCATCAGCCGACCACCCGCGGAATGGTGGGAAAATGAGGACGAATCCGACTCCTGGTCCGAACACGAATCCGTAACAGAGTCAGAAACCGACCACCCATTGGTACAGGCAATCCAAGAATACCTGATAAAACCAAACTCACCATCTCTGGTGGAAGCATATCTTCCAAGACCAAGTTATGAAGCAGTCGGGACGACTGCCTTAACAGGGGGGTAATATTACGATTTTATGCTTTATCTTATCTTATCGCTCTCATCGTAATCCTGCTATGCTAGTTTTCCGGACTTGATCGCATTCACCATGCAGGTATTGTGCGCTTAACGCACCGTTGCAGACACTTGTAGTATATTTAGCATGACCCAAACTGTATTTAAGTAGCTCGACTGCAGGTCCTAAACCTCAGTCTCGAACTAAAGTTTATTCACCCGATAACCTAGTCTGAACTCACTCTCGCTAAACTAAGCGGAAGCTCCCTGCACGCAAACCTGCGAGCAACATAAAGCGCCTGACCGAAGTGCGAGTCACGCTTAGTTGTTTGATCTTGTTTGTGTAATCGGTCGCTAACAGTGAGGGTTGGCATCCTCTCTCTTTTGGAATGGATATGCGCTGGAGCACTCACACATGACATGTGTGTCCTGGTGGCATGGCTCATGCTGTGTGAGGGTTGGCATTCCCTTGTTAGTCACACTTGGATATTGTGGCTTTATTGGTTCATGGAGCACGTGCTTCTGCTTGTGGCTATTCCTGATGCTCATTCTGAACTGCCTTTCTTCAGGTTGTTCGAGCACCTCCAGGTACCCAGGCAGCGGCCTTGGATTGAGTTAAGGCATATTGCTGCTCACCCATTATCTTCGAGCATAAAAGGTACATTGCCTCCTTGTGGAAAGGACATGTATTACCAAATCACTGCACACCATTTGGTATGACTAGTTTTGGTGGTATCCAAGGCAGCGTCGCTGACGCTTTTAATGATATTCTTAATGCAGCAGGTATACCCGGTGTCTTCAAGTGGGTCGATGACCATAACATACTTTGATATCCCACAGCTCAACGCACTCTTGAAAATGGTGACTCTCAGTATTCATACGATTTTGATCTTCAAACCATCCTGGATATTTCGTGACCTCTTGGCATATTGTGGCATGACGTCTCTGTCAAGGGACATGATTTTCAGTATGTTACACCTTATGTCAGCTTTATATGGGATATTGCAGAGAAAAGAGTATGTCTGCCTGAGAAGAAGCGGGAGAAGTATCTGAAGAAAGTGTCTGACTTCTTGCTCTGACGGCCCTCCACGGTGAGATATAAAGAAGCGAGCTCATTGCATGGCACTCTCCAACATGTGTGCTTCGTATGCAAAGCAGGGAAAGCTTACCTGCCTGCACTCTCCACTTTTGTAGCTCACTTCCCCAACAAGTGGGTGGCTCACCACCCTTCAAAGACCGTATGGACTGACCTCGAATGGTGGAAAGATTGCCTTTCCCTTTCCCAACCTCCTTTGAGCCAATCTCTCATGACAAGACAGCGCATAGATCTTGACATTTGGGTGGATGCATCTTATTGGGGCATTGGTCTTATTGTCAGGAATCAGTGGGTGGCATGGAAGTTCAAAGATGGCTGGCATGCCGATGGCTGAGATATAGGCTGGGCAGAATCCATTGCTGTTGAACTAGCTGCACTTCACACAATGTCATTCACTTCAGTCATCAACATGGATTTCCCCTTGAACAGCGACAACACAAGCATTATAGATACGCACAAAATTGGACGCTTGCATAATGTTCATAGGAATGCATCCCTTCACTGACTTTCACTCCTTCTAGCTCCCAGAAATTTAATGCTATCTCCTTCCTATGTTGAGTCTGCAGTTAATCTTGCAGATCCCATTTCTCATGGCGAACTTGGGCCTCAAGAACACAGACTTGATATCAATTTCCTCTTACCAGAGGAACTCGCACCTTGGCTTGACCATGTTTAAGATTCCTTTACCATGCAGATCTGCATGTGCAGATCCGGAGCCTGCAGGTTCTCTTCAGGTGCCTCCTGATGACACACTGCAACCTACAGGTTCTTCTTGCTGCTCTCAGCTTTCATACATTTCTTGTCAAGCCCGTTATTCTCATCATCATCATAACATATCTGTCCCATATCCAATGGATTCCTCTCCTTTGTCTAAACCTTGTCTGAGTCGATGACCTCGAGTTCATGCTACATCAAAGATCAAACTGTCCCATTTCCGCCCACTTGTTCTTGCAGATGAGTGAGTAATGACTTGGCGATCTCTGTATTCTGATGTCATGGATAAGAAGCTGTCGGCTTTGGTTCTTATGCATGTGCTGGAAAGATGGCGGTTAGTTATGGCTAATTCGGTGACTGAAGATGCCCAGAAAAATTATGGTGCTGGCTTGTTGAGATTCACTCAATTTTGCAACACTTATTCTGTGCCTGAATTGTTGCGTGTTCTGGTCAGTGAACCACTTTTGGCCTTATTCGTTTCAGAGATGGGTGCAGGCAAAGTTCAGTCATCCACCATTGATTCATGGTTATCAGGTCTGGCTTTATGGTGACTGTCATATATCATATCACAGGGCCTCCTAACTGATACAGATTGTAAAGGCATGATATCCAAGGAGCATACTGGTATGGTGGTAGAATTTTATCCCGCACAAAACAAGGTGCAGCAGCAATGGCACCACCGTCTACTAAACCCCCTTGCCTGCTGGTAGCTGAGAAGCATATTGCTTCTCTATGGTCTCACTTGGATATCAACAACCCCCTCGATGCTGCCATATGGGCTGTTGCCACTATCGCGTGGCATGGTTGTACCCATCTGGGAGAGCTTCTTCCTTCACAATGTTGTGACTGCAGCCTATTTATGTGTGTAATTTTGCAATCTAGAGTGTTTTACATGCATACTGAGAGATAGTGAGCAAGCAGACTAAAACTATGTGTCGACACTAATGCTACACAGTGCAATGATATGGAATATAACTTATGGCATAAGAAGCCACAGGATTCTAAACAGGACTTAGTCACAGCACTGTACCTGATAGGCATGCGTGATGAGAAGGCCAAACCCTATACCCAATGCCTTAGGCTCTAACTTACAAGCACACTCACGGGAGCTAGATAAAACCTTGAAGATTGCACTGACACTGAGAACATTTAGTGCGCTCGCTAACTGTGACGCGTCATACCTGAAAATCCAGGGAAATCCTTAAGCGAGATGGCAGATATCACTGGCATGAGCTTGGGTAATGGGCTTCGGCCGAAGTCCGTGAGCCCGCATTCCATTGTTCTGAGTCCCATTGTTCGAAGACTCACTTGTTGCCGTGTCTACGAGAAGCCTCTGTGAATCCAAGAAAGAAGTCCTGAACAACATATGCCAGAACTGATAGTTCCATGCACCTAGACCTGTCGGTCACTAGAGAACAAGCCCATGGGTGTCAGGAGAGCACCTCTTGGCACGTGTTTAGCGAGCTCACTATAGAAATGAGACTAAAACTGGGAAGTCTGACTCAGATGCTCAGTAAGGCAGCGGTGGCAACGTGCTATGCATGTAGGAGTCTGGGTACTGCACAACGTTTGTAATTCTAATTCCCCTGTAGTATAAGTAGGCTGGTTACAGTAGGTAGAGGGCAAGTTTCGAGCCCCCAAGTTCCTGTGCACGTGTTGAAGGCAGTACTGTAACAAAGGACCAGTTTGTGACTTCGAGCTGTGCATAGAATTAGCAAGCTCACTCAGAGAAATACAAGATACCCTTTTGATAAGACTTTTGAGAACTTAGTCAGAGTGAATACGAATCAGTGACGCTGTTTCTGTTCTGTTAAGTGTGATAAGTCTGTTCGGAGAATGTGTTGAAGAGGAAAAGCGAGATCTGTTCTGTTCTGTTCTGTCTGTTCTGTTCTGTTTCTGTTCAGTCTGTTCTGCATCAGTTCTGTTTCGAGTTTCCGTTTTCTGAATCTGTTTCCGAGCACTTCTGAAGTGTTCTTGAGTCGAGATAACCTGCTGGAGTTAGTTGGAGAACCCCTACATACAGTTGTGTAGCGAGTGGGCTAAGTCAGTGCTTGCCTGTGGTGTTCTTTTAGCGAGCTCACTAAAGTTTCGGCGTGTATTGCCTCTGTTTCTGTCGGGATCAGTGTCCCTTGTGTATTATAACTCAAATCTGCCTTGAAGGTTGTGTCGCGCCAGTGAACAATGTTCCTGTAAAAAGTTCCTAGACTTAGAAATTCATTAGAGAAAGCTTAGCTTTGCTAAGAGCGCTGAGAATAAGAGAAACTCTTCAAGATATTGAAGTATAGTTGGATCGCATTAGAAATAATCGCTCCCCCTAGAACTTTCGAGGGTGATTGTAGTTTGTGTAGTTGTGTGAGTGTGTGTGTGGGTTTTTGAGGTTTGCCTTTTAGCCCACTCACTATTCCACAGGTGCCCACAGCCAGCCTCTTCAACGATCAAAGCCGTTCAGTATGTCTCATAATGTCTATCACTCCTGCCCACAGAAATCAGGAACTGCTTCCAACGGCCATGAGTGGATGAATCTGTTTGTACCTTACACCAAAACCAGGAAATTTTGGGGCGACTGGATTTTGCTAACTTCGACTAATGACGATTTGGATCCCATCCACGCTTTACAGAATCATCTGAGCATCAATGATGATTTGCCTCCTGACGCCCCACTTTTTGCATATTCTCTCGGCTTATCCGCTTGGGAAAAGTTGTCAAAGGAGTCCTTTCTCACTCGTTGCTCACAAATTTGGGCCCTTGATGACCTTGACACAGCCAGTGATCATAGTTTTTGCATTGGAGGAACCACATACCTTTTACTACTCGGAGTAGATCCCTGGATTGTGATGAAACAGGGAAGATGGTCTTCCAAGGTGTTTCTCTTATATTGGTGCAAAGTTGAGGAAATCCTTCCTCAAGTTTTCATAGGTGATGCTATGGATAAGTTTACGTCCATTAAAGTTGCCGTATCTCGTCTCAGTTCTCTGTAATGTTTCATGTAATAATATTTCCATTGTTACCAACCTTATAAATTGGGGGAGGGGAGTCGGATTCCAGAGGCATCCACCTGTACTCTCAGTTTTCGAGTTGGTTTGGGGAGTGCGTCTTCCTCTGGAATCTCACTCACGAGACAAATAAGTGCACCCAAGTAACAGGTGCTCTTATTTCCTCTCCCTCCCAAAAACTGGTTAGGCGGAAGCAGGTTAGGCAGCCAGGGCCGTGGACAAGTTTGAAGTTTTCCATACACGTGACATTCTTGTTCTCTCCCCGAATCCTCGTCTTTTATCCGGCGCAAATTTCATCAGCGACATCTAGTCACAGTGGTGCTTGCAGCCGAAAATTCCACAATGTATTATGCTGAGTTTAAGATACGCGTATATTTCATGGAGCAATGATATCAACACGTGTGGACCCGCGTTCTTAGATCAAAATTCACATCTTATAACATGTCTGTTCTTGGGGCCTCGTTTTCTGTTCTCTCTTCTCTTCCTCTTCCTCTTCCTCTTCCTCGACCTGATCTCTATGAGTGACGAACATCAACCTTGGACCTATGTCTGGATACCCATTCTTGGGGGTTTCGTGTGGTTCTGTACTGTAGTTCCAGCATTACCTCGTGTTCCTGATTTCTCATAGTATTCGTCAGCTACCCTACTATCCATGCTGATAACATGACTGGCCACTGGGCGACCACATTACGGTGCATTTTTTTCTTCTGAAGTGAGGCCGAGCTTATGTTGATTTCATTCATAGTGTCTATGCAAGGTTCAATCGCATGCATATCTGATATTGGTGGAGAATGAGGCTATAGTGTCCATTCGCTACAAAAATTCTCTATAACTATAGTGGAGCGACTTTTGTAAAAATCCCTATAACTATAGTAATGTCAAATTATACGTATCTTGTAAGGATGCCATCACTTTTTGATTCCTAATTATACGTATCCCTTGTAGCAGTCTCGCCAGCCCTAGCTAGGTCCAGAAACTGTTGCTGTATGGCTGCCGAGTTAGGGTCCACGGGCACTGGATCGGTGTTCGTTGCTTGGGCCTGAAAAAAAAATTGCAGCTCAGAAAAATAATATTTAATGATTTACTATTGCCTCCTGACCCACGTGCAGCCTATTTTGGCTGGATGCACCCGTGCATACTTGGATGTATAAAACTGTGGGAAAATATCATTCCCAATGCAGTAGCAGCTCTGTCGGCTTTGAAAGCTGGATAAAATTCTGCATTGCACATGGATTATTTAGGCTCAGTTTAATTAAAATACATTTATGTGATATATAAATGCTTAACAGAGTCTAAATACTGTCATTCAACTGATACGCAAACAGGAAAATGCCTCTCTCACCATGGTCGGAATTTGCCGGATGCACCCCAATTAGGGGCATAGGACAGAATACCCTTGCAATCCCATACTCCTAGGGCTTTTTGTACCTCAAAAATATGATAGTCATATCTATATTTCATGATTTTACATTTTATGCCAATAAATTAGCCTTTAATTCATGTTTATTCGACCAATAAATGCGAATAATGGTGAGACAATTGTTGAATTCAACTTTTACAAAAGTATGCAGCACAGTGTGCATCTAAATAATGATATAACAAATGAGAAAAAGACTTCCTGTGTGAATTATCAATGATACAAATGCATATATGGATCTGCCCTGAAGTGAATATATTATGAACACTCGTAGTATGCAAAACGAGCTTGTGAACTTTCGTCTGATTCTGTTTTCACTTCTTATGCATGAAACGGTATAATGGTGAGACTATAAGCAGATCGGGGTGGATCGGACCATTATTTTGACTTATACTAGACATAACCTTGCATTTTCAATGAAAAACATACCTATTGAGATGGTGCACAAATATATAGAACTGGTATTTGCTTACAAGTGCCCTAAAATGTGGGGCAACCAACGTAAATTGAGGATTATCATGAGATGAGGGTATCCTGTTGCATTAAAAATTATATATACACAATCCTTATACCTATAATACAAGATTCCGATACGATTTGGGGCATCGGAGAGTGTACATCGAGCAGTGGAAGCATCCCAATGATGCATTCCGCTCGGTCGATCACTCTGGACCGCACAACCATACCGTGATTGAGTGGCTGTGCAGCACCATTTTCTGTTCCTCTCCACCACATCCACTTCCTTTCCTGCTCTCTCGCTCATCTGTTTTGCCCATTGTCATGGGTATATGGTATGTTTGAATTGTTTTTTATACTGACATGTCAAATTTAGGTCTTTTTGGCGTATCCGGTGGCCCCAAGATCCCTGGGTAGTGACCATTTCATCCCCACCACATGCGTAAGCCCTCACCCAAGGCAGCACTGCCAGATATGACCGCAACACTGTACGTTGACGACGTGACCCATGCATCCCTGCCATTGCCCCGATATGACCTACATCCTGCCGCAACCCATCCCATGCCCCCCACACGCGCATCGACCTCGATCATCATTGGACATGCAAGCATGGCACGATGACAACACAGGATATCACTAGGGTTTCTATATCGGACCTCATCATGCAGCGGGACGGCACCTGTAACAGTAACAACCACAATGACAACAACGACGGAAAAGCTAGGAGACTTCGAGCACGATGAGGGTTAGGGTGGATCTTAGGCTAGGGATGTAGAGGGAGACTGGGCAGCATACTAGGGAGGAAGGGGGAGAGTGGGAGGGCAGGATGGAGATCGGGCCGCCGACATCCAATGACGGCAGTGGCACTGACGTCCGTTTGGGCATCAAATGTCCTCCAAGACATGGGGGATCCAATGGTGGTCTCCATTTTCTCTCACGAGCCCGCCGTGATGTTCATTAGTGCCATCGATCCCTAAATCGCTCCCTAGCTCATCCCTAGCCCATGCCGCCTATATGTTAATTTATTTTTGTATTATATAGTATTTTATATTTATTTATTTGTTTTACAATGCTTTAATTGTGAATACTAAATATTTTATTACTGATACCCGTAAATAGGGAGTGCAAGAGCGGGCGGGAATTGGTTGGGCACGTGGTGGGGAGAGACCAAGAAATGGATTACATGTGAAAATTCATGGCTACGTATAACTTCGCTTTCTAGCGGATACATGAATTTGACAGGCCTATAGTTATAGGGATTATTACAAAAGTGGTTCCACTATAGTTATAGGGATTTTTACGTAGAATGGACACGAAGGGATGGGAGAATCCGCTCGTTAACTTTCTGCGTCTGTCTATTAAACATGCTCGTGTTAGGCACCGATATTCTCAAGCCTCTCTTTATAGTTGGTTGTACTATAACCGCTGTGTGCTTCTTCTTGTCCTTATGTATCGAGCGGGGCTTAAGACATGTTGGCTGGTACGGTTCACGTTACATCAATTTCAATGGAGCTCATCGACTATCAGCTTAGTGCCTTACATGCGCACTAGGGAACGGGTTTTTGGATATCTGTCGATATTTGGCTCATTCATTGGGAGCTGTGGGATCATTCTACTATCGATCTTCAACACAAAACGCTACACATCTCTTCATCAAGTGTTCTTGTTCATGTTCATGCTTGGCATTGCCATTAGTGTTATCTTTACTGTTATTGAGGTAGGCACTGCCCTCGCGCTCATGCTGTATGTGTACTGTTCTGATAGTGGTTCACCTTAGTTCCGATGGCTCAGCAGAGACTTCCAACATGTCAGGACATTGAAAATAGCATACCTCGCCAAAGCTATCATAGCCACCCTCCTTATTCTCTTGGCCTTTGCATTCACAATTGCATTTTACCAAAGTCCTCATGTCGGAGGTTTGTTCTCGCCCACTACTAATGTTTCCTTGACGGTCACTTATATTCATTAGCCATCCTTGAATGGATCGTCGCTTTCGGTTTCACTCTCTATCTTTTAACGTTCGTCTTTGACTTGAGGCAGTCAAAAGGAGTGCAGCGTAGGCAACTTAGTGCCGAGAATTTACGGCGCGCAATAATGATAGGTTAACTAACACACAAGTGTAACACTGTACGAAGGTTAAAGTATTTCTATGTGGAAAAACAGAAAAGAATTCAAAGTTTTTTGGTGACTGGTGCATGTGTATCCTCCGCAAGGTGTTCAAGTGCCTCTGATAGGAATTATACCGCTTTTAAAATTGTTAGACACTCGTAAACAAAGCCTAAGACTTTATACCATTTTTCTGCACTACACAAGAGAGGACTAGAGCGATATCACTGTACCAAGGACTGAATGCATATTTTCACCTAAAGTAGCAGGCTTTGCCCTAGAGTGGGCCCTACACGAGTTATTTCTTTACGACGACGATCTTTTTGTGCTAAAATCCAGAAATTTCGGATCAATCATAACAGGTTGGTAATAAGGATATTCGGGAGTCCTGATAGTCCCTGATTGTTGGGCAACGCGACGCATACTTAATGTGCTACATCCCATTTATAACAGCCTTGATAACAGCGGTTGAGCTGCATTCATAGCTCTGAGGGTCAGATAAGGTTTAGTGAAAATGACACGCAGGATTGAGGACTATAATCACCGTTGCGTTCACTTTTACCTCTATTGATCGTCATTTTGACACAAATTCTCAATGAACCCTGCAGCCGCAGATGAATTGGGCAAGACACGTCCTCCCTGTATACCGCTCTATTCGACGCCAGGATATGGCATGCCTTATGACGTATTTGCTTTCAATGACCATCTATGACGGCAACATGCGGACCAATTTTGCTTCCGCCTTTTCGTCCCTTTTCTTCCTCCGCTCGTATAAATATTCACTCTCTACGCTCGAATCTACATTTTTCCCTTCTCCCTCTTCCACGTAGACGCTTACCCCTCTCCCTGCTACGCTTACCGTCCGCAGTATACGCCGTCCCTCGTTACGCCACATGTCCTCATAACTTGACAGCCAAACAGACCCAATATGTCAACGTGTCTGGTTTGCAGCTTCAGACAGACGTGTTCAACAACTCTTCTAAGATTGATACAGATGAACAGAATAAGTCTCATAGCGGTCCATGCCGGCGAACGAGATGGCTTGTACGTCGGAAGGAATGAGGTTGTTTTTAGTCGTTAGAAATCTGGACGCATTGACGTGAAGTCAGTGAAATAGTCGTCGCATCGTCCTCATCGGCAGTTGAAAACTGTATGATTTCTCCTTCAATCTCTAGGCCTAAAAGTCCTCATGTGGCAGGAAGTGTGTTGCGACTACTGCTTCGCATTTGGACGCACAACAGTACCAGCTACGATGACACTGCTTTTATGTGCTGCTTTTGTCGAGTTGCGGTTACTGTGCCGACCTCGCGGCTTCAACGTTGTCAACGGTGAGATACTGTACATGTGCAACTATGGATCGCGATGTGGAAATCTTGCTTTGCAGCACGTTCTGACTACTTGTTAGCTGTGATCCGGACCCGAATATCCCTATTACGATTGATCCAAATTTTCTGGATTTTGGCATTCTGGATCCGTACTTCGCCTCAGACCTCTCAAAAGGGTGATCCGTACGGAGAGAGTTGGACGTTGTGAGCTGACAAGAGACTGATACACCTTCTTTGACTATAAGCCGACGGCTTCATTTGCCGCTTCACCTTTTTGTGCTCATTTTTACTATTTTCGCTGTATTGATCTGATACAAATTCTCAATGAACCGTGTAGCCGCATTCCCTCCTCCCAGGCCAACATTTTTCGCCGGGACGTCAACATATAAAAAGACTTTTTCGCTGACCACTTGTCTTCATACTTCAGGATGTCCGTCATCAACGACGAACAAGCCCAGGTGAATTGGGCGAGACACGTCCTCCCCGTATACCGCGCTATTCGACGCCGGAATATAGCATGCCTCGATGCCTTTCTTTACGGCCTTTTTCCTGCTTATACAGATCGATTTCAGCACGCGTTGTGCGCTAAGCTGGGCACTCCAACTACAGACTCACGAGACCGAGCATCGTTGCGCCGTTGGATGAGAACGGCCTTAAAAGTATGGTTATCGTACTTCTTCCAAGTATTCGCCCTGAGTGACACATGTAATCGCAGATGCTCTCAGACCTCCTTCTTCATCTTCATATGACCGAGCCGCCGTCCCCACCTGCCGACCCAACCAATCCTACTCCGACCAATCCCTCAAGTTCTAATCTTCCGGATGAGGTAACCGTCAGCGGGGCGAAAAAATCTCTGCGAAGTGCACGCTTAGTTCGCGAGGGCCCTCCACCGTGCCGCTTTATCCGTCCTTGTGTTCAGCCAGTGGGAAAGTCGAGTGACACTACCTGGCAAGATGCCTCAACGTCAGTAGAGCGGACCGCCGCTTCCATGACCACTGTTGCAAACGCAGCGATTGTACAACAGGTAGGCTCTACCCTCAGGCTCCTGAAGCATATGATATATCGTTAGCTTATGTTGTATCAGGTATCCATTCGGGGTGTTCCAGTCGCTGAGAAACAAGAATCAGTGAGCTCGTGCTCGTCGTTCTCATTCTATTTTTCAGGTACTAACTGTCTGGTAAGATCTCTCGTCGTACTCTTCCTATAAACGCCCCATCGAAAATGTCACTCGCTAACTTGTTGTTAGCCGGAGACGAGGGATGCAGTCGTCATAAACGTCCTAGGGAGCTTGATGGACATCAGCAGGTTACACCATCGAAGAAGCCATGCAAACGTCCAGAGTAATATCTACTACACCCGTTCAGTTTTTTTTTTGGTCGAGAAACTAAGTCTACTAGTATACCTGAAGCCCATCTTGTGAAGAATTGGATGGGTTCATCTCTGTAATAGTTATAGGGCTCCTGCACCCCAGTGAAAATCTCATCCTTCATAAACACAAGTATTATGCTCTCTCATTTAGGTCTTTTGCCGCTGTGAACGCAAGTATCCCGTTCCCGGAGAAATTTTCAGCAGTCACCCCGGGCCCTTGAATGGAAATACCCCAATCCCCCCAGCCTTCCTCCCAGCGAAATGGAAGCGCTGCAATAATCATCTTCGTTCGACACTTCCACAGGGTGTTACGTGTTATAACCTATTGTTTGCGGGTCGTCCGAGTCATCACGGAGCCTGGCCTTGGATAGTCGCGAATCTACGAGCTTGAATTTTAAGGCTGACAGGAAATTAGCAACTTCTAGGACCTAGTGGTACCCAGCTTTGTGTTGGACGGATCCCCAGTTCCCTTCTCCATCGGAATGCGATGTTTCCCCGCCCGGAGTAAGAACCGGAAACTCTAGCAAAGAACCTAGAAGTTATGATCGTCGACATAAATTCCAGTGCCTGCATCTTGGTCGGCGTTAAGTAGTCTAGTCAAACTTTACAGTTACCTTGCGGCACCAAGAGAGAACGGTTTCCCGCAGTACCAAGCACCGAGAATCGATATGCAAATGTGCATTTTCGCTCACTTGGAAATCCACGCCTTCCTACATAATTTCATTCCAAAACTGATCGTACATAAACCAACGTCAACCACTTCTCCTTATCCCAAGGCGCCAACAACACAGCCTTCTGAGCTTCCCGCAAGGCCAGTTCCCCCGCACCGGACATCGAAAGCGCGATGGCTCTCACCCCTATCTCGTTCCGCTGCACATCAAGCGTCGACGTTGATGGTCCCGTAATTATGGGAAGCACACTTTCGTACAAGCCTCGTTGCATCGTCAATTTCGCAAGATCGATCCTTGCTTGTGATCTCGAGGGCTCAGAGATGATGGCCTGTTGGGCTAGGGACATCACCTTGGCGTCCTCTCCCTGTAATGAGTTATGATAAACAAACGGAATGCTACTGAATGTTAGGGCAGACGTACCAGTCCTTCGTGATGCTTCATGAGCAAATACTCCACGTCTTTCTCTGGGTCCATGCTTGCCCGCTGTTCCCGAGGCAAAGCAAGGATCTCTGACAGGGCAGCATCAACAAGGTTTTCATCGTCAGTCAGGATACCCATTGCCGCGAGAGCATTGATGGCAGCGAGGTTTTCAGGGTCGTTCGTTATACTGATAAAGGCAGTTAGAACTAATCCACCGTACTGTTAAATGAAGACTATACCACTGGAGAAGCATATTCTTAGCCTCATCTCTCGAAGTCTCATCCCCAAGAGCCCACATCGTCTTAGCCATAAGAACACTAACATGCCCACTCAACACCAAATCCCCCCCAGCACTCTCCAGCGCATTCCCAAACGCACCCTCAAACTCCAAGCCCTGCCTCAACCGCGCCAGGCCCAACCCAAAATGAGCTTGAGTGCGAAGGACCCTCGTTTCCGGGTCATCGGTTTCGCTTTCGGGAAGGAGATTTATCACGATCTGGAAAGCCTCAGCAGCACCAGCATAATCCCCCGTACTGTTCCTCATGCGTCCCATGTTGGACTGGGCTATGACGTACTGGCGTTCGATCTCGGGTGATTCGGTTTCTTCGTAGGCGGTCTCGAGTATGGTTATGGCGGAGGTGAGCAGGGATAGGGCTGTGTCGAGGTGCCCGAGTGTTTCGTGTACGAGACTTGATAGGTGGAGCCCGGGTGCTGATGATGGGTTGAGGGAGAGGTAACGCGATAGGAGGGATAGTGACGGGAGAAGAGATTCGGGCGATGGGGATGGGGATGTTTTGTTTAGGGCGAAGGAACGAGCGGAGAATTCGAGGTCTGCAGCCGGCTGTTTGGATATAAGGTCAGAAACGAAGCAAATAATTACCCTCAAGACTTACCACGGAAGATGACAATCCTACTGCATGCTCCAAAAGGGCTCTGGCATCACTTTCGTGGCCGTTGGCAGTGGCTACCAGGGCCTGGCCGACCCAAGCCAGCGTATAATCAGGATCGAGAGTTTGAGCTCTATACAGAGCTTCATTCGCGAGCTCAACGTCGTCGTGGTACAAGTAGAGTAACCCAAGATTGGTCCATGTGGCTGTATTCTGCAACGAGTGAGCGTCAACACCATAAGATAGAAAGAAAGAAAGACAACATACCTTGGAATCAATCTCCAAAGCACGGATATACGCATGCTGAGCAGATTTTGCTTGCGTCAGGAAATACGCGTTTCCCAGGGCAGTCCAGTATTCTTCATTCAACGGGCACTGTCGAAGCGCAGATCCCAGAAACTCGATCCTCTTCTTCTCGACCTCTTTGGATTTTTCCTCGTCTGTCAATTGAGAGGCATAAGACCCGAGCGCAATCCCAAGGTCGAACCACGCGCTCCCTATTGCCTGAGGATCCGACGAAGCAACGGATAACCTAAGATCATACGCCACGATAGCATTTTGCAACATGACAGCCCCCGTCAGAGGCGCCGAGTCGTCAGGCAACTGAATATTAATATCAAACCCCGCAAGCCGATCGCTGGAATGTGTCGAGAGAAACGGAAAGACCGCCCCAAGAGCACGCCGGGCAACAGACTCGTCCACAAACGTCGACAAAGCAAACAAAGCATCAGCCGCAATCTTCCACACCACACCTCCAAACCCCGAACTACTCGCTGCCAGAGCCACGTGAAGAGCATCAAGGAACGACCTCTCCGCCCTCGCCACGTACCCGCCGGACAACTCACTCCGGCCGAGATCCAGATAGGATTGGCCTAATAGCACGGACACGCCTATCTCTCCCGGCCGCTCGTGTAGGATCTGCGTGAATATATCTATGGCTTCTTGGAACTGGCCCGTCTGGCGACGGACGTCCCCGATGAAGTAGAGCGTCATCCAGTCCTCCGGGTTGAGCTCCTGTGCGCGCGCGAGTGCTTTCAGGGCTGCGGCGTGTCGTCCCGACTTGCTGTACGCCTCGCCTAGTCTCAGCCAGCACACTTGGTCCTCTGGTTCGGCGCGCAGTGCCACTTGATAGGCATGTATAGCCAAGTCGTACTTCCGGCGAGCCTGTTCGTTTGAAGAAGAGTTCAGAAAAAGCCATGTGGATAGAGATGTACGAACCAGTTCCACAGCCCCAACGGCTTTCCACGCCCATGCATTCATAGGCAGATACACCGTTGATGGTCCTAGCCCAGCGTCCGATCCGCCCTCCCCGTCTATAGTCCTCCGAGCGACTGTCTCAACCAGGTCCCATTCCTGTTCTTCCGCGAACCCCACAGCCAGCCGACGCGCCGCGTACACCTCGCGGGAGTCCAGCTCAAAAGCTTTCTGGAAACATTTCGAAGCTCGATTGGGATCGGGCGGTGTTGCGTATTCTTCGTAGTAGATCCCTAGAGAGGTGAACGCCGGTGCGTACATGGAATCGCGCTTGAGGGCTGTGATGAAATATTTATACGCTTCTTCTCGTTGATCGCCTGACAAAGCTGGATGAGCATGATTTTAAATCACACAGTGCGCGTTGATCACCGTTCATGTCCCAGTGACAAGACCCTAATCGCCATAGGCATCTTGCACTTTCCTCTACGTGATGGTCCAGAGTGTCCATCGTTTCGAGAACTTCCTTGAGTGCCGCTACAGCGAAATCAAAGTCACCCAGACGACTGCGACACCATGCATGTTCTTCCTTGGCTCGTAGACCGTTATGCACGTCGTCGGGCAGTAATTCGTGCACCCTAGAGAACAGATCCCCTGCTTCTTCCCATTTATTTGCTTGCTCCAGGATGTGGGCGCGGCCCATCAGACAGCTGATGTTATTCGGAGATGTAGCGAGGACGTCATCGATTATCGACAGAGCTCTGGCGTGGTGTTTGGGAGGGAATAGGTGGACCAAAGAGGTGGCTAGGATTACTTTGAAACCTAGAATGACGCTGTTATGCATTAACACACGAGATGTTCACAGAGTAGAGGAAAGTCGTACTGGGGAAGCGTCTTCCCGTGGTTGACCTCGGCCCGCCTTGCGAGCTCCATGCCGCTTTGGGCGGCTTTGATAGCAGCGGGATAGTCTACTTCGCGGAGGTATACATCAGCTAGAACCCGTGTGCCGAGAAGGGAATCTACAAGTTGTGGTTGGGCGTCCTAGAAATAATCAGCTTGAGTTTGTGCTGCCGTTGAATACTTACAAATATCATATCCAGCCCCGTGTCTGGGTCAGCTATCTCCGCGTCTTCGTCTTCCTCGTCATCAGTGAGAGGGATTCCATTGTAGATGAAGTATCCTTTGAGCATCGATACCAGAGGATGTGAAGGGAATAGTGCCATATACTGTCGTAGTAAAGGATACTCATAGTCATCTAGAATGCATGAATACCAGAATTCACAGAGGATGGCTACAATTCGTACCTATGGTCTCGACATCCTTTCTTTCTAGGAACAAGGCCCAAGCGAGTTCATCAGGTAGCTGCAATATGATCGCGCCGTTGATCAATTCCTCGACTTGTTGCAAAACTTTCTTCTTTTGCTCGCTTGTGTTTGGTAGGGCATATAGATACTGCTGTTTATGCTTTAACAGTTTCGTCTCCGTTTCGCGGCGGAGCTCGTCGGAGGTATTGGGATGATTGAGGATGTCGTTGTACAATGGCGGAAGCTAGATGACGGTCAGAGACGGAATACGAGGTGGCGTGAGGATGGCGTACGCGGGACACGCTCCAAACTTCAACACCGACGTCCTTCTTGATCTGCTCAGGGGTTCCAGCACCGAGCCGTGTCCGGCGCTTCTCAAACTCTCTTGTGATCTTGTCGGCTTCGTCCTTCTCCAATATGCGGACGGTTTCTTCGAGGATCGGTAGTCCGTTATGTACAGCCTCCTGAGCTTCGAACGTGGTTGTGGATGTTGGGTTTGTAGGGTCTGGAGGGGGTAGAGTCGACAACAACGCATAATGAGGGGATGTGGGTAGATAAAGCGATATCGCGTCGACGACTTGTAAAGGGTGTCCGTGCTCTCGACGATTCTGCACAAACTTTTGAATCGTCTCCGCGCATTTGACCGCATCCCCGCTATAAATAGTCAGCATTAACGCGCAGAGTAGTGGTTTCGCGCGCACGACTTGGCAAAAAATCCCAGCAAATGTTGGAGAGTGTCCGCATATTTATCCCACTCCTCTGTCCTTTCGTAGAATTTTGAGAGGCCCTACAATGCTCGTTATAAGATGACGAAGACGGGGAGTTGAGGATTCCCAACCTGCCAAGCGAGCAGTTGCTCCGAATTCAACTCGATTGCCCTCCGATACGCCTATGCGAGAAAGATCAGTGCGACAGTCCAGAAGGCATCTAAATTCCGAGTTACTTGCTCGCTCTTGTCGAAATCTCCAAGCTCCAGGTATGCCAGACCAAGAAATACAGTCCTGAAATACAAGTCAGCTTCATTAATAGCGGTATATTGAAGGGAGCCACTTACGCGTTGTAGTTATCCGGCTCAAACTCGAGCACCTTTTCAGCGCTATCCCTCGCAGCAGCAAAGTCCTTTTTCGCAATAAAGTCCCTTGCAGCCTTGAGTTTGACCTTTGCAAAAGACATGGTGCTGTGAAGGGAAGGGGGTGGCTCTTTTTGGCAACCCTTCTTTCTATCTTATCCTTTTACTCTCATGACCTTCAGCTTCGCGACATCCTGGACGAATACCTAACGCCCTCTCACGTTCTCTAATCAATAATGCCTCCTCGTTCATCGACATCGCGTAGCCGTCCTTTGCTTTCCTTCGAAATGCAGCCTTCTCCCCTTACCTCCACTATCTATTCCCCCACTCTCGACGAAGACACGCCATCCAAGCGATGGTACCATTATCTACCCCTTGCCGGTGCGCCATAGAGCCTGCTGTTTGATTTCCAACATCTCTGACGATGAAAACGCGCATAGGAACCGTCTTTTTCATCCTAGCTCCCCAACCATCGTTGCTCATTGTCCTGGTGAACTATCATTTACGAACTCGAGGCCAGCCCATCGTCTTCGGCGTCCATCTTGCTGTCACATACACACTCACTTTTCTCATAATCACGTCTCTGATGGTCTGTGTCGTCCGTGATCCTGGACCGGTGCAGATCACTCCATCCGACCACGGACGAGCCGCGGACGAAGTCGACCTCACAGAAGCTCTCATGCCACCCGATTTTGATTTTTCTGCACCCGGAAAATGGTGTAGACAGTGCTGGGTATTTCTACTGGGTCCGAGTCTTTCTCAGTTGAGGACTCATCGCATTTTCCTTAGGCGCCAAAACCGGATCGAACACATCACTGCACGCACTGCAGCAGATGTGTTCTGAAGATGGGTATGCTGTTGATCATCCCTCGCATCCTCTTACGCTCAAAACCGGTTTCAGATCACCACTGCCCATGGGTTGGGGCAAAATGTATCGTAGGTCCTTTTTCTTTTTTGTTATTCGGCTCCCACTCACGACGTCTGTCTGTGTGCAGGGACATAGAACATACCCGGCTTTCCTTCACTTTTTGTTCTGCATTACTCTACTCGCTACTTATGTCGCAATAATGTGTATCTTTGCTCTGGTGTATGCTTTCAACAATCCTTACGTGGTAGTAAGTTCCCCCACCATCGCCTTTTGAAAAGCTGGATCTTCACCGCATTTGTAGGACGAAACTACGCCCATTCATGAACTTTTACTCGCCTTTGCAGGCCTGGTGTTTTCCCTCGTTATCGGCTCTTTTTTCTTTTACCATGTATACCTTGTCACGTCAGTTCTTCTCCCCTCCTCACCACACCACACATCCCACTCACAACCCCAAACAGAACAAACCAGACGACTCTAGAAAACCTCTCTCCTTTCCTCCTCCTGCGACACCTCCCGCCTCTCCCAAGGACGGGCCACTCACTCTCTGACCCCCCTCTGGAACCCGAACTCTCCTATTCCCAACGCCGACTCGTCAAGGACGCCCACGGGCACATCAGATTGTACGATATCGGCTGGAAGCAAAACTGGATCCAGGTCTTCGGTTGGAATCATACCTACGGATGGGTGGCTCGTATCCTGAGTGGCGGCGCGATGTGAGTTTTACTTGCCACTCTTCGTCTCTGCCCCCTTGCTGATGTGGTTGGTCAACAGTAAAGGAGATGGACGCACGTTCCCTCGAAATCCAAAATCGGAGGAACTGCTCGCCCGACTTGCCGTGGAACTGGTTAAAGCGGACAAGGACAACTAGTTAGTTAGTTAATTTCTCGTCATTCTTTTGGTGGAACCCTGTATATATCGGCGTTCAAGTTGGTCTACTTACCTATATCTGTATCGATCTACATAACCTAATAGCTTACTCGGTGTCTCCATAGATTCCTGCATGTGTTAGTCACCTTTCTCACAAATACAGTCCTTTCCCGCGCATCTAATAGTGAATCCATAAATATCCTCTTGATAGGGTATGCATACGATACAATCGGTGGTATTAGGTATTATTTTTAACTTACTGACTCCTCCCACTCCGCTGGTATTGGCCATTTCTCATGAAACCACCCCTGCAAAGCACGGTCCACCTCCGGGACATCCGATTCCTTGGCCACGTCGTCATTTATACACACCAATCTCAGTCTCTCGTTCGCTCGGAGCTGCTTAACAGTATCACGGGCTTCCCGGGCATCCGTTATCGACACGAACCTAAACGGTAGTTCGCCTGATATTCGAAATCAGTTGGGAGGGAGCGAGGTAGGGAGGGAGAAGCCAAGAGAACTTACCAACAACATAGCGGTATCTTTGTATCACCATCATCGTCCACTCCCGGAGGTTCACACCCTCCACTGATGCCCAGCCGCGTCGTCTGAAGGCTTCCCGAGCCCACGGGCCCATCACAGTATCCAGCACAAAATCCTTGGCGTGATACTCGGCCGTCAGCGGGAGATGCGGTGGGCTTGAGCCTACGTCATTCGGGTCTGCGACGAGGGAGAAGTGTAACGGGTACGTTCGATTTGGGGACGGGAGGAACTCGGACAGCCCCAGAGGCCCGGAGGCGCTCATTAGCGCTCGGATCACTGTATGGAGACGTTTCAGAGGCCCGGGTTTGGAAGTAAGGGGAGGAATAAGCTTACTACAGTCCCCGCAACTGACTTCCTCGAATGCAACGTGTACGAAGAACTCGCTCGCATTCGCAATCGGCGCCCCGTCCTTCTCGAAACACTTTGTCCCATCTGACGACACAATCCGCAGCCTGAGAATATCCGTAGTTGGTGTAATGCGGGTCTGAAGAAAGACCGGGCGGATGACCGGGTGAGTTTGGGTACGTGTACTCCAGGGGGCATCCGTCCTGTGACGAGAACGAGTATTGGCTCTCCATGTGGTCCAACCTCGAATGCACAATATCTTCAACACGGTCGTGGCTGAGTGTTTCTCTCTCGGGCTGCGCAACGGACACAGATGCTGCACCAGGTTCGCCACCGATTTCGCTCCACGCTCGATATGCGTGGACTTGGGTCGCCCACGTATCTTCGTCATCCCAATCGTGGTCTTCGGATGGGGGCGTTCCATTCCCGCCGATACGAGCCACCACCCATGACCAGAGGAGCGCTTCCCGCGCGCGATCAATGAGGAAGTTGCCGAACATGAACCCGGGATGAACGTCATCACCATCAGGGACAAGAGTAGAATCTGCGACGCGACGACATTAGTTTCCTCTGTTATTGACGCGTTTGTGTATCCACATACTATCGTCTCCAGCTGCGGTATGCCCATTCATACCTCTAAATGGTCGGTGGGCAGTCGCATTGAATTCGTTAGCCCACATCCCGGCGGCCATTTCGTTCATTATGGGCATACTGATCGCCTTTTGAGCATGTACGATGTACGGTCGTGAACGCTTTCCGAACCGCTTGGATAGTAGATGACTGCTATACTCGAGAGGGTCTCCATTCTCCTTCTGGTGGCTTAGTAGACGGGTTCTGTGGAGCGATAACCAACCAGTATTCGAATCGAAGGACGGGACCGTAGAAATGTGTATAGAAGTCTTCCGGCTCGACGTCGCTATGGAAGAAGTAGTCGTCGTTCATGTAGATAAAATTTTCCGAAACGCCGCATAGTCCACCTAGCTGGGACTCGATGGCAAAGCTGTTGAACGTAGGACCAGAATAGGCGCCGGGCACAAAGAACTGAGAATGATGTTGGATGTCTAATGAAACGTTTCCAGTCGTGCCATTGCGAACCAGAAAGCCACTGAGGGATTTGACCGTATCGTAGTTCCTCCGAGTCTTCCCCCGAGACGTCAACCGCGTTGTCAGACGTCAATAAATGGAAAGAGCCAAGACCATTTCGAAAATGGGCGAGGGCTGAACGCATGGAGTATTTTAGCTCGTTGTGGTCTCTATTGTCCGATTAGATGAAGGGGAAGACACGGAAAAAGTATTACCACGCACCGGTACAGTTTGGGCTTCGAAGTCCCGTACCCATTCACACGCTGAGTCTCTTCTAATGCTCTAATGTGCAACGGATCACTTCCGTTCACCCAAGCCCAAACGATGTCCATCGGTTCCGGTGTTGTTCTGTTCTCATAACCCATGCAACTGCACGGTTGACCGCTGAAGTACTCCTCTAAACACACGCCGGGGATCGGGCGTAACAGGTAGTAGGCTGAAAGGTGCCTGGGCTTGCATCTGCGATGGCTCGTAAATCGATCGTATGTACTGGAATGTGAGTATGTTAGTTCTGGAATTGAGTGCTGGTTCGTGGGGGTGCAAAGAGTAGAAGGGGAGTATTTAGTCTGCCATTGTTGGAGGTCAATCGACGGCCGCCGGGAGACATTGGCGTGACATAAAGGGAGGGAGAGATAGTCGTAGTGATATCTTGAAGTGGGGTAAATAAGGTATAGCATACCCATGACAGCTGCAACACCTATGGGCACCCATAGTAGCGCCAGGGACTGCCGCCGCGGTTTCTTCGGCGATGTTGAGGTTTGGGGAAGAGAAGAGAGTGGGGAATAGTCGTGTCCGCGGAACGCCCGTATGAATCTGGCATGCCAACTGTTGGTAGATGCAGGAGGGGAATAGACTAGTTCGTCGTCGGGGTCGGAATAGTGGGCGTCGGGGTCAGGATAAGGGGAGAGCGGGAAGGATCCACTCGCCATGAAGGAATGTCAGAAGCAAGAAAGAAGGTTATCAACGAAAGTGTCCAATGAAGTATCACGGCAAGAGTGCCGACCAACAAGATCGTCTAAGCATCGGTAACAGATTGTGGTCAAGACGTGGGCATAAAATTGGTCGTGTGCAGAGTCCGGTGCACAGTTGATGTCATCAACTATAACCCTGCCAAGCCAAACCAAGCCAGACGTGGCAAAAAATTTGGATGATTTCAAATATCGTCCGGTACCCAGTCTATCTGGTCGAAAAACCTTTCTTCCAACCTCAGAAGCATTGAAATCGTCGGGAGGCTAGGAAGATCGCGTCCAACAGGTTCAAAAGCTCAGTTCCTGGGCGAGTTCCTGGGCGATAATAGGTGATCAGTCCAAGATACGTAATTTGCCGAATCCAAGGAAACGGCACAATAATTGACAAGTGCCAAGTTCTCCATCGGGATGAAGAAAAGTAGTAACGGTTGATTAAATTGACGGAAGCAAAGCGTGCCCCGCCGGAGTAGGATAGTAAATCGATCCCCAAGGGTATATCAAACTGGTTTAGCTGCTGCGCTGGGAATATATAGAGGCAGGACTACGCAGGAATATTCTCAGAATCGTGCGAACGAGTTTGAACGACACATGTAGACCCTGCCGGCAGATGCTTGTCTTCTTCCTTAGTCGCGTCTGTCGGCCAGCCCGGCACTGATGCCAAGGGACCGACGTAGTGAGGGTGCCGGCGCGTTTCAGGGAACAAGGCGTACTCCAAAGTATGCATGAAGGTGTGGAAACTCCCAATGTGGAGCCATCATTGACCTACCGCGCGGCCTGGATTACAGTGTGATCGGAATATCACCCATTGAAAACTTTATTGTGAAGCTCCGGCGGGCTGATGGTATCGGCCTACGAGTGGAGAGGGTCCGCAGCCAAGAGCACTACGTCGCCTTGGCCAGCCTCACCCCAATCCCGTCGGCAATTACTTGTCCATGATACGCTCGGCGCCCGATTAATACGATGTTACCTTGAAATTCTGGTAGCACAATGTTGCCTTAAAATTCGTTATACCTATAGCAGATTTCCACCGAGTTCAACTCTTCAAATAACACGCAACATCAAGGACAGTCATTCATAGTAGAGATTCGCTTACTGGACTTGGCTTGGCATCGAAGGGTTCCTTCCCATCAAGCTAAGGACCCAGCTACCCAAAAGTCCTCAGAGGAACTGCGACAAGTTTCGGCCCCCAGGAGCTAATGATATTGCGGGTTCCAACTTGTACTGCGCATTCTATCTGCGGAACAGGGGATTAGTATATTTTTGGCTTATCTGCAACCTTTGCGCACCTCAGTTGTATACAGTACCTTTGTCGTAATTGTTCGGCCGCTCAGACTAGAAACAATCAGGTCCTGCGACGGCAAGATGCATGTAGATGAAAGATCAAGCTTGGAGGAAACAACAAACAACGCGAGATTCTGTGTACACAGCCTCAACGCCTCTCGGACTCTGCCGCAGGAATGGATTCGCTGTTGCCTCTGTTTATAAGATAAGAGCATCCTAACCACTCCAACATTGACAGAGCTAGAAGCCACAAGCTGTGAAAGAGTTCCGTTTAGCGCTCCGTCCGCCCTCTGTTATCTTGTACGAAATGTCTCTTGATGAACACAATCACCAAGTATGTCTGAACAAAGGATGTTGATTCTAAGGAACCTTCTGTGTTATTTTGTCGACTTGGACCAGCCGATCATCGATGAATGATGATTTACCCTGGAACCGATGACCATTCTTGAGCTGGGCCTGGAGCTGATCTCGGTTGAATGCTTGTGCATACTCAGAATATCTCTTAGATGACGCTGCGCACTGTAACTCCGTAAGCATGCGTATTGGTTCCAATGGTGCTTGCGGTCGCCGTTCTAACGTCCGAGAAATTTGCTCTTGGAATGAGGCACCTGGATGCTGGATCATATTATGAGAACCCTCCAAGTCGAGACAAATTGGAGCATCACTGACCTAAACTCGTTGTACAGCAACCATAATGTGCTCGGGAGTTACCATGGCTGATTCGATACGAGACCAGAATCCAGCAAGATTTCGTCAAAGAAGCAACGCAGAGATAATTCCGTAATTCCGCCGGAGTTTGATGGTGGCAGTCGGATTGTTTATTACTCGCGTTCTCCTCCTCCTACCATGTCTAACAGTAGTGTCCTGCCAACGTCCCTGTATGAAGGTCTACTCGCCAAGCTTGTGAGGATACTAGAGCTCACCCAGAAGCCCGAGGGTACAGCAACGCCTCAAGCAAAACAGGCACTCCTGCACGCAGTATGTGACTCTCCACCGCCCAGTCACAGCACCCGCTGAGTACCATAACAGACGAATGACTTTAAGAACTCGATAGCGCAGGCAAAGGACCTGGCCGCTGAGCTGCCTGGAGGAGAACTGAGGATCGATGAGCAGGACGAGGTGATTGAGATGCTCACCCAGCTACGAGACAGGAAGAGGTACGACCACGGTGTATGCGCGTCCGAAACCATCGCTGAGGTAGAGCAGGCAACAGCTAGAACAATTTTCCGCTCAAACCCTGGAGTTGTCGTCATCGTCGGCAGAAATGAGCATGGAAGTCGACTCGATGGCGTCGACACCCAGTTGAGCCACGGACCAAATATCCCGCTACAGTCACGCTTTCGATTCTCTCTTCTTCTATCCATCACCACGCAGGCCGTAACATTCTACTCGTCGAGGCTGGCCTCATATTATTTCTATCGCCCGTATCCATCATGCGGCATCCAAACTTCTGCGCTGGACGCGCCTTTAGATTGACTCTCCTGCTCATCATCCTATCTGAACACGGTCGCGGTATGGTACAATGGGAAAGCCCTGCAGCAGGAGATAGATTCGGTCCAAACGAGACGATTGATGGGAAATGGCAAACAGATTCACCTGTCGTTTCGCCGTCGTTCAAGTTGTGTGCAAGCTCGTCGCCGCCGCAAGTGAGCTCGCGGGATAACGATGACCAGATATCCTGCAATGGCGATGTAAGCAGCTGCGGAGAAACAGTTTGGCCTACTATTCAGCATGGCAATGGGTCTTACTCCGCTTCACTGTGAGTACGCAACTTGAATACTGGTCCATCACGATTCCCAAGCTTGAATAACAGGGCCGTTCCAAATGTCACCTCTGATGAGGTATTTTACCTCCTCATGACGGACAACTTTGGTACAAAGCATTGCTCGCCCCTGTTTCTGCTTTCGCGTCAGTATATTCCCCTCCTTTGTCGTACGCCATTTAATATTAACATGCATATAGCCACATCCTCTTCTGCAACCGCACAGATTGCCACTTCTACACCGACACCAGTCCCAGTACCTAATAGCAACACTGCTCAGTCACCCTTTGGTTCTCCTCTGACAGGCAACCCCGCACCTGTAGCCACATCCGCCCTCAGTCCTGCATCTTTACCAGCATCTTCTCCAAATATTCTTGCGACACGATCGCCACCGCCAATCGCTGCATTTGTTGTGCCCCTCTGCTGTGTAGGCGCTATTCTTCTGGTTGCGGCAGGTCTCTGTGTCCGTCACAACCGTCAATTAGACCAGGAACGTGCCCATGACGCAGAAAAACTTGCTGTATCACGCAACTCGAGTTTTGGCAGTTTCAGGTCACATCAGAGCGATGTGCTATCTAAGAGTCAGACCGACGTGTATCACTATGGATCCGCCATGCCAGTACCGCTCTTTATGCCTGTCGAAATGTCTCGAGAAAGAACGAGACAGATGCCTTATTTCTCGCCTCCAATGTACTATCATGGCGGTGGACGGAAAACTAGTTACTCTCGTTCGACATCATCCCGGTCATCCAAGCGAAGCGATTCCTCTCATTCTTCGCATTCTCAATCATCGACTAGACTGCCTTCACGAAAGAATTCCAATCGCATATACCTTCCTTCAATAACCCCAAGTCCCCTGTTGGTGGATTTTGAGGAAAGAGATGCGCATCACGGTACCAGCGTGACAGACGATGTCCTTTCCGAGTATATGCAACCTTCGCCTATTCCACCAGATTGCTTGCTGCCTGCCCCTCAAAAGCTGCATGTACGTAAGGAGGCTGTTGATTTGGAGGAAGAAAGAAGGAGATACGCGAGGATGAACTCTATCGATTTGTACGACGCTGTTCAGAATACTCTACGGAGACCTCATAATACATGAATGAATGCTATGCTAATTCAAGGAACGGGGACCTAAATCCCAGTCAACAGGGAACAAACTTCTTTGTCTACATGACGCTCGAGGTAGTGCTCGGTCGGGGATCAGCGGTGTACCGACAACTTTTTCTCCAGAAAACTAAATCAATTTAAGGTCAAACTTCCGAAGCATGAGGTTTCATGCTTTGACAACATTCGGTATATGAGTTTCGACACTTACACAGGGCTATTTTCCGGGAAAATGTTTCTTTTCTCATCGGTCTCAAAAGTGAGTCCAGAAACCGCGAACTCAATCAGATTTGACCAAATTTACTTTCTGGCAGTGTATGGAGATTATCTTGTTCGCCTTCGGTATATGAAGCGCGGCATGTGGCTGGTATAGTCAGCATCAGATAAAGAGGTTCTTTTTAATGATGACCCCTCGATTTGCTTGAAAGGATTGTCTCAATGGGAGATTTGGACGGCGGAGAATACTTCTGCCAAAAGATGTCAGTAGAGCCAAGAAGGGCTGTAGACCCTAAGTCATGGATCGTAAAGTGTTATCGATAATTTAACTACCTTCGCAGGAATTGTTCTTGAAGTAAAGTTTGGTTCGTGAACTAGGCCCTCGGGTTCTCAGTGTCGATGTGGGGTTCGATAATGTTCACATATATGTACTGCAATTCACCTTATGATAGCTTCCGTAGATTCTGATATCCGGACAACGCAGGGAGCGGTCGCATTAGAAGGAGCCTATGTTGTCTCAGTCGAAGAAGCATCGCAATCCTAGTGTAAAGCGGTACGGCTCTACGGATACATACCCGAGTCCTTTACAGGTGCCCGGTTTTGATGCGGAATTCGAGTGACATAGCAGATGTCTTGAGAGTACCGACATCGGAAAGGTGGTTGTAAGCGATCAACGCCACACTGTTAGTTAAGAGGGAATTTGTCCGAGATGGATGCCTCAGCATGCCGAGAAGTAAGAGAAAATATTTTATAAACGTACTGAAACTAGCAGCAAGCTTCAAGTGATGGTACGTGCTTCTAACAAATATACGAAGATGTTCTCCCGGTGAATGGGAGTGGGAGTTTTACTATATCTGGTCTAGCATATGTAGAAAGAACTATCACAGGTGGCCTTGAGCGACGACGACGGAACAATCACGAAGATTCAGATTCTCATTCATTCAAGGCAGTAGGAGAAAAACCCGAAGGATCACAGAGCAGAGTTTCAAGTGATTTTGGAGCTGCACAGAGTTACCGATACCAGGTGTACCAGATTTGCAAAAGAGACGAGCTGGCAGATAGAAATTAACAAGTAGAATTTGTGCATGGCTCAAAGGAAACGTAGTACAAATGTTCAAACATTGAAGTTTGTTCGAAGTTTCGTTCAGGCTTGGCATGTAAGGGCAGACGCAGTCGATCGTTCGGATTCAGTGCCAGCGAGACCGGCCCGATTGTTCCGTCACACTTTTCACTCCATTCCCATCAGTTCAGATCTCTACTCGGGCTCAAAACGTAATTGAATGTACTTCGGTCATCGCGGGTCACCGTGTATATCTGGCAGAGAATTTTCAGAGATATGCTTTGCGATGGCTACTTTTTTATAGAGCGCGGGGGTTCTCCAATCTGTTGAAACTTGAAGCGCCATGGTTTGCGTTACTATTAATTCAAGCCTTGTTATCCCTCACCTTGGACTCTGACTCTTTCCACCACAATGCCCGCTGATATTCAAAAGCGCGTCCCGGTGTCGAATGCTCCGGATACCGTCGAGATCGAGTCTCTAGGTGGCGGTGATGACCTCAATGACTTCAAGCAGCAGTTCACTCCTCTGCAGCGCCAGCTGAAGAACCGCCATATTGCAATGATCAGGTAAGGTCAGAAATTTTATTTTGGCCTACAGAAACGCTGATAGAGTCCGGATAGCCTTGGTGGTGAGTACAGTTCCTAATAGTGATACACCGTAAGCTCGTCGATACGATTCTTTACTAGGTGTCATCGGAACTGGTTTGTTCTTGGGCACCGCTTCTTCTTTAAAAACTGGCGGACCTGTCGGCATGTGGACGTATTCGTGAAATTTTCTTTTTACTAATGCGCCACGCAACCGTCAGGTCTGTTACTTGGATACATAACCATTGGGAGTTTATGTTACAGTGTTATGGTTCGTCCTAAGAACCATTCCGAAACACGTCTTTTACTTACCTGTTGGATAGGTGTCTCTGGGTGAAATGATCGCCTTCTTACCACTCCCTGGGGGACACATCAAAATGGCCGATCGTTTTGTTGGACCTGCATTATCATTCACCATTGGCTGGAGTGCGTGGTATACCTGGACTATCGGCGTACCGGCGGAGTTGTCCGCGGCGGCTGTCCTTGTCAACTATTGGAATAAAGATACCAACAATGCGGCTTGGATTACGATGTGTCTTGGGGTCGCTGTCATCATCAATCTTTTTGGAGCAGGTTGTGTTTAATATATTGTTCAAGTAGTGCAAAGTGTTATTACTGACATACATTACTCTCAGGTGCATACGGTGAAGCAGAGTTTATCTTTGCTTCTATCAAGGTGATTACAATTGTTGGTCTCGTCATTCTGGGTGTCGTCCTCGATCTCGGTGGTACGTTCATATCCATCTGTTTGCACGACTGTGTTTTAGGCTTTTCCAGGCGGACCAAATCACGATCGTCTTGGCTTTCGATACTGGAAGAATCCTGGGCCATTCGTTAATTACCAGGGCATTCCTGGCGCGAAAGGACGGTTCCTGGGCTTCTGGGCAGTCCTTACGCAAGCGGCGTTCTCGTTCATTGGTACAGAGATTGTCGCTGTAAGTATTACTCTTTTGGGTCAAGGATACCGTTAGACTGACCGCGTGTAGATATCCGCCGGAGAAGCCAAGAATCCTAGAATAACTTTACCAAAAGCTATCAGGAAAGTTTACGTCCGGTGCGATTTTTTCGCATTTCAGCCCGACAGGACGTTCATAATTAGAAAGGATCATCCTGTTCTATATTCTTGGTACCTTGATCATAGGCCTATTAGTGCCTTCGAATGATGCAAGACTGGATTTGAACGACGGAACGGCAGCGTCGTCACCATTTGTAAGCCTCCCATATGCTACCCGTGATGCCACACCCATTAACCATAGCTCCGTAGGTCATTGCAATTGAAAATGCTGGCATATCTAGTGCGCATCTATTAGTGTCTAGTTATCGTCTACTAAATTATACGTACCTCGTCAGTCCTTCCTCATGTAAGTAACCCACTCAAACTGCTTTATCCCACACACACGGATATTTTCACAGATCATCAATGCGGCACTATTGACATCGGCGTGGTCAGCGGCAACTAGTGATCTTTACACTAGTTCTCGTGCGTTGTGTAAGATGAATGCTGTAACTCTTTTGTTTGAAATGCATTTACACGCTTTCTCCAAATGGTTTGGCTGGGACTGGAAACGCGCCGAGGGTGTTTCTAATCACTTTGAAGAATGGTCTGCCTATCGTCTCCATACTAACGTGCGCTTCTTTTGGACTGCTAGCGTACATGACTGTGAACGAAGACGCCGGGAGAGTTTTTGGTTGGTTTGCCAATTTGGCAGCTGTTGCAGGTATATGGTCATGAATTCGATAAGCTAAACTAATCACTTGCCAGGGCTCATGTCGTGGTTTGGTATCAGCGTCACTTATATACGGTTTCATGCTGGACTCAAAGCGCAGGGCATTGACCAGAAGACGTTGCCTTATTATAACAGATTCAATCCATACTTGGCTTGGTAAGTTAAGCATACTTCGTAATATCTCGTTGGTCTCATTCCCATAAGGTACTCGATGATTTTCTCGATCATCATTGTTTTCGTGAGTACCATTCCATACGAGTGCCTATCATTCTCACGATTAGTACCACCGATACATAGTTCTGTGGTTGGTCTGTATTTCTGGAAGGACATTGGGCCACAGGTCAAGCCTTCGATTTATTCAATGACTGCGATACTGATCATCCCTACAGATAGCTTCATCACTAGTTATCTCCCTTTCGTGATATTTCCAACAATGTGGATCTGTTCTGCCATTTATTACCGGCAATTTATGATGAAACCGGAAGACATGGACTTCATCGGTGAAGTTGCTGAGCTAGTTGCTGCTACGTGAGTAATCATGTTTTCCCAATTTTCATTCCTCTGAGGGAGGGTCATATAGAGAAGATGAGGCACCACCGAAGACCAGGATCGAGGCCTTCGGTCGCATGCTGGTAAGATTTCATTGATATACCTGGTTTTCTATATCTGACTCCTGTTGTATTTTAGATGTAGCAGGCAATTACATCCACGCTTGGGAATTTTTATACATTTCTTTGAAAATAAACACCGTATCAGGTTCTAGAGAAAGGCGATTTAGTTATGATGTGTACATATACTTTTTGCGTACTAATGCTCACCTTTGTACCTCAACATGTAAGTGGTCTACTTTGCTTAGTCTTCGAATAGGGGGTGACACTTAGTCTGATTACCCTTTCCTTTGTATAACGTCCCGCCGATCTTGCTGGAACCTGCTGGCGAGTAGGGAAGGGATTTTATTCTGGTTTTCATGTCCCTTGAGAAGGAAGCTAACCAGAGTCCGTACCACTCATGCTTGTTCTATGGCACCGAACCCCTTTATGCCAAACTGATCCAGGGCAGCCCCTTCCAGGGTGCGGGGGAACAAAGGACTGCCAAAGCAAAAGAAGTGCTGTAGTAGCAGTGCAGTGCACTATGGCAAACGATCAAAGCGGAATAGCGTTATTCCGGGCGGGGTAATAAAAGGCATCTCACGGTGCTTCCCCACATTTATCCCGCTATGCCCAGCTCTCGACTCGTCCCAGGCCGTTATCCTCCAGTGGGTACCTCTCCCATTGCTGATGCTATCCGTGAGCGGCGGGGTGCAAGAGGACTGACCGCTCTCGACGGTACCCTTCTCCATGTGCCTACCAGTAGCTCAGGGATGGAATTCCCTCCTTGGAGCAATACGAACCAAGGGAAAGCTTTCTGGCGATGTCAGAGAACTCATGGTATGCTTTTCTAATGCTAGTGTTGGCTTATGACTGATAAAATCGTCCAGATCCTCCGTGTTGCAGCACACAATCATGCAGCGTATGAATGGATCCACCACGAACATGTGGGAAGATCTGCTGGACTTACAACAGAACAGCTGCTAGTAATCCGCGACACGTCTCGGCTACCAACAGATGGGGGAGTCTTGAGTGCTTTGCAGAGAAGCGCACTGGCTTTCGCGCAAGAGAGTACCAACAAGGTCAAGGTGTCGCCTGAGTTGACCGATGCGCTGAAGAAGAACCTTGAAGATGACGACGATCTCTTCGTTGAAGCGGCCGCGGTGGTTGCTACGTATAACATGGTCTCTCGGTTCCTTATTTCGCTTGATGTTGGTGGAGGTAGCGATGATCTTGTACCGTGGCCTGCGGATGAGCAAGAGGTACTCTATTCAGTTTAACTTCATCGCTTGCCATGCTTACACCCTTTGGTCTGTAGCATAAGATACCCTTATCTTCGTCTCCTTCACATTATATCTATGCTAAAACTTATATCGTCTCCCCTTCTGCGCCTTGGCTCGTCTTTTGCAACTCTTTGCTGACCAATACCACCCTCTGGAACCCCCTCCTCACGTACCTCCTTGCGCCTCCACGTGCATTCAACATCCTCTTGCATGATCAACGCGGACACGGCGCTTCCGTCTCCTCGCTATCCGAACCTTGCACGATGCCGATCCTCGCGCAGGACGTCGCCCACGTTCTTGCGTCCCTCGGAATCAAGCAAGTGCACAGCGTTATTGGAGTATCCCAGGGTGGAGCCGTCGCGCTCAGTTTTGGCACCCAATTCCCACATCTCACGAAGAGTATCGTCGCATGTGATACATCTCCAAAGACGCCTGCCGGAAACAAAGAGGCGTGGGAGGGTACGGATTACTACCGCGAGGGAAAAAGGTATGAAGGAGCTCGCGAATATCACCGTTCCACGGTGGTTCCCAAGCGGATCGGCAATAATCCATCCTAGGCGGCAGGCGGTAGAAGAGATGATAGAGGGCACGGATTTGGATGGTTTTGCGTTGGGTGCGGGTGCTTTGATGGAGTATGATCTCTATGCGGATGGGCTAGATGACTGTAAGGTCAAGACGTTGCTTGTCGCAGGAGATTTGGATGGCGGCGGAAACGTCGGTAAGGGATTGAAAGCACTCAAGGAGCGTTGGGCAGAAAAGGGGGTGACGTTGCATATCAAGAAATTCCACAAGCAGGACATCTTCCCATGATCGATAACACGGACAGGTATTGGGAGGTGCTGAGCGCTTTTTTTGGGAGTGTCGCGTAAAATTGTAGTTTAAACGATCGGATGTCGAATGTTGTAAGTTGAAAGAAGTCAATGATATTTCCAAATTTTACCTCTATAAGTAGGAGCTGGCGCAGATCTAAAATCCGAACGTAAATGCATACTAATAATAATCGTCAGTATGTAACAAGAATTAAAATGTCAACTAGTATAAGTATCTAATATCTACATGTTAAATTATACAATTCGTCTAGCATGATCGTCATTACTGTTGTTCTAGGGTATCATTATGCTGCCTTCTCGCCCTGAGCGGCCTCTATCTCAAGCTGCCTCTCAATTTCTAGATCCTAGCAGCTTTCGTTAGCTCATACCCCAGTAAACCGCTGTGGATCACTCACAATACACGGTGCGAACTTGCTATGTCTCCTGATCTGTTTGCCGAATTTGTAAAAGAGGAATGGGCTGGGCGCTAGCACCACGCCAATTAGACCAACCAACGTAGACGCCCAGTTGATGCCAAGCTAGATATACGATAAGTAGGTTTAATTAAGAGATGTGATGTTGATGCTCTTACATTGTGATACATCTGGACGGTGAAAAGGGGGAATGCGGCAGCCACGAGAGAACGTATGATAGTGTTTGCAGCAAATGCGGATGCAGCATGGATCCTAGGAGAGTGTGTGAGTAAACGATGGGATTCCAAAAAGGATGCGATTTTAACATACAAGTACACGTCCAGCAGGTAGCTCTATTAGAGTGTTGTGTCCTCGTGAGTTTCATACATCATGAGAGGATATAAAACGTACCAGGAATGACATGAATATGAGGCTTATACTGGCCCCAATAAAGATCGTGCTGATGGCAGGAACATACCACTTTATGCTCGCATACTGGCCTGTCCATCCCAGCCAAAATGCGCCAATTATAAGACACGGTGCGCCTATCATTGCGCCATAAAGCCGTTCTTCGGGAGGCGGATACCCTTTCCATTTCCGCACCAACTCTGGATAGTGCAGGGAGCAAGAGAATATTGATTATAGCACCCAGTGTCGTGCCGATCCCGACACCAATGAAGATCAGTCCGTTCTCCCAAAGTGTGAAGCCACGAGTCTCGATGAAGATGATCGGGATAGCCTCGAACACTGTTATACGCCGTTAGGAAACATGGGACGGTTATTAAAAGAAGAACAGGTTCCTTACATGCGTACAGAACGGCATATACGACTGAGATGTAGACTGTGACAAGAACGAGAATGGGTTCTAGTAGAAGCATCTTGAACGGTCGGCAAAGCGTCCGCTGTGCTATTCCTTTGATCGACCAGTCTTCCATTTCATGTCCGGCAAACAAACGGGCATTGCTTTCGGGATCCTCCTTTCTCAGCCGCTTGACCTGTGATTAATGAGTTTCAGTACGAGGTACGTGAGGATGAGGTAACCCACCTTCTTCAGTAGGATCACCGACGCATTAGTTTCAGGAAGGAAGATGATAGCCATCACAGTGCATGCGCCTGCAAACATCATCATCACCCAGTATATCCACCTCCATGTGACTGAGCTGCTGGCGATACTAGGATGATGGTCAGACTACTTGACGACAAGTCGAGGCGATAAACTTAAACTTACAAACCACCGACGAGCGGCCCGAGTACAGGTCCAAGGAAGACGCTGGTAGCAAACAGGCTTGCGGCAGGACCTCGACCGATCGCAGGCCATATGTCGGCAATTATACCTTAAGGTCATCATACATGTGGTTAGGGCGAGGCAACCGGGCTAGAAGCGCGTTACTTTACCTCCATCAACGGCAAGAGGTGCTACGCCAAAGAAGCCAGAGAAGAACCGGCAGACTAGTAGTGACTCAATATTATGAGCCAGAGCTTGTCCGAGATGGAATAAGATGTACGCGAACATCGCTCCCAATATGATGGGACGTCGTCCGTATAGTTCACTGCCGGGTCCCCAGAATGATGGCTGATATTGAAGAGTCAGAAAAAGCGACTGGGGAGGAAGCGGGCGCATACCCCAATTGCCAATCCCAGTAAGAAAAGAGTCACGATTGTATAGGCCGTTTCGCTGTTGATGTTGAATACGCGGACTGTCTCAGCGAAAGCAGACGTGGGAGCCGCGGATGCAAAAGAACTAAAGGGAAAGAAAGGTTTAGCGAATGCAACGATAAAAACGAGAGACTGTACGCACACAGATAGCGCCAAATTGACGCTAACAATAGTGACGATCCATTTCTTGCTATTTGGCCAGTTTTGAGGATTACTGGGATCGTCTGGACCGTCCCATGTTACCATGTTGGGGTCGACGTAAGCTGCATGAGAGAGATTAGCAACATTTGAATGGCGAGAGTAAATCTCCTTACATCCAGAGTCATTATTGGGCAATTTATTTTCCCCATCCTTGGTTCCTATCGCCGTTGTTTGTGCAGGTGAGGAACGTGTCGCGTCAAGAGTAGTAATGGAGGAGCGCGGAGTCGGATTCATGTTCATAGTCATCTAAAGACGACGAACCTCGAGGGTTGTGTACGAGGGGAGCACCACAGAGCATATCCACGAAGTGAAGGTGCAATTTATATGAGCGCTGTTCGCAGTGCATGATGGATACCCAAATACAAATGCAAACGACGTTCGCCATGGATCCACTGTTGAAGCGCGTTCTCGAAGGGTGGTCTCCGGTTCTAATGGAGCCGGATGGCCCGATATTGCGGAGCTGACAGGTGAAAACGCAAAGCATGTGAAAAAAGTGCCGCCCCTGTCCTCGCATACACGGTAAAGTCATTATCGTTGTCAGACTAGATGAGCTCCCGGATGCAAGCCCGTAAATGAAATGACAGCCGCCCTCCGTGGGCCGTGGGCCGCACGCGTTTGGACACTTTGTCTGTGGATACAAGAAGGGAGCATGGCAGCGTGGCATATCCGAGATATGGAGAGATATTGGCTTCGAGGTCCGGTGCCTTTCTTCTAGTGAATAGGTTGTATGAAGGAGAGCACGACCCGAGTCCTTAAGAGGAAGGTCTTACTGCAGCAGTCGACTCCGAGGCCTTGTGAGGCGTGGTTGCGAGAAGATAGTCGCAGTGCCCTAGACACAACCTAGACGCATGGACCAACACATCACTGCCATTTTGCATATCAGCCTGAGAAGGCGAAACTTGAGAGGGACACGGAATTTGGATAAGACAAAGTATTCATCAGAGTGTTTGTTCTAGCGTTTCAGCTGGATTGAAACTATAGGAAATCTTCGATAGAACAGCAACGCAGATTTTAGGCCGCCAGTATAATAGGAACAGCCGGGGGAGGAGATGCACAAATTGAAACGTGATGTTCACGATGCGGTGGATGAACTGTCAATCTGGGGTCAACAGCTGCTATCCATAGTTTGAGCGGATGCACTAATGAGTCTGACCATGATTACGATACTGCATACACACTAGGCCGCATTTACTCACTTTTCTCATGGACGAGGTCGTGGTAGTGACAGCATGTCAGTGGCTGTGCTTCCTGCTAAGTTGACGAATTCCATAAATGAATAATTATATAAATCGATCTAGACGCAAATAGTCACAGTCGCGTGTACTTCAGTCACACCCACGTGCCCAACTTAGCACGTCCACCGCTGATCACAACGGCCGCTGACTTAGTTGCTCGACGCTCATCCGCCACGGACAGTCTGATGGAGCCATTAGCGTTGCCAGAAGATTCCAAACAGAAACAAGATGCTATTCGCAAGGAAATCGCGCGACTCCAGGGTCAGCTCCAGTCTGACGTCTCCGTCTCGCCAAAGAAGAACACGAAGCGGCAACTAGGGAATACGCTGGCGCCTTCAACACCGTCTCCAAGTAAGTAGCCAGCCTCTTATTTTATGGGCATTGCGTGAACCTATCTATGCTAGAAAAGAAGCGAAAGATTTCTGAAACCGGTACTGACTCAGCTATGCCGCGCCAGCCACATCCAGCAGCCAAAGCACCAATTCCTTCATCGTCCAAAGTTGCGACACCATTGCCTCCAAAACCTGCACCCTCAGCTGTTTTGGCCAAACTGGCGAAAAACAAGTCCCTTAGCCCCGACGACGATGACGGAGAGGTTGAGCCCTTGCGATCAGCAGCATTTACGGACAAGCCTGCCGAGGTGAAACCAACAGCTGGACCGCAACGCGATGAAAGGCTAGCTCTCATCGAAGATTTCGAACCGGGCCCTTACGACCACAAGCCACCATTCGACGACCCCAATTTTGAGCAACTGGAACCAAATTCGGGTATACGGCTTTCGTATGTACTCCATCCCAATTCATCGCTTTCATTCTCACTAGTTGTTTTAGCTCTCGTATCCTTCCACATGAGGACCTACAAGATCATTTGACAGGACGTTTCTACATCTCCCCGTCCCGACTCTACTCATGCGTCCGACTTCTTCCTGACAAGCGAGGCTATGATGTCCCTGTGTGCGGTGACTGGATTACCATTGCGGTCGTCGCCGAACGTGGTCCTATCAAGTTCAGTAAAGCACATGTGACCATCGAAGCAGACGACGAAGGGAAGAAAACAGACGCGAAAGGGAAAGGGAAGCAGAAAGAGCCACCCAAACCATCAGGCAAGAAGTACGTCAACATGAAGCTCGTCGACTTTGGTTCGAGGTCACGCTCGGCATCTTCTGCAACTGGGGGCAAAGCAGTCATACGTGGGGATGCGTTTTTGTCGTTGTCGTTGTTTGAGTCGGACGGGTTTGATGTAGAGACGCGAGAGAATGGTTCGAAGGGGAAGGTTTACAAGGGCGGTAGCCGAGGTGCCTTTGAATCAATGTCGAAGTTGAAGGAGGGCGATGTCATTGCGCTGATGAATCCCAAAATTTTAAAACCATTTCAGGTATTCTCGTTTCCTTTCCAACTTGGCCTGTCTGATCGTTCGTAGCATTCAACAAGTAGTCCCCATCCCACAAACAATATCCTCGCATTGACACCGGAATCTGTTGGCACGATCACTGTGATAGGCCGAGCAAAAGACCTGGGAATGTGCACAGTCCTCAAGCGCGATGGGTCAGTGTGTGGTTCATGGTGCGACAAACGCGTGAGCGATGTCTGTGAATGGCATGTCCAGAATGCTGTCGAACGTCGTCGCGCTGCACGTCCTGAATTCTCTGCTTCGTAAGTAGTATAGCCTCTGAAAAATGATTCGCTGTGACTTCCTTGCCAGGACATCTGGCATGTCAAACACCGCAATCAAGAAACGCAAACCGGCTTACGATCCTGCGCGGCAATGGGGTCTGAAGCCGGAGGACGCGGATGGATCAGCGACCTACGTGGTCTCAGGACACGTCGTCAAAGGCTCATGGTCCAAGCTCATTGGAGGTTTCAGAGAATATTGGTAGAGAAGGGACAGGCTAAAGCTCAGCGGCTACGCGCCTAAAGATGCGGATAAGGCCCTCAAAACCCTTTTGGACCGAGATAAGGAGGGTATGAAAGCGGTGATTGCAGCTAGGGAGTTTTCTCAGAAGGAGGATAGGAAAGGGAAGGAGGATGGGAAGAAGAGGAAACGGAGAGATAAGGAAGAAGCTCCCAAGGACGAATTGAGGACGAAAGAGAGTACTCCGAAGAGCCATTATAGCGCAGAGATGGTCAAGCAACTGGGGTTCAATCCCGCAGCGAGAACGGGTCAGCCTCGGGAAGATCCTCATTTGAGGCAGAAGGTTTGTTGGTTCCTACATAATGTTTGTTTCGATTTTGTTGACGTTTCTCCATAGCTTGACGCGCTGGCAGCTATGCAGTCATCGAAGAGGGAATTTAATTTGGCACCGCGACCTGGACTGAGGGTACGCTCTAATGTTATAGTGCCGGTTGGGGAGAAGAGCTGCCTTTGACTACGGAGAGAGCTGGGAATGCCGGTGCTGGGATGTTGTGATGGTTGATCTTGATGAGTGAATACTGGATTGGCATATTTTAATATCCATTTCTATCTATGTCATCCATATATATATAAAATAGTCTTAACTGCCACGAGAATTCCTTTTCATATTTACCTGCACTGTACCGACAACCCTATACGCGATGTATCACTGCGGTAGGTTTGGCTTATGCAGTAGGGAGTGTTTTCGTTTTCTTCTACCCTTTTCGAGTTAACCACAGCGAGTATTTCATAGGGATGTAAAGCATGTACGAAGAGTGCAGGGTCAGCGGCGCATATGAAGTATCTTCTTCTATATGCGTCATACAGTACACAAATTGGTGACTACTATGTACATTGAAAAGGTCGAGAAAATACGGCCTTTCGGTCTACTGAGTTTTGGTCTTTCCCTTTCCCTTCTTTACCACTGACGCGGGCGTCAACTTAGCCTTCCACACTCTCAACCCGAAGAGTATCGTATAGATATAGCTGCTAACGGCCTTTGCCCCTAGTGAGCTCAGCGCGAAAGCCGGCCTCACTTCGAAAGGCACAACCTCATCAAAAGCCGGATGAATCGTCATTGTGCTATACACAATAGCCACCAGAGAACCAGCCCACACGTCCAACGATCCCCAAAATCCTACACCGCTCCGTAAAAACACGGGAGTCCCAAAACTCCATTCTGACGTCCACGTCTTGAGAGTAGCGGCTGATGCGCCGCCCCCACAAGAAACGACCGCACCAATGATAATGTGAAATAGTGCCGATGAAGTTAGCTTGCTGTCTATGGCGGGGTTGGATGAGATCATGGCAAGTGTACTTGTTACGGCGTTGGCTCGGAGGAGACCGTCGAGGGGAAATAACACGAGATCAAGGTTTGGACTGGTGAGGATGTTGGGGAAGATGGTGAAGAGCAGGGTCACAACAAGGTGAGGAACGATGTAGTTTATGTATGGGTGGATCGAGAATAGGATTGGCGGCGGAAGGGATAGCAGAGTGTGCGAAAGGACCATTCCTCCCCAGCACTAGGAAGGAAGCCAGTTAGTCAACATAATATGTTTACAGCATTACTCTCTTGGATTCACCATTATAAGATATCCCACAATGTAAGTTCCCCAGGAAAGCTTGCTTCCTGATTTTCTCATATTGTTTTGATAAGCCATGGAGACCCGCATTGCATGGAGAGTAGAAGCCCATGGATAAGGAAACAAGGTAGGATGAACTTGAGTGGTTGTCAAGAAAGTAAGAGCATCGGCGAATGGACGCAATGCGTACGCAAATGCTTGAGCCAGCGCTGCCATGGATGATGCTGGTCAAGCTGGAGGATTAATCCAGGATCGATCGACGACGTGTTCTGAGAAGAGGGCGGACTAAAGATATTCCGGGTTCATTCCGGAACGTTCCGGCTGTACCTCATCTCTTCCATCTCGTATTTTCACGAACCTCTTTCTGACAAACCCTTTACCAAATCAGAATCTTTTTCTTCTATTTGAGCGGGAGCATTGATTTTTGGCAATTCGATGAATTTGCCAAGATGCCTGGCTATTCACCTCAGTTGTGTACTCTATTGCTTACTTCGACATTTTAGTTGGAATCGTCTCGCTGTCAGAGTCGTGCTTTTCATGATCCCGAGCCCTGTTCCGTAACGTTGGCTCTCACTACTTGGTGGTCACCGAATGGGCTTCACAAGAGATGACGTACGTAACAGGGCGAGCAAGAAGTATGCTCTTGCACCGGAAACATCCATCGTAAAGAAGTGCCTACAATACACACCGCCGGAATCATCTATGCATCACAATCTCGACCATTTGTGCTGGAATTCTAGGGAGGACCTGTAGGTGATCATGGTCTCAATACTATATCCAAGCTGGTTCGATGTCCAGGATCCCGGCTAGAGACAGGAGAAGTACAACTCAAATTCCGCCTCTAAAACAATAGCGATTGCCTTGTCCATAATGTGTTGGGGCCATTGTCCAATGTCTACGCTGAGTCGGACCTCCGAGGCCGGCAGGAAAATCGACCACGAGATCGCGGATCAGTCAAATGGCTATTGTTCTACTCTTTTGTCAAGTTCAACTTCAGTCGGCGGCACCCCTTCTGGTTCCTTATACCTGAAACACCACCTTAGCTACCGTATATCTAGAGGGCCCGTTACTTCCTCCTTTCCTCCTCCTGCTACTCCAAACTCTCATCTCAAGTCAGGTTTTACAGCTGGTTCTCTACACCTTGGTACGAGTTCACAATTGGATTGCATTAATAATGGCCCGGTCGCTCATTGCCACTCGTAGACATTGTCGCATTGCCCTTACTCCCATTCTCGTATCCGCATCGACTGAAGTGCAGAATCATTCTCAGGTTGGGTCTCCAATGCGATGACTTTAACGTATCTGACGAGTACCAACACACCCTAGATTACCATACGATGGCGAAACCGAGTCCACCATCTACACCGCCGAAGCCGTTGTGCCTTAAATGTGGCTTTCTATCATCTTACCCTCAGATTAAACGGGAACCGCCGGATCCGCGTCTCGAAGCACTTCTTAAGACCAACACTCCCCCACTCGAAGCAGAGAAAGCAACCTTTCGTAAGGCGAAGGAAGATCTCCCCCTCATTGTATCGGATTTGGACGAAAGAATCGCACAGACTCATCAGTTACTTCATGCTCTTAAGGGCGAACGAGCTCAGGCTGCGGAGGACCTTCGACATGCCAAAATCGTGCTACATCCTATGCGAACCATCCCCGACGACATTCTTCGCGAAATATTTCTACATAATACATTGACTTGGGAGGATCTGGTCGATGCGGGGAGGCGACTCGCTTTCCACGATTCTCTCGACCCAAGGTGTGGGCCGTGGGTGCTGACACATGTTTGTCGGAACTGGAGAAGCGTAGCCTTGTCCATGCCGTCGCTGTGGAACTGCATTTCCCTCGATTTCAACGTATATTACAGGCAGAGGGACCGCCCTGCGTGCGTTGCCCTCCAGCTTGGGTTACATATCCAGCGGGCTCGCAGGTCTCCCCTTTCGATCCGAATCGAGAGTATGGTTGACATACATACGCACAATGCCTTTCCGATCATCCTCTCGAGCATGTCGCAATGGAAACACTTGCACATACGTGTCCCCCCCGCAACTTGCCACCAGCTTGCTCAATGCAAAGCATTTCTAGAAAATCTCGAAGAGGCGTGCATCGACGGCGGCACATTTCCTACCAGTTCACAGCGGGAAAGCCTCGAAATGTTCCAGATGGCCTCTAACCTTTGGCGGCTGCACATTGGTGAACACGCGGATCTCCGTAGCCATCGCCTTCGTCTTGCCTGGTCGCAACTGACGTACCTCTCTATCGATATCTACGCCGATATGAATTTCAATCTTTTCAAGGAACTCAAAAAACTTAGGAGTCTCCGAATCGTTTTCCCTTCAGGACCGCGGAAGTTGAACGTATCGCAGCGCATTACTCTACCCAAAGTTGAGTATCTGTCTTTGAAGAGAAAAGGGGCGGCGCACGGAGTGAACACGTTGGCAGGAGTATTTGACATGCTGGATCTTCCCTCTCTGGACTCGCTCGCATTTGGTGCGAACATCGAACCAGGGTTGAAAGGCATGCTACTCGATTTGCCGACATCTCTGTCTTATCCAGGCCGCGAGCTTGACAACGTCTCCTTAGGATTCCCAGACTATGACCTCTCAATCCCTGAAAACAATTCCCGTATCCTCAATTTCTTGACTCAAGCTTCCGACGTCGTGGCTATTGGGTTAGCGTTGAAAAACATCGGGAAAGATGTTATGAAGAAGCTCACCGCCGACGATGTCAACGGTTATAACCGCTTCCCAACCCTCAGACACCTCGACTTCCACAACGCCTCCTTTACGGTATCTCAGGCCGCCCTTCTTGACATGATCGAGTCACGGTGGAAAAATGGCGGGGAGGACGAGGAGTCGTTTTTGAATTTGAGACGGATTCATTTACCGGAAGATTTTGAATTTGATGAACCGGGTGCGGAGGAACGGTATCTTGTTTTGCAAGAACAAGGGCTGTTGATTTACTGTCCCGTAGTTGACTGAACGCTCTAAACACATCTCGATTATCATTATTACACACTAGTAGCTGACAATAGCCGAGCAGTCGAATAGTATCACACCGTCTATTACTTGTGGCACCTTTTATGACCCATACCGTTATCGGGGTTTTCGTCTTCACGATCGTGTTTGCCTAGAACTGTGGAGGAACCGGAACCGATCCCTGATGCAGCCTCTTTAGATTTTTCAGTGGTACCAGGCGAAAGAAAATCCGCTAGAATGGCCTCCATGAAAGCCTCTCCAAGAGCATACGCCATTCTGGGTGCAACCTGCGAGTGCGATGAGAATGACAAACAAATGATAAATTATATGATGGCGGATACATACAGCGTTACCAATTTGTCTGTATTGATCCGTCACTGAGCCAGATATAAAATATGTATCTTAAGTTGCAAATCAGCCCGCTAAGTATACTGTACTAATCAGAAAGTCAAAGACGTACCCGGGAAGGACATTATCCTGGCACATTCCCGCGGGGACAACAATCTTTCTCCTCCTTGTTCGAAAAATTTCACGTCAGTGAGTGTTAGGGCTATATTCAAAAGCAACTCACTTACCTGGGTGCACACATGCCCAACGATTGCTACACGATGTGCGAATTGTACATGCTGGTTCGTCCCACTTCGCAACGGGCCAACCTGCTACGGACGCGGTGGAAATAGCGTGATGTTCTATCCTTTCGGAAGCATCCATCAACTCTGCATATGGCGTAAGCATTTCTCGAGTCAACATAAAAACGGGATTTCCCGAATTAGCGTCTTCTCGGGGGTTAGAAATATCGAGGTCCTTTATCGCATCTCGTAGAGTCACTGGTCCTGTTTCAGGTATCGTAGGCTTAGGGAAAGCGGGCATAGTAAGTCCTAGTTTGGCGACAACCAGAAATAGCCGTTTGCGAATGGTAGGAACGCCATACTCTTTTGCGTTAAGGATCGCCCAGCGACTTTGATATCCTGCCTTCATGCAATTTATCATGACCTCGTGCAGATGGTGCAGATGCGGAGGGAAAGAAAGCCTAATGTAGACACTGTCAATTGCTGCCGCCTCATTGGGTTAGTATGTGAATCACACATACCCAGTAACATTCTCAATTAATCCGTAATATGTGTTGGTGGTCGTCAGGATGCGTGTGGAAATTGATAACGCTTTACGATTGACATCGTCATTTTTGCCACCAGGATTGGCTCCAGAAAAACCCTGGCAAGGGGGTGAAATCAAGGCTACTGTGAGATCAGGACACGTTATATTTTCATCTTCTAGCTCGGAGAGAAACGTGTCCACGGTTGCAAAATGTGCTTCAGCTTCGGGGTGATTGATCTAGCATGGTGAACGGTAATGAGTAACGATGTTTACCATAGGAAACACTACATACCTTCCACGTATTGTGCGCGTGAAGATTTCTGTCGATTCCAACGACTACATTGAAATTCGCCATTTTAAAGCCTTCGGAAAACCCACCCGCGCCGCAAAAGAAGTCACCAGTTGCTAATAATGAAGTAGGGCGCACAGGCTTTTTGGGGAGTACAAGTCGTTTCATCCCTTTCAATAGAGCAAGAGGACAGAGGTGCTCGCGAACATGATTGTTCACCTGAAGGGCCCATTCACACTTGAAACCTGCTGGCGTCCCGCCCGCCCAGTGAGGGGCTTCTGAGAGTTTCCCGTGATGCGCTATGATCTTTGTGATGTCTGCGACAGAGACAACCGACGTGACATGATCTGCATCATCTGGCAACAGCAGAAACTCCCGACTTTCTTCTGAGAGACTCTCTACATGCCGGTATTTTTGGGGGTCTTTTCCTAGACAAGGGTCGAGAAAATCATGGACACTCAGATATTTCAGACCCTCTAGGGTGAATTTGGAGTCCGATTAGTCTTCTGTACTTCGGAAATCATTTCCACGTAGATGAGGAAATGTACGAAGCGGTGTTGAGATTTCGAGGATCCAAGTTCGACTTCAAGGATATCGTTTACATGGACCTCGATTCCGCAAATTGTTGTCCAGTCATGGTTAAGTGTTGTCTATCAACATATCAGTCAAAGATCAGGTCAGGTGTAATCAAGCGCAACGCTATTAGATGCACACCTCAACTTTGGGAGTCCGCTTGGAACGCCCTACAACATGTTCTGTCCAGCCATCGTCGCTTGCGTCGTCGTCGGTTTCACTCTCGCCCTGTACAAACTCATATTCTACATCATCCTCCGATTCCTCACTATCAGAATCTGGTTCAGGGATAGGTCCACCCGATGAGTTCTTCCCTTTCCGTCGCCTTTTTGCCTTAGATTTCTGTATCCGAGGTTTCTGGGAGGTAGATTGTCCTTTGGGAGGGTCCTTATTATCTGATGATGCTGCGACTTTGGAAGGAGATCCAGATAATTGGGGAGGTGCAGAAGCAACAGCAGAAGGTTCAGGAATGACATCCACAGTCATAGGTGTGTAACTGCGCACCCCTTCTGCACTGATAGCTGAAACCTTGACACGGATTGGCGCTTTCCCCAAAATCTCCTTGGACCACTCCGTGCCATCAGTCAAGTCAGTATTCCTTACTTCGTCAGGGAATATCGTTATGATCTCATATTGACAAGCACCGCGAACTGTGGAGAATGAGACGAAAAGGGTGCCGCCTCGCATTTCCCCCTTCAACTCGTTCACACAATTCAGCGGGCATTCAAATAGAAATGGCTGTGAGTAAGCGACGGAAAAATGAGTCCGATTTGCGTAGACCTGAATGGTATAGACGCGTCCCGGGTGATAGTCGGATAGTAGCGCCATCTTGTCTGTGGTAATTATATAACTGATGTCGGAAACAGCATCACCTATCTCTATGGTCAGCAAGCTATTCTAGCGTGTGATCAGTCAGCATGACTTACCGCTATGGTTTACCGATGCGTCCCACTGGGCTTCCTCCTGATCATCAACAGGAACTTTCAATTCATTATTCAGCGACTGCCTCCCAGGCTTGACGACAACAGTGAAAGCTGAGGGGGCCGAACACGTCCAAGTCAATTCCATTCTGTCGGGATAGCCGAAACGCCGCGGGGGAGACTTTATCTTCAAAGATCGTGGAAAGAGTGCAACGAGACTACGATTTAGAGCGTTAGCAGCGCGTATCTCGTGACGCGGCAGCCTAGTCATCGTGCTGTCAGCAATCTGGGATACAAGATCCATGACAGAGCAATCGCATGTAAAAGTATTATCGTCATCATCTTCTGACCTCGAATCATAGGCAACACAAGGTGACACAGCGCTGGCAGTCTTGTGAACGTATTCAATGGAAAGGTTCCGGTCGTTCAGATACAATGTAGTTCCCGTGAGGAACACGTCCAAATTGATGTCCTTGGCATCCTTCCAGACGTATTCAAGGTGTTGGGTAGACGAATGAGAGACCCGGATCACGTTAAGGAGGTGCCGTACATGATGAGGAAATGCAAACTGCGATTCGAATGCGGTAGTATCCGGGCGTATTTGGAACAACCGTTGTCGTTCGGCATCTGCCGTCCGAATGATCTTATGTTTGTCGAAAAGCCTGTATAATGAATCCGGTAGAGCTACGGGTAGACGCTGCAGAGTATGGATGATCCGACATTGCCGTTCACTATCGTCTGTGCTCTTGCCATATAACCATATTTTTCTCCCGCTGTTCGCTCCGCGTTTTCGTAAGAGAAACGTGAACATTAGAAGCTTTGCAATCTCCTTCCCTCGAAATACCCCAGGCCTGAAGTAGTGGTCAGCATCTGCTATGTCAATGCATTTTTCGTCTTCTTCGAAGAGTTCCAAGTATCGGTTGGAGGCTGAATCGGGTGGAGAAGGGACGGTACTCTGCCCGTTGAACACACTCGTATATTCGTCGTAAAGCAGGGTCGCCCATATCGAAGAAATCGTCCAAGTTAGCTGATTACCCTCTGGTAGATCTCGATCCCGATTTAATGGTAGGTAGCCTGTGATGTTGTATCCATAGTAGATGTGGTTGCGAGTGTCTGACGAGTACTCCTTCACAAAAATGCCCTTGATATATAGCCTTCGATGGAACCCGTCACCGGTGCATATATATTCAGGACTGTGGGAATTCTTATCCTGGAGAATAGAGGATTCTGAAGGAGGGCGGAGAAAGAGAAAGTGGTTGAGTTTAATGACCTCCAACGAAAGCCCTTCAACAAGAACGTGCGTGTCTTTGTCACAACGATGAACGCAACCATCCTTGGTAGAACGAGCATTTGTACAGCGAACGACAAGGCTATGTTCCCCAACATTTTCGTCGTATTCATGCTTGAAACCCCACCGCTCGGAGTTGGTGTGGTAGACGACGTTATAGCCATTGCGTCTCAAGGCCAGGATTCCTATAAGCTCGAATGAGTATCGCGTCGTAGCCGTCATCTGTCGAAGCAAATAGTAATACGAAAGTCTCCCTTACCTACTTTCATCCCTTCTCCGTGTCCTCCGATAGCATTCGCATCTTCTTGCTTTGATGTCTGCCCCATGAGAAGATTTTTTCGAAGTAAGGCTACATCACAGTTTATAAGTTCAAGCTTCCTGCGCAATGGATTTTCGTGATCTGTGAAGATGATTTGAGCCACGCAAGGAGGTTTCCCTCCGTTCGACTGCTGAGGAATGGAGGCTGAGAAGACAATTTTTTTTGGATGTGGGTCTGCGGAGACAAGAGTGTTGTTGCAATTTTCTGATTTCTTGCCGCGCGTCTTTTCCACAACTTCCACCTCATCTGCCTCGACCTGGTGCTTTTGGAGGATGCCGTCGAACCAGTTCTGCACTAATTCCCGAACGCCGCTGGTAGGGTTCCAGATGTTGGCGCGGCCATATGTACGGGCAAGATTTAATCTGATTTTTGCATGTCCTCGAGGCGGGATACTTTTCTGGGCATCACCAGGATGAAGATCTTCATCACTATCACAGTAATCTGAGCTGTAAATGAAAGTCAAGCTTTACAAGGGGAATCTCAATGTTATCGCTCGCTGCTCACCCATCACTGTGTGACATGTTCTTCAAGAGAGAGATGACGGTGGCGCGGGGGACCAAGAGAATCGAGGTGGTTGGTAATAAGGTGTCGAGTAAAATTCAACAGACCATACTAGGTTCCGAAATAATGCGAATTCCTCTTAGGATCTTCCCACCGTTCCTTCCCTGGAAGATTTCGATCCGTTCGTCGACACGAACTAGCATGGACTCTTCTAAAACGGGCCTAGTTAATGCTGCATACGGCATATCAACTTCTGTACACAATTTCTGCAGAGTATCGGGAGTCTATATATCGCGAGGGTAAGGCCGAGCACAGAGTATCGAATACACAGTCCCCGGGGTGTTGGTGTTGGTGTTGGTACCGGCCCAATGGAATGAAGTCTTCAAGGTTTAATTTACGAGCAAACAAGGACCAGCGGCCGCGGTACACACTGCCGTGGCATGAAGTGCGTCGCTGCTAATAATAACTTTGCACCCCTCTCAAACTGTTCTTCCAAAAATTTGTCAACCATCTGCCAAGATCAACGTTCAACGTTCAAAGTAGAAGCGAGCAAAAGGAAGATCAAAGCACCTCTGGTAAGCACCGATGGCTTCAAGTTCGACGGTAACAGGTCACGCAGGATGACTGAAGTTCACCTCGACTACCTAAGGGGGATGAGGAACGGAACGAACCACAGATTAAAGTTGGATTACCAGGATGTCTTAATTCCATCCGTCCATTCTTCGTTCCTTGATAGAGTGACGGCCAGAAGACGTTTAATAAGATATACTATAAGAACAAAATAGTCATTCGTCCGTTCTTATTCCAAGAGCTATATCTGTCGACTGCTCATTGTCACCACCAAGCCCTGCGCCTTGTAAGCATTCAGCATGGAAAGAGCAGCAACGTCTGCCAAGGTCTTTTCATTTCCTTCCTCCGTCTCATCCACCCGGACAGACGTACAGACGCTAACGTTCCGTAGCTGGCAAACGGGAGGAGACAAAACGTCTGCCAAGGTTCATCGTGACTCTACCATTTCAGCGAACGCCTTCATGGGAAATGCTATGGTGCCGTCAAGGAACAGAGTGTGAAGATTTGGGACGAGAGGTTTCGCTCCGTCGAGCTTCACTGTCAACTCCATGAGGTTCTGTTCGGTAACGGTATCTGCGTCGAGTGCACTGCCGGTTAGACGAAAATCTTCCAAGGTGGGTGTGTTTCGAAGGAAACCAATGAAATGCTCTGGCAGAAGACTGCCATGGTCATAATGGAGCACCTTGAGGCTGCATTTCGACCGGGAAATCATGTCCCCAATGGCACTGAACGTCCTTGCCGGTTCACGATCCTCGTGCCCTACTTTTCCCGATACCAATAAGGTTGTTAGGGACGGTAGTATAATCTTATCCAAGAGTAAGGCAACGGAATCGTACCGCCAGTGGTGGTGTATCCCCGAAAGTGTGAGAGTGTGGAGCTTTGGACACGTAACTGGAGCGTGTAACAAGTCATCTCCCCTGTTTTCGCACTGAATGGAGCATTCCTTTAGATTAATGGCCGCTGCAAGAAAGCCGAGCACCTCATCGAAAGTCGGGCCGGGCTGGGTATCTTTGGAGTGCGTATGTTTACTTTTAAACTGTGTAATTTGAACCCAAGGGAGATCGAACACCTCCGAGACCGCAGCTATATCCATAACTCTTATGTAATAGAGTTTCGGGCAGAAGTCGAAAATCCGCAAGTTCGTGTGGTTCAAAATCGTGATGTCTATGCAAAGAACGGAGAGTCTTTCGAGTTGGGGTAAAGATAATCGTAGAGGGGGTAAATTGACAAATATTGAGGACGAAAGGAAGAGACAGAGGTCGCGTATCCGATTTGCAATTGAGCAAAGTATTGTGGCTAAAGGCAATGGCAGTTCCTCGAACGTTGAGTTATCCGGATCGTTGGCAATGCAGACCGATAACTTGTGCCTCCCGGAGCGAAGCATGTGCTCGCCAATCCGTTGAGCGAATCCATAGGTGCCTTCTGTGAAGGTCTTATCCGTGATTAAAATATTCACGTAGGACCAAAGTTGCGGAAAGTCTAATGCCACCTCTCTCCAGTGTCTGGAAACCAGTGCAATCAACCAAGGAGCGCTGCAGGCACGTTGGAACTTCCACCACATATCCGTAGTATCTGTCCGGGCGGCTTTAATTGGGTATTCTATAGTCTGGAGAAATATGCGCGAAAGAATTTCAGTGGGAAGCCGGCGAATGGGACTGAGAAGTCGCTGTCTTTGGTTGATTGCCTCGGATATTCGTATGCGTTCCTCCCGTAGTAGCTCTACCTTCTGATCAAGAAGAGCTATTTTATCCCTCATTTCCATAGACAGTGTGATTAGGTTTGATTCTTCCGAATCGATGTCCTTCAATTCCGCCTGATAAGACAATATCATGGCATTCAGCGTGTCCGCTTCGGCAGGCAAAGGCGGCTCGTTTGAGCGCATCAGATGCGCAAAATTAGAATTGTCTAGAGAATGCCGTTCGGGAGGGAAGCTGTGAGAGGGTACGTGATGATTTGGGCAATGGCAGTCCGTGCACGGAGACCAGACTGAGTAGAAAGGAGTCATTGACCTGTAATTAAAGGAGAAATTCAGTTACGGCAATGGCCCTTGAGCTTTACAACTATCACCCTTTAACTGAACGGCAAGAATAGCAGTAAGCGATCTGTCCAAATTTTGCAAATGACTGTTGAGTGACTAGCAGTGCAGAAAAGAGGCCCCAGAAAAGTATCGGTACCGCCGGCAAACACCGATGACTTGTGTATTTAAGTGCCCTTCGGCCCAACAGCTTTTTTTCTACCTGCCACTACGACGATTTTACCACGTACCAATTGTACGCTGTAGTCAACAATAACTTTAGGTGCAGCCTTGGAAATTCCTGTCGCACCGCTCAAAATGAAAGGTGCGCACGTCCCAAGTCGGCATTTTCCTGCCAGAGACGCATCAAATATTGATTCTAATCTTCTCGCAGTATTGCCCCCCGTCGACAAGCTGCCTTTCGAGCTTCTGTCTTCCATCTTCGGCATGCTCAGCCATGAAACGCGTAACCATTTAGACCTGAACGGCGCACCTTGGACGGTCAGCAGGGTGTGTAACAAATGGCGTCACATTTCTCTCAATTCTCCGATGGCCTGGTCGACTCTCAATCTCACCGACGACGTCCGAAATATTTACAATGCTCACGTCCTCCTCCGACTTTTTCTTGCTCGTTCCCAATCTTCCCCTCTACACATTTCCGTCTGCTTCTTCACCCGTGGCTGCGAACAAGTATTCGGGGAGGTGTGGAAGTCAAGATCTCGTTGGGAGTCAGCTATCATTCGCGCGAACTATTATGTGGACTTTTATTCTGAGAATAATTTGGGTCGAGACGTTTGGCGTGCTCTCGGGGTAGCCGCAGAGTTGGAGAATTTGCGCTCACTACAGCTGGATATCCCAGCACGGATCGAAGATAAGTTCCTCGAGATATTGGTCAGTGCACCGCTACTTCAGAGTCTTGTGCTGTCTCCTCACATGAACCCATCCTTTCCTCTTGGGACTATTCGATCCTTGCATTGTCGACCGTCTAACACGGCCGATTTCATTAAAGTCCTCCGAGATGCAAAGCATCTCACAGAGTGCTCCTTCGATTTCAACGGAGATCTCATAGGATTATCCTCACCTGAAGTCACTCACTCCGGTATCCGCAAGCTATCCACAACTCATGCGTCAAGAGCATTCGATAACGTCACACTTTCCAATTTGGAGGATCTTTCGGTTGTTTACGGGTGCGGAGGCACAGGCGGACTAGAGCCCCTTGTTGGCCTGGTGTTGCGATCCCATAAACCCTTGAAACGACTCGAGTTGAAGTTTACGTTCAAGTTGGGGGAGTTTCTTCCTCTTTTAGAGGCGGCTCCCTCGCTAACATCCTTGATCCTTCGCCGTGTTCCCCTGTCTGAGGTGAACCCCATCTTGAACGCCTTGACTTGGAGGGATGACAGCTCCACCGTCGTCCCCCATTTAAAGGATGTGACAATTGATTTCCATGACGATAGAACGAATTTTTGGGTCGACAGCTCAACCGAATGATTCATTCGCGCAAGGAGAAACTGGACGCGTTCAGGCTCATGTTTCGTAGTATTCTCGTAGTGGAGGTGTTCGGAACAAGGACGCTAGCGTCACTGACTGAGGAAACGATGCAAACAGAGTGGAAGGACCTATGTCGTGGCATTTTGCGGCGTGAAGGGAGACTTCGTTTTTAGACCGATCTTGTACTATAAAATATGCCTTTCGTTCATCACTTCGCCTTAGTAATGTATCGTTAATCGTCTTCTGAACCTTTTCTTCGTTCTCTCCTCCACAAGGCATGAACTATCAGTGTTAGGATGATCATCGCCACGTCGTCTGCAACTGCAAAAGTGTATCCCTAAAGACGTTGATGATGAGACAAGGAATCATATCGTCTGTACCTACGCACCTTGAGATACCGCGGTGCATCTATAGTCTTCCACACTAGTAATGGAAGCCAAACAGCGAACGCATTCCCAATACTGTTCATCGAGGACAGGACCAATGCACGTTGTTGGCCGTCTAATGACGTGCATATGAGGTTTGCCCAGGAATACACGACGGCTGCAATTCCATCCGCCGATCCAGATAGGAAGAATGCGAAGAACTTGAGGCCTAGAGGGATGCCGTACCACACTGCTAAGACGATACCACAGAAGATGTTAATTATCGCAATGATGATAATTATAGTGCTCTCGGTGTTCGGCCTAGCATCCGATACTGATTGTATGGAATAAGTTTGTATTACACTTTCTATAAACCCGAAAACGTACTGATGGCGATGACAATGGTGAAGAGGATGGTGACCACGGGTGTAACGGTGGATATAGTGTTTATTTCGACTACATTGTGTCCCGTCGCCTTCAGCCAGAGAGAAAGGCCACTACACGTAGAATGTTAGCCCATTGCTAGTTGACAGTAAAAGAATATCTAGACCAACCTGTTGCTCATGATACCATCCGCATTGGAGAAAAATATGGCCAGTGCTACTAGCGCCCACCAGTGCCAGGTGGAGAACAGGCCAACAAAGGTCTGGTACGATAACTTTCCCAGCGGTTCGCGATTATCAGCAGCAATGCGTTTTTGAGCTAGTTTTTTCTCGTGTGGGCTTAACCAGCGACTAGTACACTTTTCCGGGACACCCTGAAATGGATGTGAGAATCTGACTGAACGCAAGAAAGGCTTCAAGTTCGTACGGGTAACAATACAAAGGATATAAGAGCGACAGGAATGGTGATGATGCCGTCTATAAGCATGAGCCATCTCCAGCCAGCAAGACCGTGGCGACCGTCGAGAGTGGTGTATATCGCTGCCTGGAGATAGCCAGACGACATGCTGCCGACTTGTGAAGCAATGAAGAATATCGCACTGGAATCGGATGAATCAGAGGTGGAGCAAAATAAAACTGGGTATGACGAACGCTCGCTTAGTGATCTCTGTTCTTCTATACCATGAACCAAGGATATACTGTATAGTCTAGAGTAATGCTGTTGCCATAGTTGCGAATGAGAAAACTGATACCGACTTACGGGAAAATATAGACTTCCAAAAGCTCCTACGAAAAACCTCAGCGCGTAAAGCGCGTGTACACCTTTGACCTTATATTGTGCTATCGTAAACACGGCCCTATACAATCGCTCTGTCAAGCATATATATATCTAACAAACAGAAACCACTCACCACATCAGATCACAGAACGGAATCCACCAATTCGATGGAAAAATCGTAGCCAACAACGTGAAGGGTATTTGGAAGGCTACATATCCCGCAGTGTAAATCGATGTCGAGTACGTCAATTCGCTGCCGTACATTGCTACAAAAGCAGGATTCAGCGTCCTGTCCGGTAATCATAAGATGAACGAGATGAACCTAAGTCTTCCTTCATTCCACTGACATAGGCGGTGGACACGGCGGACGCGTCCAGGACCTTAATCCAATAACCAAGGAATGCAGCTGAGTTGAACACGCTCTCAATTCAAGATCGTACAAAGAATATAAGTGGGCTCACGAATCAAGACCAGGAGATCAAGCTTCAGAACGAGTTTGCGTTCTTCCAGCGTATCGTCTTGGTTATACCAGTGGTACCACTTCTGTGACCTCTGTGGTGCTACCCTGGTTTTAGAGTGGTTGTCTGCGTCAATGTCGCTTCCCTTCTCCGTGATATCATATTGCGCTTGCAGCGTAAACATGGGGATTAGGTTCTTGCCAAGGTGTTGAGCCCGAAAGATATCAGTTTCCATCAATGACAAGACTGAGCTACGAATAGGCTCCGAGCACGCAATATGGAATCATCGAGGGCAGAATAGAAGAGCCACCATGTATCAGTAATATAATCTATCCGTCAATTCGGACCGAGAAACCAGTCCGCGACTGTGCACATGGTAAAGGCTGATATCATGGATTGAAACATTTGCGTAGTTCCAGCACAGGAGCTGGCGTTGCCTGGTCGAATGCAAAATAAGCACATGTTGAGCTGAAAGCGCTCATGAATAATGAGGTACGCAGGCTATGGTTCGAATCAGGAACAATTAAACAGAAGGAAAAACGATCGTACCGTGCCATGTGCAGTTGCACCGCCGAGGTTGATACACGTTTGAGACAGGGCAATATTCCCTTCGACGAAACAACATATGCGGACATGTTTACAAAGAAATTTTGAGTCAACATTCAACAGGCGTAGTGGCCGCGGCCTAAACAGACAAGTCGCCGAAGATGCCGCGGCAGGTCAAAATGTGGCACGAGATTCAAGATGGGATCTGTCATCTGATTCTCAGCTTGGATAGAATCCCATGATTCTATCCCGATGTCAGCCTCGGCGTTCAAGTCCAAGGAGAGCACGTCTCCGTTCAGTATCACAGGATGGTAAACTCAAAAATTTGTAATCTTTTAGCTGATGCCGAACGCTCCAAAATATAGAAAGCCTTCACACTGTTCACAGATCATTAATGGCAGAAATTTTAGTCTATAGGTTCATTTTTTCTGTAGTTTTCAGTCACCGTATTATTGTGTTATAGCTGAATCAACAATTGATCAAACGAGATCACTACTTCGAAAAAGAGGAAGATATTAAAAGCTGGCCATGACACCCCGACCGGTAGACGATCTTCTCTTGCGCGTGACTTCGTCGCGCAGTCGTCCTTCCTTCTCCTCGATCATTGCAATCTGAAAATGTAGGGCTTTATCTACATTGCGTATGCAATCTTTCGGGAACATACCTTCACTTTCCGCTTCAGCCCGTCGGCTTCAATCTGACACTGGCGCACATCGGTCCAAATGGCCTTCATTTCTGATAGGTATCTGAACCAAGACCAGCAGTTTATAGAGACGCTTGCGTTTGCGTAGAGTAGTCGTCTGATGAGGGAGCATGCGTGAAGTTGTATACTGGCGAAAGTTGTGAGGATCTGATAGACAGAAAGCGGGGGTTGCTAATCACGTACTCGTTGATCTGTATATCGACGGTGACAGGATCTGCAAGGACGCGATTGTTCTCGTTGAAGAGGGTCGTAATCTCGTGGATGGTACCCTCAAGATGCTGCAGTCTTTCCCATGTTGTGAGCGGTGGAAGAATAGGGTAAATGAGAAGACTGTAGAGAACGAAGGTACAGGCGAGCGTGTACAGTGAGGTCGAGGTGGAGAATGCAGTAGAAGCTAGGGTGAGGACGTATTCAAGTTTACTCTCTTGGCGGAGTGCCATGGGGGTTCTGCGAAGACTGGTCGAATTCATTGCGGTATTTGTATATATAGCGGTTTCAACGAAAATGGGTCTTTAGGGAACCTGGCTTTCCATCACTCTGGTTCAGATGACGGCAGACATCCAATCTACAAATAGGTGAGCTGTATGGCAAGCAACGGTCATCTACTACCCTGAATCAGCACGGGAACCTGAAATTCTGTCCTGGTCCGATGCAGGGCTTAAGTTGATCGTTAGCCTAGCCACTTTGGGGCGCACTTCTACCAGCGTGACACTTATATTAGATACCCTGGGGACCTATTGTTATTTCAAGATTAGCACAGAGCATATCTGTGATTTACAATTGCCGTAAACAGGGCAGACTGAAGGCGAGATATGATCGTGGCGGTGTTTGGGATTTTCCCTTTGCCTAATCGGTCTGTCATCGACTCCCTTTGCTTTGGGACGGATGAGATGTCAAATATAGTCAATTAAACGAAACAGTAGATCCAAAGATCGGTTGTTTTCCTTTGCCTCAAAAAGATAGCATTGTTATTTGTGAGAGTCCAAATCCGTAGTAGCGCAACATCGATTCAACAATCTTGAGCAAGCAAATCGATGAATACAGCTGTGAAAGTCACAAGTAATCCCTGAGTGAAAGATAAGGCAGGCAGAACTAGAGCACGGCATAAAGACAGATATAGACTATACCTAAGGTGTACTAGACTAGTGGCTGTACAAGCCATCTAGGACCTTGATCCCTTGCCGTGAGCTCGGAGGATAGCATCCTCCACTGTACTTGTGGCTCACCTCAAGGACCAAACCACATGGCCTGTCTTCCCTCGATGCTTCGTTCACGTTACTATATCCCGCATCCTGGAGTGCCGCAGGTTCCATGTTAAGTACTGCGAGAAAAAGTGCCGAGATCAGCTTAAGGAAAAAATGATGTAAAGACACTAGGGACTGAGGTCAGTCCATGTCAGTCCATCGCGAAGGACCAAAAAGCGCTTAGTCTATAGCGGGAGAAGCATCAACACTAGGCAGTGACACCCTCTTCATGAAGGCGTGTCACGTTTACGACATCCACGTTCTTAACGGAGTCAAGATTGGCATGATATTATAGATAAGTATCCTCTAAGCACGGGACATAAGGGGTTGTATTGCGAAATAAAATAGTTGCGTACCTCCAATATACTTTACAGCAGCCAAGATTATCAGCAATGGCTCCGCATTCGGAGTCAGAAGACGACGGCCATTTGAATGCACTGGCTTCTACTACAAAACGCCGATCAAAAGATCTGAAACGAGACCGCTGTTTTGTCGCCGTGTTGAATAAGTAGCGACATACAAGTGCCGCTTGGAAGGCATAATTTCGTGCGCGGCACAGAAATGAACAGTCGAAGGCAGGATACATCCCATGTTTCGTTTACAGGTGATCATTAGGTGGTATTGTCTAAGTAAATATGAGAACCCCCTGCAGCTCCAGAGATAAGACCAAAACGTACATTTAACATAATGCAAAGCAACACAGCAAAAAATTGTCCAAGATAGTCAACAAACAATTATAACAGCACGTTCCCCTCACCATAGAGCCAATGCCGCTCCAACCATAATGCCTGCCAGCACCATTGCCCCACCGCACTTATGTCCCGACGTAATCCCAAACACGATAGAGCTAGCTTTTGACGCAAAAGTCGTCACGAATCCTTTTGTCGGATCTGGTGATCCGCTAATAGTCACGGTTGGTATGGATGTGTCTAGCGTTGCAGGTGCGGTTGCAGACGACGTGACATCTGTAGCGTTTACAATAGAGAACCGTGACGACAGACAGTGCATGATGCCGTGCGTCGAGTTGAGGAAGAGAAGGAAATAGTCGTCTCCAGCTGGTATGTCTTTTAGGTATATGTTGAGTGATTTTGGTGAGGTAGGGTATGCCTCCACTAGATTTGAGGAAGAAAAGGGCTTATCAAGACAGAAAATAAGGCAGGGAACCCAAGCGCACCATTATAGGCTACGTATGTCACTCCGTCCTGGCTCAGCCTCATCAACTCTATGTCAAAATGCGTGATATCATCTAGCACGCCCTTCTCCCATGTCACTACGTTGGCAGCATCGTTCGGCCATTTCGCAGATGCCTGAGGTTCATTGATAATGAAATAGGCTAGAAAAAATTGAAAGAGAACGTCGTAAGCGAAGATTTTTTTTCGGGGAGACAGAGCGGAACACACAATGTACGAGTGTGGCGCAAAGACATAAAAGTAGAAAAGAAAGAGGAAGAGCGGTGTTGTGGGAGCGCATGTTCATTATTTTGTCGTGTACAATGGGTATGGATAGAGTTTTCCGTTAGAAGGTGTGAGAGGAAGGCTGCCTGACGGTGTGGCGACGAAGAACACGGCCTCGGAGCATGATGACCGTACTGCGGAGCCATGACTGCATAAGTCATGAGGCAGTTCTTGGACCCGGTCATAGAAACCTAGATCCCGGGCCGCTTACAAGGAAACTCTCATGGAAGTCTTTAAGACGTTTTGGGAGATTCGGAGAGGCAAGATAAGGACAATCGGGAGGAACCAATGAATGCGAGTGCTTTACAACAGACATGTGCTGGGGTTAGGACGTCATTGTTGATCCTGAACAAGAAATGATCGACAAAGCGTACCTATTGTCGGAACTAACGATATGCAGTAAATTCTTCTGTGTCAGTTCACAGCAGGTTGCTTCGATGATCTTTTTGACTTCCTTGGGCCTGTGGACCTTGACATTCACGCATACCTTCCGTAACGAATTCCATCGCGCCAGAGAAATGTCCAGCCTTGTCCACTGTACCCTGTCGCACACAAAATGGAGAGGCCATTGCTGCATACAGAAGCCAAAAATGGCAATCGTCACTTTTCGAAGTGCACATTCTGAGTGAATGGTATTCAAAAGTGAGATCCAATTCTCTAAAAGCGGAGCTAGTTCCATCTTGTCTGTGTTGAGGCCAAAAGCGAGGAAGCGGAGTTGATGAATGGGAAATGGGTTGAGCTTGATATCTAGTACGTTTTATCAGACAGGCAGGGAAACAAGGAGAGTATTCCGCACCATGGGTAACAAGCGCCTCATAGACTCCTATATTCAGCAATACCAATTTTTGGAACCCATCCGCTAATCTCGCTACATTCACCGCACCGTCGTGCTGAACGCACGAGTCCGTCCCGATCGCCAAGGATTTCACTTCCTTAAACGAAAGAGGTGATTTGGGATGCGCGAGGACGCCAAGAGGATTTTTCCAGTCAGACAAGACTCGAAGGGTTTTCAGATAAATGGTACCCGACTCGCCAGGTAAATCGTTGCTGAATGCCGAGGCGGAGACCGGACATTTGAGTCCTTTGTCTATCCACAAGTTCTCCATTTCTGGAAAGCCTCGCAGAAAGGAGAATAGATCGCCCTTCCTGAAAAACTTGCAATCATGTAGATGGACTCTCTTGATGCGGTTGTCGGCAAAGAGATGATTGAACAGAGACGCCTCCATGCCCTCTTTCTTCCGGAATATCTTCGGCCCATATTCTTGCAGTTTAACCTCTTCGAGGTTGACCAGAGAGTTCAGGACTCGCACTACCGCCTTGGCCGACATGAACCGGCATTCTGTAGGCCATTGGTGATTTCGCCGCAAATGAATGGCACGGACCAAAGGAGCCAGATGCTGCGAAGAAGAGAAGAGACTAAGGAATCTTTTCCATGTATTTCGTCGCGGTTCCAGCTGGATGTGGACTGAACTGAAAATATGCGCTCGAGCGCGAGCCAGAAAAGGTCGGCCAACATGCAGGCATACGATTAATGTCCGGTGATCATCATATAACTGGTCCAGTATGCAGTCGATTAGTTCCTGTGGGAGAACTGGGCGTTGGAAATTCCCTTTGGCGGCTCCTGGGTTCCGCTTGAGGCGTCGCAACGGGTTGGAGGTAACAAGACCCATAGATGAGAGTTTGAGAAAGAGAGACGCAGGGCGATCAACGGAGCCAGCTGTCAGTGATACAAGGATGGCATCACGGCTTTTGCGGCGCTCGCACTAAATGCACGGCAGATATAATTGAGTTACGGCAGTTTTAGCCGATGCTAGGGGTCACTGAATTGTCTCCTCCGCGAACCAGGGAAGACCACGATAACCGACTATTGAGTCATCCAAGATCATGATTACAGTTTCTTGGTAAACAAAAGACCAATTTTATCAACCAAGAGACGCAAACGTTGACTGTGTAGCGAGGATCGTAGGCAAAAAGACCTGTAATTCCGCAGTGGAAGTGGTAGATTGGGCCAGCTACGCATTGGTCACGGTATCTGTCATCAGAGTATGCATAATACAGAGTATGACTGCGGAGTCACTCTGGTCCACGCACAGCTTGGCCACAGACTGCGCTCGCTGTGAACTAGATTAAACGGCGGCCATCCACTGGTCACAATACCTCCACAATAAATGTTTCTATACCCTCGGAGCTGCCAGTTGAAAGCAACTTAGCACTGGGACGGGTTTTAGAGTACCCTTAAGGAGTAAAACGTGGATAGGAAGCCGCGAAAGGAATACCAGGGACAACATACCGATGCTGAACTATATCCTATTGAATCCTGAGAGTTCATCTCGTACTCAAAGCTCTCCTTCACTAACATGCGCTCAGATATCAAGTCCAGACGAGTTGGAGCGAGCCTAACGGCGCAGAGGCTCAGGGAAGCTGTCTTGAACCAAGCGTATTGTAAACACGGCGTATTTACAAAGATTTCAGGGAGGTCAGAGCAGTAGTAGTCGAAGGGAGAGACACCTCATTTCCCGCAGCAGATTCGGAAATAGCGGCCCACGGCCCGAAAAGCCGCATCCGAAAAAAATGGGCGTCAGCTTTTTAAAATTTGAACGACCTTTTTGCGAACTTCCACCACTGTTGGTATGAAGCATAATAAAAACGTTTTCAGCCAGAACGTTCCATCTCGAGCCTGATACCGATAGTGCTTCATTCCGTCGTTCTAGTTGTTGTTCTGCTTTCGGTTAGTCATTGATACTTCCTGTTTTGTATCATTTGTACTCTCTTCGGACGGATTGACAATATAAAAGAGTTGAGTCTTTGTCGCCGATTTACTTTTGAGGCGATCTTCTTCACCTTCTATCCTTTGTGCAGGTACGCAAAATTCCTGACTATCTTTACTCTGTCCTGATCCTCCCCTAGGCTCACTAAACTTCAATGGCTACCGATCTCCCGCAAGAGCTCATCGATAAAATACTCGATGAATCGGTTACGCAATGGGAGGATATCCTCTTACCGGATTACCGGACGTTAAGAGCGCTTTCCCTAACATCAAGGTTTTTTACGCCTTCTTGTCAAGCCCGGTTGTTCCAGGATATCAACCTGATTCGCAAGTCATGCAAGCAGTTCAGAGACTTATTATCGGATTCCCCCCACCTCGGACCTTACGTTTCAAGTTTGCGCATGTACTACCATTCTGTATCCCCCATCGTCGTAGACGTCCTCCTCCGTCTCCCCGATTTGCAAAAGCTTAACGTTGATCGCACCTGTCTTGTGTCGATTGCCGAGCACATGCACACAAGTTTACAGAGTGTCCGAGTCTTCACTCTCATTGGAGCACAGCTACCCAATGTCTCCACCCTTCCAACCGTCATTTCCCTTCTTCCGAACGTGGAAACGCTTAAGTTGAAGGGCGTAGGGCTTGAAAACGTCAAGCCAATTCCCTTTCTTATCCCTAAAAACCGGAAAATTCCTTCTCCCTCCACCATTTTTCTCGGTGTCGCCGATACACGAACCCTATCAGGACTTTCCCGTAACCTCGCTGGTCCGAATCCAGCAGCCAAATTGGACAAGGTCAAAACACTTCAAATCCGCATATCCTGCATGTCTGTCCGAGATCGCTGGGATATTGAACCGTTGCTCGTTTTGACCCAGCCTTCTCTTCAGAATCTGACCCTTGTCATGCCTGAGCATTCTTTCCGTGCGTCCACGTGTCCTTTTTACATTGTTGCAGTAGATATTTATTCGATCATGTTTAGCACCACCGATGGATTTCAGTCGACATTCCCATCTGAAGAGCTTGTGCTTACGGTTGCCGTTGAATGCGTTCGAAGCTCCATCTGAATCATACCCACAGACTCTTCCGGACTCGCTCGCAACGTTGCCTCAAACCACCCTACTTGTGCTACTAAGTCTAACGCAACACACAAACGACATCATTGTACAGGATAACAGCCAGTGGTTGGCGCTCAACAACGTTTTCATTCAGCACAATCAAACCTTCTTACATATCATCCTGGAAATGGAGGCAGCAAGATTAACAGCGGAAATAGCAGTGGCGGAAAGACTTGCTTTGACGTTCATAGCACAGTGCGTCACCGTGCGTGAAGAAGGGCGTCTTCTTGTTAATGCGCCGAGTTTGGGAAACAGCACGTTGACGGAATTCTCACCATTCGGGGCTATTCTGAGTGATAGTTAGATGAATGTTTTCATTACAGATATCAATTCAAGCGTGCAGTAAGAACCTACAGCGGTGACAAAAATTGGAATTGAACTTTGATATTGCTATAGCTCGCTGCCTGCAGACCAATATTGTCGACGCAGAAAACGCATACTCTTGGCAATTTCGGCATAGAGTATAGTAGCCTAGAGAAATTCTAGAAGTCGGTTAATGCACCGGTGAAATTACTGAGTCAAAGTGTTTTCACTGTGCATGCAAGTACACATATCAGGCGCAGAGTTCGTGATTTAGGTAATATACTATGTCTATACACATTCCATCGACGCACATCAAGCCCACATGCTCCTAAACTTTTCATTAAATTCTCCTGTAGCATCCCTTACGACCTCATACATACGCCAGTCCTCAGCGCTCGTTCCAGGTGGTCTTTTGAAGCCTTCCACATCCCCATCATCACTTGAAAGCTCGTCTGCCTCTGCTGGATCGGCCATGAAATCATCGTCCGATGATTCCACATCTTCAGATGGAGCCGTAGCTTTTCCAGATTCAATTGACGCGTCTTTCAGGAGCCGCTCCAAAGATGATTTGATCACCATCAAAGTAAGCACGAAATCCTGTAAGAGGTACCATACATCGCCTCGCCGAATACCGTTAGCTCTGTCTAGCGCAGAAACTTGGCCATGCGTATAAAAATCGAGTAGATACGCGTTGAGAGCATGCTCAGAACCGAGAGTGTTGCCCTGTACGGCTGTGAATCGGGACATTGACGGGATGGCATGCTCATTGAGATGAAGTCCAGAGCGAGCAGACCGCACCAGCTCTTCGACCGAGCGAAATTCATCGAAATGCCCTGACGTGGCCACGAAGCTGGATCGCACAGAGACCGGTCGGGTGTGATTTTCTAGGTGTGCACGGAAGCCGTCAGTGGAGGGGGTGCCCGTATATTTTATCCCACTGAGAGGAAGCATGTCGTCTGGGCCAAGTTCCGAACAATACTGAGACGTATAGGCTTTGGTGTACTCTGTGAAGATCCCAAGGATTTCTTTATCGTGTTCCTCGAGAACTTTGCGCGCGTCGTCACGAAGAGGGGGGAGAATGATCATAGAAGGGAAGCGGACCACGAGATCTTGGAGCTTCTTTACATACTGAGTATTCGCGGCTGCGCTGGCCAGGTACCGACGACCGAAAAGGTGGCACATGAGGAGAATAAAGTTGTACTTTGGTGACGGTCCTGCGCATATTCGATGAAGTATTCCTCCACGAAGAAGGATCGGCAACGCAAAATTGCTGGGTTCGGTGTACTGTTCCATCGTCGTCAGAAACTGCATCGAGCAAATATATGCCGCGGTCACTTACATAGAGATGCGCCGAGACAGCATAGAGATTGATAGGTTTTCCATCCTTGTCCAGAAGATGTGTCCGACGAAGATATTCAATATTGAAGCGTAGATGATGAAGTAGCTGGTTTTGTCCAGTCTGTGATCCAAAGCTGACCTGCGGTAGTTTCATCAAGCTCTCGATGGCATTTACAGCCACTTTTGCATTGTTTGAGCCATCCAGGAGGTTGAATAGCCGTAATGTCAGTGTCGGAGTTAACGGGAATGTTCCTCCTAGAGAGGGGAGTTTAGATAGTACAAGACGTTGCACTCGATCGAGAGTCAGCCCATAAAAGACGACGTTTCCCAATAGGTCGTATCCACGGCGACCTGCACGACCTGCACATTGACGATACTATGACGTTTCCATGAGTATATCCAATCAACAAATGAACAATGGTGGAGCCACTGACCATGAGCGCCGTAAGAAAAGGTGAGTCGCCACAGAACACAGAAGTCCTAGTAGGTGCATTGATACCAAGGGCAAGCGTCCCTATTGACATAAGTCAGAGTCTATAAGTATGATATCAGAGATGTACTATACCGGTTGAGATCATTACTCGGATGTATCCTCGCCGGAATAGGCTATAAAAGCAACCAATGAATAGGGCAAGAAGAACCCACAAAAGAAAAGACATACTTCTCAACTAAGCTTCGATAGCCTTTATTTAGGCCGGCGTGGTGAACTGCTATCCCCCGTCGAAGTGCAGCCAATAGTACAGGCTTGGATTTCCAGTACTCTGACCAGACACCATGGATCGCATCGTTCAAATCTTCGGCAGAATAATAACCCGCAAATGAGAAATTACCCAGCGGTGCGTTGGGGTTAAAAGTGCTTTCCCATGCTAGGGCTTCTGTTGCGGCCAAAGGTTCGATATCATCAGGATCAGGTTTGCGTTTCGATTTTTTGGCCCTATTCTCTTCACGGATGCGAGCCTTGGAACTATCCTGCCACTTCTGCCATTGTTGACATTTCCTCTGCCACTCTGGGCTACTTGATTTCCAAGCCAACTCTGCTTTCAAAAGCCCTTTAAGAAGCAATTCGGCAACATCCTCGCAAACCGCTCGGTCGAAGTTGAATAGAATGGCAGGCTAGAAACAGTATCAATGGCATGAATTGACAGAAGTGTGTAACTTAATGCGTACCAGTTCGCCGCGAGCATGAAGATCAGCCACGAGCGGTAAAAGTCCTCTCACAAAGTTCTGGAGGCTGGGTTCCTTATCATTTCGGCCTTGCGGGATGTCTTTGTCAGCAAGATCATAGATAACTTCATGCCGAGATGACGGTGGCAGATCCATAAGCACATTCTTGAGATCAGTTTCATAACGCAGGATGTCCTTCTGCTTCAACAATCCTTTGACAGGGGAAAAGAATTGAGTAGGGTCGAGCCTGACTAAGTTAATGGATAGGTCCTTGCGTTGGCTCATTGCGCCATAGAGCGACAGCGTATCGGAGGGCTCTAGCGATAAATCCTCTGGAAGAGCCCGCGGACCAAAGGCCAATGTTGACAGTGGATGGAGGAATCTCATCCTAGACGTCGGCTGATACGACTCATGTCCTTGAAATGGTCGTAGGCTCTTCAACCCATCCAGACGATAGAAGAATTTTCGAAGATGAGAATAGCGGTGTTTATGCTGAATGAATGTATGCTTGTATCCATGCGCCCGTGCTACTGATGCCAGCCAGTCGTTGAAAGTTTCCGGTTCTCCAACGGTTGCCGACAATCCACTAGCGTAGAATAAGCATAAGACACATCTGAACGTAATAAAAGCTTACATGATTGGACATGGCGCTAAAAGGATGATTTGCTCCCAAACAGAGCCTCCTTCCTGCTGGCCGATGGAATGAATTTCATCAAGAATAATTCTGTTCAGAAGCATGATGAGTGCTAGCAATGTCAGTGGACGCGGACATACCTTTTAATTCGAGGTGTCCATTTGGAGGCAAGTGGAGGTGATAACAGCATAATCGAAAGCATTTCTGGCACGGTGATAAGAATCTGGCAGTTGTGCGGTTCATTGATACGGTAGTCTCGTGTATGGACCGCCCATAAACTCCCTAGAAATTACATGGACCTACGAATAAGGAATGTATACGAAAGACGTACCATTGGGAACCTTTTTGCTGAAACGAGCATAAACCTCGGCAGCAATCTGAGTGACAAGGGCCTTTGTCGGAGCTATATAGACCAGAATACCATCATTTGACTCGCGCAAAACCTTCTCCATCGCGTAGAATGAGATAAACGTCTTTCCGGCGCTAGTCGGAGCTAGATGAGGGATCAATCAATGAGACAGCAAGGAAGCATACATAGAGACGACACTTACCAACGACAAGCATAGAATGGTTGGGATCATCGATGCAATCAAGAGCCTTCTTTTGCCAAGCGTCGGGATCAAAATTAACACGTCTATCGAAACTGCCATCCATAGAACGGTCCAAATATGGTCCAAAGAGTCGGAGCTGCCAGACAATAGGATGCTCGGTTATCTTCATCCAGGAATAAAGAACGTCTCCCTTTGATCGAACCAGCTTCACAAAGTCGAAGGCCAACGGACAAGGCGTTGGCGGCTCTGCTACCGTAACGAACTCATCAATGTAAGTCGAGAAACCAAAACTCTTCAAGACTGCAGATAGGGCTTTCCCTCGCGCTGTAGTAGTAGCACATTTGTCACAGATATCCTTCACAAGTCGCATGATTGTTACGGTATAACGATCTCGAACAGAGTCCTTTTCGTGATCGGGGTCTTCAATCCACATCTTGAGGAGAAGATGCACCTTGTACATGAGATGCTCGACGGCGAGCCAAGGGTCAGACATACGGGGACTACGAGTCAGTTGTTCTAGTAGTTCGAGCTTCTGCTGGGTCGACTTGTCGGATATAGCGTTCAGCTGGTTAAGAAACCATTGTCGTGTCTGGCTCTCCTTCTCGGCATCTTTCTTTTCCTGGATATCCTTCTTCAGCTGTTCCTTCTTTGTGAGCTTGACTGGCTTCGTCGTCTTAATCTTCTGAAGACGTAAGACTTCGGCTTAAACAGAGACAAGTAAATTTTACGAACCGACAGGTTAGGACCGTTTTCATGCTTCTTCGATGCTGCAGAATCGACAGTAATAGTAATCTGTTGAAGCCCTCTGCCCGACGCTCCCGTCAATGTTTCCGCTTGACGTTGCAAATTGGCAATGTACCGCTGGTTGGAACGGAGAACACGCCAATTCACGACCGGAGCCTTCTCGCCAGGGGCGATGATCTTCTTGCTATTATGCCAGTGACGCGTATCCGAAAACAATACCGAAAAGTTGAGGAATTCGCTCGACTTAAGTGGACGATCGTCACCGGCAGTGGGGATTTTAATTGAAGGGAGTGCTTTGTCAAAGACGGGGTGGGAGAACGGTAGGAGTTGAGTTTGCGTCTGGGATGTGGATATCAGAATGGGCTCCGGAGGGCTCGTTTTAGATTCGGAGTCAGATGCATCCCATGCTTCTAGATCTGAATCGTTCTCCCAGTCATCTTCCTCGTCGCTGTCACTTGTTGTACTTGCGATAGAAGATGGAACGGTGGAAGACTGCAGAGCGGCCCCATTACTTAACGTCGATAAGGGCAGCGGCACTGGGGATGGCGGATCAGGCTGCTCAAAGGTGAAAGCCTTTAGGCACGAGAAGTGATCGGGGAAATGTTCACCGGGCCAAATATTCTTCGCCTGCGCGATGATATCAGCGTGAACAGCTGAAGCCAGAGGCGTTCCACGGCTGAGATACTGAAGGAGTACGAAAAAGATGTGGAGATCGATATCCAGACCAACAGTGGCCTTTTGGAGAACGGAAGAGGCCAAAAAGAAAAGCCAGGGGAGGAAAGACTGTCGCAAAGTGTCCTGCAAATCCGATTGGACTTCGATGGGGGATTGAATTCGAGCCTTCAGAGGCAGCTCCGGAAGGCTGAAGATGTGAAGAAGAAATGCAGCTAAAAGTTCTTCCATTAAAGGTTTCTGAGATGGATTTATGGACCCAAAGAATGAATCATCGGCGAGGAATAGCTGACAAATCTTTTCAAGTACTTCATGTGTACAAGACAACGGTCCAGAACACTGAAATATCTCCGAGACGCCATATTTTTGGCTAACCAGATCCATTCGGTTGTATATCGGTGCGACTGGGGGCCAAGGAGGGATAGAACCCCTGGTAGCAGACGTCCTTTCAATGATGAAAGACAAGATCTAGGCATTGAAATGTTAGTTAGCGCCCCTCATAACAAAGGAATCCAGTACCTTCGAGTCTCTGAACTCCAATCCGTTGAATAAAGCTACAGGTAAGCCAAAGGATAGGATTTCAAAGATGAAGTTTCGTTGACACGCGATGTAGCCAGGGTGAAGACTATCAGCGGGATCGTCGCGGTTGGGGACGTTGTCGCTGATGAGCACAAACATAGGCTGAAAGGTAATTTTAGGGCGAAGTGCAAGGAGAAGTATACGTGCCACATACCTTTCTGGAGGCTTCATACTTCTTCCAAAATTCGTCTTGCAGATCATCGAACTGACGCATTGGGACGATACTAGAGAGTTGCTGTAAATGTTTGAGAAGAATTTCCCGCGCCAAGTGTCGCGAAGAGTGTACGAAAGATGTTTGTCCTGGTCTAGTTGTAGCGTGAATGTTATCTATAAATTGTTATAAAGAAGCGCATCTTTCATTCCAGGTCTTTACTTACTGCGCCAAAAGACAACCTCAACATTAGCTTTTCGCGAGACGAAACTTTTCAGGGTATTCTCGAGGATGTAAATAGCGTGTAAAGCCTGGAAGCTGGTATCTATAAGTACGCGTGTCAGTGTCTGCCACTAGGGAAAAACCCTTTCAAAAGAAACATGCCATCATTACGCCCAATGGCGAGGAGAGGATCATCCAGGACACTTTGTAAGAGGGATTCTCCTATGCCACCGAAAAGAATCAGTCGTCGTCTTGTCGCGAGAAAAATCATGACTTACCATCAATGATGAAAGGTTCATCGCCTGCGTAATCTCCTATCAAATCCATCCATCGCGCCTTCTTCGTTGCCTGATAGTACCAACTTTCATTGATATCGTCGAGAAGTTCGCTTTCAGCTGAGCTTGGAGAGACAGCCATGGTGGTGGTTTGTTGGAAAGGATGCCGTACCTCGAAACGCAGCGAAATATACTTTGCCCGAGCCTCATGCTTACCTCATGTAGCTATTGATAAGCACCCGTCAAACAAAGGATACATGGCTTCTAGTCCCTGTAATGGTGACGACGGGACTTGAATGGAAGTATGAGCCAAAACTTCTCCGTCCGGAGTTTCTGGGGCCTCTTGAAATAATCACTTAGGACCCGAAATGATCGGATATGAATGACAAGGGACATACAATAACCGTGCATTGAACTTGTATTATCTGAACACACATTTCTTCTCGGTGATACCTGAGGCGGGCGGGTCTGAACGATGCACCAATGATTCGTCAACTCCTGTCTCAACGCCTTCAAAAAATCCAAAGGCTGTAGGAATATCCCCTACTGCAACGGGCACAGGTCCATATAGCGGAAGCTGGTATATCGCAGACTCGTGGCGTCTCTTTCTGCTTTTCAAGAGTTTGACGATCACCCTGTCTGGATAGCGGCCTACACTTCCAGAGGGCATATCCGTCAAGATCTGAGCTTCGTATACCTCCTTAATAGCACCTTGACCTAATTTATTCCCAAGAAGTTAAACAAACATCATAACGATACGAATGCTGTCGACCGAGGCTGTTTGGTCGTCTAGAGAACGAAGGCGAACTAGAATGAGAATTCCTATGCCGCAAGTAGAGAAGAGCTATGTTTTCAATTGAGAATCTCATTGATAATCTCCTATGGTTGTATCGTTGAGTATGGAGAGGTCATGCTAGATTTATGACCTACCTCGGGTGTAGTTTCATCGAGCGTTTCTCTGAGTCTATGGTGAAAGCGTCTACCAGGGACAGTTGCTTCGGTAAAGTCCCGTTGTCGTTTGTGGGACTTGCCAGTATGCGAATGCTTGCCTTTAGCTAGCGACAGGTCAAGTAGGGAAACACATTCAACGGCACGCAATATGTTGATTGCTATCAGGAGCTTTCCAAAGGTTGAATTGGAGTAAGCACGAATATCAGTAAGCCCGGATATGCAGTGTTTGGGTTTCTCGGCGTCGAAAACTGACGCTGAGAAAGTTCCCGAAATAGAATATAATAAGGTCGAGTTCGAGTGAACAGCACACGTCCAAGCCTGGATATTAAAGTTTTAGATAGGTTACACAAGGAAAGAAAGAAAGAAAAACATACTCGTTGTATAAGTAGGTACATACGGCTGACATAGGCGGGGAAAGTACGGTGCAAAGCAATATTTTCATGATCAGACCAGCCCAAGTACCGTATCTCGGTTGTCGTGAAGGATCACCCTCTCTTATCGGCGAACCCCAACATGTCCACCAGTGGGTGTTGTTAATTTCGGCAACGTACTTGTCGAGCAGATCTTGAAACTGTTCAAGATTCAGCATACGAATAGAAAGGAATCACAGAGCATGCGCACCACCTCGACCTCGACGGATCGCTTTTCATACTTGCCCTTCTTCACACTCGTGTGATGGAGCTTGCGACACTGCACACGGCTTCCTCCACCGTGTTCCTTGTAGCAGCGATGGCCGACAACTTAACATCAAGTATCAGCCCATGGGCATGAAGATACTCAGCGTCCGTGTATCCTGCCTCTGCGGCGTGATGGAAGATGGAGTAAAGGATGCGCCGGTTGTCCGGCCCGATAGCCGAAGCTTTTCCACAACCACGATGGCACGGCCTACGCATTGTGAGTTTGTGTCTATGCCCTAATCTCAGCTCACCCTTTGCACTTCTGTCGACATCCTTTGGCTAAACACACCTGAATCTCTGTAACAGAGTTGCTGACCTTCATGCCGCTTTCAAACTTCCTGCATAACTGCTCGCTGGCCCCCAACGTGAACGCGTGCATGTCACCCTTGGCATCACGAACCTCAACCCCCGGGTCTCTCCAGACTACACTCGACCTTCTGAACCGCGTTTGGATGCTTCTCTCGCTCACAGCTGCACCCTGATTATCACCCTCGACAGGCCCGACGTTCTCAGAAGGGAATCCTGACGACGCGTCGTTTTGGCGTGCAGGAGAGCCAGTACGCTGAGCTTCCGATGGATATTACAGTGGGATCGTATGACGTGCCAAAAGACCAACTCTACGAGTTGCAAAGCAGGCACATGGACAACACACATATTAGATGTGGCAGCGCGCCATTATCAGTCAGTCCTTAATCGCACGTGGATCTATTCGCGACACTAAAGACTGATCCAATGATTGTTCTTTTCTTCCTTATGTTCTTGGCTTCCAACTGGTTCTACACGTGGTGTCAGCACCTACCTTCCCTCTCTAGAATCATCTGACTGATGCTTTAATTTTATCCAGAATTCAGTGGTTTCAACGATGCCATCTTCAACGTCTGCACCCGGGGCCTGACTCACAAATTCTGTTACTGGATTTTCCAAATCATCGGGTCTGTTCTTATCGGTCTGCTCGACCGAAAATCCATCAGCCGTCGCATCTGCGCCTACACAGGATGGACCGTCCTCTTCCTAATAGTCCTTGTCGTCTACATCTGGGGATACTTCTACCAAGGGGTACACGCACGAGAGCGTCGCACTAGAGACAGAGGAAATGGATACCTACGATTGCAGATACGCCAGTCGGGTGTGGTTCTACACCTTCTGTGGGATTCTGGACGCAATGTGGCAGACGACGGAGTACTAGCTTATGGATGCGATGTCAAACGATCTGTCAAAGCTGGCATTCTTGCTAGATTCTACAAGTCGATCCAGTCGGCTGGGGCCGCATGGCGTGCGGACGCTGTCAAAATTCCGTATGTTTTCCCTGACGCTTTATTGTGATGCTTCCTGACGCTTCGTATAGGTACGTGAATATGTTCATTTCGGAATCGGCTTTCCTTCTCGGAGGTCTAGTGTTTGCGTTGCCTATGATTATCATACGTATCAAGGATCATACCATTCTAGACGACGAGACCGTGTCAGTTCATCTGTCTCATTAACTTTGATGATTTCTCATGGGCTTGCTTATAGCACTCGGATGGATGATGAATGACATATACGTCTAACTGAGGATATCGCTGCCGAGATGAAAGTTACCCAGGCATCTTCATGATTTTTATGTTGGTGATAAAGGTCGCTTTATGACTGATGACTTTTTTTCTAGTATATCTGTAAATACTCGTATTCTTGCTTGCCATCGTAACATGTGCTGATGATCGACTTATTTTGGGCTATTCAAGTTGCCACTTCTCGAGGTTACCAAGTTTCCGCTCTATTGTGAATGAATTAACCGATAACAGGTGACGGGAGTCCTGTGCTCTCGATTAGGCAATTTGGTGCTTGAATTCAATTGGTGCGCTTCTTCAGTACTTCAACATGTTCACGCTTCCGTCACTAGCCTGGGACTTGGGATACCTTTCGGCTCGTTCTTAAGCCTTCACCTGCTGGCTTGCCCAGGAAGCAGTCACTTTTCCAGAGACCCTATGCAGACACTTATAGTCAGACCCGGACGCGTCGTGCCGCAGCAAAGCACGGAACTGGGATTTTGTCCCTGAGTTCTACTCGTCTCGAGACTATCTAGGCGCTTAGGAAGTTTCCGTAAGTGATTGATTGGAATTCTGAAGCTCACGCTGGGGTCTGAGTTTGTCTTTATTTTGCCGGAAGTGTGTCTCCATGCCCAAACCAGAAAACGCCTTTGTCATGAGGCAACCATGCCCCGCAAGCACATATATCGCAGCGATCTCTTCAGTTCGGAGCAGCTCGCTTCGAGGGATGTGCTTGACTCTGCATTGGAGGAGCTGAAAAGCCTCCTCACAAAGGATAATTTCAAGCATGTTTTCCAGGAGCTAATCGACAACGAGACCTCTCGTATTCTTCTCTTGGTCTTGTCATGTAAGTTGACCCTGTCGAGCTATCTGATAGTCTATCAGGCTCTTACATCTTCACAGCCCTAAGTGAGACTACACCGTTGATTTCGTGGTTGCTGGAGTCCTTTCCCTCCGAAGCTGCGACTTATGATGGGACGGTCCACTACAGAGCTATATCTTGTCTCTCTACGGAGCTTCTTTCCTCCTCTTTTGTTGAAGACAGAGAATTATGTACCCGATACCACGAACTAGCTCAGATCACGCCCGAGGTTTTGAAATACCTCGTCTCTGTCCTCCATCCCATCGATACCGGATCGGAGTATCATAACAGGAAGGGAAAGGCCAAACAGTCTCAGAGGAGGCCCCAGCAAGTCAAGCGAGAAGACGGCGCCACAACTTTGGTCGAAAGGTATTTCGATATTCTGAATGTCGATATGCGTAAAACGTCGAGCGATGCGTCTGTCCTCGCGGATCGTGTTTTGCAAAGTCAAAAGGATATTCTCCAGGTGAGTGCTGCTTTATCTGCATGCTATTCGTTGAAAGTTGAGATGTGCCCAGTTCTATTTGGAGCTGCTCAGTCATCCGGAGGTGTCTGTATCACTCAAGGAACGCTGTATCACCTATGTGTCCCCCATAGAGCAGAAGAACGCTTCAGGGTCCGTGGCCGGATTGCCTTCTGCATATCCAATCGTTCAGCCGATGAAGTCGTATGTCCTCATATCCGTTCACGAAACGATATTACATTTTGATATCTATCAAGGGCGTTATACTTTGATACTGCCGAGGGGTTTGGAGAATGGACGGTTATCATATCCACGAACGCCGACAATTTTTTGCGGAGCGCACACAAGAAAGATCTCTCCACGTTTAACGTCACTGTTAAGAAAATCAAGTGCGTGTCGGATCACATAGTATCATATACCAAGCATGCTTATCAGAATACACTACAGGGAGCTCTCATGCGGTTACTTTACTGACAACAATCAAAAGCGTTTGAGTGGAAGCGTGACTGAAGTTCCTGTCTTCAAGGCCAAAGCGTCTCGCAACCTCAGACTCGTCGTAGGAAACCAGTTTCTTACCAATCCTGGATAATGCTGACGCCGCCTTGCAGTATCAGATCGATGTAATCCCAGACGATGATGTAGGTTCAGAGAATAATTTTCTAATCCAATCTACTGAACTTGAATCATTGGCAGAGAGAGCAGCAAGGTAAGCTCATGCTCATACCTTTTTGTTTGTGCTCCTCACAATTCTTGAAGCGATCAAAATTTTCGGTATCTATACTCATGATCAAATGGACAATCGGCTCTGGAGTTCTATCAGCACTCAGCTTCGCAAAAAGGGAAAGGAATACCGGCAGAGGTATCGCTTCCTCATTGTAGCTTGAATGACTGTAACCAAAATGCGATGGTGTAGATGCGTGGTTAGGAAACGGGCAGATCAAGCCTCGAAAGATACTTTCATTCCAGCCATCTTCCCCCCGCTACCGGAAGTATCGCCTTCGGAGATTGAAGGCATGCCGGATATACGTCCTGACGAAACAGTCCAGGTTAGCTCCACGTTTTTTATTCCTTCGAATCAATCACCGACTATTCCACTCAGACTCATTCAAGACTTGTGTAAGTCATATAGAGAAGAGCTGAGTTCCAGCCGCTGACTCTCCTACAGTGTCGAAAAATACGTCACATTTTCGCAGGTATGTTCCCGTGATACTTATCCGCAGATGATTTAACCATGAAGACGTGCAGCCTTTTTTGAATTGTATGTATTGGTTCGATGCTGTCCAAAAAAGCCGTATCTGATTCATTTTGGTAGCCATCCTAGCAGATGTAGATGCTACTTTTCCTCACATGGTTTCGTGCGCCGCCGTCTTTAACTCTCCTTGTTCATTTTCTGATGGCACATATTCACAGTACCCAAGAGAAACGTATTATAGAGCATCCAAAGTCTTGCTATGTCATAGGCCGCAGCGGCACAGGGTATGCACGAACCGTTCGCCGCATCATTCTCTTTCTCATACCTATTTGATGTAGGAAAACGACTACCATGTTATTCAAGATGCTGCTCATTGAGCGAACATTTCAACTTATGGAGTCGAATTTACCTCGTCCTCGTCAAGTCTTTGTTACGAAATCTAGAATGCTCGCTAAGAAAGTGCAAGAGTACTTCGCGAAGCTGGCCGGCTCCTTAGAAATGGCATCACATTCGTCTGCTGATATCGCCAACCTACGGAGAGCTCCTCAGTACCAAGATGATTTAGGGCTGATTGATGCGGATGACATTGTAGATTGGCGGACTGATTTACCAGCCAAGTACAGTGAACTCGAGGAGAGGCACTTCCCGCTATTTATCACATTTGATGGCGTGAGTAGCGGCTCTTTTTCATCCGTATTTCCCATTTTTACCGATTATAGCTTTGCGACATGTTGGAAGCTGACATGAGTACTCAAACGTTGACTGACACGAGACGTACTGGCATCAAGCGCCAGATGGGTATCATTACTTTTGAATCCTTTTGCGAGTCCTACTGGTCTCATTTCCCTGAACCATTGATTAAAGGATTAGGTTTCTTCTTCTCTGTTCTGTCTATACGTTGGCATTGAAATGGTGTTTATTCAGATCCTGCCTTGGTATTCAGTGAAATTATAGGTAACGCATCCATATTTTATATCAAAGAGCTTGACCTAAGCATCTGTTTAGGCGTAATCAAGGGCTCAGCGGAGACGCTGAGCGAGAAGAAGCATCACCTCAGCAAAGACACATACCTTGATCTTAGTACACGCGGGCAGTCTACATTTGCTGACCAGAGGTGTGAAGTGTACGAACTCTTTGAGTTGTATATGCGCAAAAAGAAGTTGCGGGGAGAGCATGACACTGGTGATCGGTAAGATCTTCTTCGAAATTCCACAAATAGAAGATAATCGGTGTCTAGAACCCATCGTATCTTAAAGCATTTCGCGGAGCACGGTATCCCACGACAAGGACTCGACCATTTGTGAGTTCTCTGTTCATACTCTTGTTTTCCCATTATCAACATCATTACAGATATGTCGATGAAGTACAGGATAACATGCTCATTGACACTATGGGTAAATTCCATCTCTTTGTCTTATATGGACCATGGAAAACTGACCGACTCGTCATTTAGTCTTGAGAGCGCTATGTAACAACGCAGATGGTCTTTTCTGGGCAGGTGATACTGCACAGACCATCTCTATCGGAAGTTCTTTCCGTTTCAATGCTTTGAAGGCATTTCAATGGAATATTGAGGTAGGATTTACTTAGAACAACTCTTATATGTGAGTCTAATTAAATGAGTAGGACCAGTACCGGAAGAAGCACAGACCGGGAGCCAGCCGCAAGCAGCCGCCTGAGATGTTTCAACTTGCGGTCAACTATAGGTCTCATGCAGGCATTGTTGATTGCGCGCACTCCATCATTGAGCTTATCACGACGTTTTGGGCAGATTCCATTGACCGTCTTTCTCCAGAGATGGGCATTGTTGACGGGGTCAAACCTATCTTTTTTAACAATGAAGATCGTGCGCAGTTGGAGCAGTTCATCTTTCGCGATGGTGGTGATCCTATTGAGTTTGGTGCTCAGCAATGTTAGTGTCCTGTTATCCGCATCGAAATCGGCTGACTCCAAAATTTCGAGTAGGTATCATTGTCAGAAATGAAATGGCAAGAGAGAGACTCCGACAGAAAGTCGGTGAAATTGGTCTTATACTGTTCGTGTTCTCTGCTTTTAAGTTAACTAAGCCACTGATGATCAATATTATAGCACCGTATATGAAAGCAAAGGGCTTGAATTCAACGATGTAGGTTGATATGCTATTCTATGAGATGGCTTTTCACTATGACATTGAATCCCTCCAGGTCCTGCTCTATGATTTCTTTGCTGATTCACCTGCCAGTCTCGCACAATGGCGTGTTGTGATGAATGCCATTAAGCAGAGCAAGCACGGTCGTCCTCCCCCCCAATTTGACCATATCCGTCATGCTAGCATTTGTCATGAGGTGAGCATGAATTGGCACGCCATCGCTCAGCATTAACGTAAAGATATTGTCCAGCTAAAATCGCTGTACGTTGCAATCACCCGAGCGCGTGCAAACATCTGGATCGCAGATGGATCTGAGATGGGAGAACCCATGAGAGTAAGTCGGCATTATCCTATCTAGACGGTATCCTTATCACGGATCATCAAGATCTTTTGGACGAACAAAGATTTAATCAACAATTACACTCCGGGGTCCAATGCTCCCTGTCTTGCATCTTCGTCGACGCCAGAAGAATGGGCTGCAGAAGGACATGAACTTTTCAATGCGAAGCACTTCTCGCAGGCCAGGCATTGTTACGATAAGGCCAAGCTTCCTTTCCTAGCATCTGTTGCAGACGCCTATGATTCGCGAGCAAAGGCTCGTAAAGTCATTGGTACATCAAGACAAAAAGTCCTTGAACGACATTCTCATTTCACAGAAGCAGCCGTTTCGTTCAAGAAATGTGCTAGTAAGGCGCGTTCGAAAGATTCCATGACCTACCTCAGGATCAGCGGCGAATGCTTTGAACAAGCTGACCAGAAGGATCGGGCTGCTGAAATGTTTTTCCAGGCGAAGGAGTACACCCATGCTGCGGAGCTATATAGAGACATTGGCAAATTTGACGAGGCGGTCGAAATTGTGAAAGCTCATGAAGGCGAAATGTCGTCGAAGGTCGTCGGAACTGTCATCAAGCTTGCGAGACTAGCATACTTCTCTAACCGTCAGATGACGTACGTCTTTTCCCGAGGCATGTTGACCAACTATCCTCACCTTCCTAAACAGAAAAGCCCGTGAACTATTTCAGTCAGTCGAAGAAGAAGTGGAGTATCTGGAAGAGAGGGACCTCGATGTCGCTCTTGCAGACTTGTTGGAGAAAGAAGGGCGACTCAGCAAAGCTGCTGAATTGCACTATTCCGAAGGTCGAAAAGAAGAGGCTATTGAGCTTTTCCTCGGTCAAACCAAAAATAAAGATGCTTTGCGTCGAGCTCAAGAATGCATCCTCGAAGAGCTTTGGCATAGAATATCTTTTGGTGTTGACCCTAACGTCATAAGATCAGATCCCGCTGTCTTGCGGCTGATGCACTTTGCTTCACGGCTTGACCGGACTTCTATGGAGCAGACTAAAGCAGCTGAAGTAAGTGTCGACCTCACTTCTTACCGTTATAGCTTATACTGATACGCTTTTAGTTGTCAATGTTCATAGCCATTATGCGAGACCCACCTCGGCTGCGTGAACTGGGCTTGCAATTCCACACGATGCGCCGTAGTTCAGCAGCCTTGCTATGTCTGGATCAATATTTTTTTCGGCCCCTTCGAATTCAAAACATGGCTCTTGTTGACGCAGTTCAAGAACTCAGCCTGTTTTATACCTATGCGGGCCTCCTTTCTGCTGCAGCGTTCCGAATGGACCCCTGTAGAGATGTAGCAGCTGCGGCATTGTTTGGTTTTCGGCGGATAGCAGAGAACGAGTTTCTTGTGGCCCAGAACACTTGGTTGCACTCGGCGGTTCTTGAACTCCAACCTAGGAACGTGATTAGAGATTCTGACTTCAATCTCAGGCTGTCAGTACTCGAATTTCATGGGCTATTTCGGGAAGCCCTGAGAAGGCATCTCGAACAAAAGATTGCCGCTGAAAATGATGAATGCGCGAGAAGCAAAGCATTCCTGCCTTGCCTGGTTTTTGCCGTATCGGGGTCTTGTCGACGGTCTGAATGCCCGGAAGCTCATGTGTCACCTTCAGCGATAGATCCCGGTTACTATAATATGCGTGTCCGCCTGCACCTACAACAAATCTTGATCGTGCAGTTGCTTAGGGAGAATGCTCACGCAGACATGGAATACAGAGGAACCAAGTATGCTATCCGTCCTACTCTCCAGTTTCGCAGTGTTCATTTCCATATAGGTTCTGGCTCAACCGTCTTTACGACGCTCTTTATCCTCCTCATCATACGTTTGGTTCCATTTCTCATCTTGCACTGTCTACAATTCCCGAAGCTTCAAAAGCATTGAACGTTGTGAAATATTGGGTGCGAACAGTTGTTTATGGTCGAGGGTTTCACCCCCAGAAGAACTTCCTCATGGACGTGATGCGGACAGCTACCTTGGCCTTCACGTTTGATCGAAGTCAAGTAGGTTATCTCAGAAATGCTGCATATCTCCGTGAAAAACACCCTTCATTCATGTACATTCGCCGGGGCAACGTCTTCACCCCTCGTGATCTTCTGAATTCGATGTCGGGATATTACACATGGTCTCTTACCGCTGGTTTTCTATTTGTCGAGTAAGTTTGGTCCTGCCGATCTTTACTATAGGTTGATTTCCTTTCCAGGCACGTTGTGAAGCAAAGATTGCCCATCAACATAGGTGATCTGTGCGATTTTGTGGATTTTCTTTGTAGCTCTGTTATTCTTTGCGGCCGTCGCTCGGGGATGGCATTGTCGCCTAATGCAACGGTCCCTCGTAGCTGGCTCTTGCGCTTTGTGAGCTATGATTTTCCGTACTTCAATGAAGGGATGCAGACAAATTATTATCGCATCCTTCTGGAGCCTATGCGGGATCTCCTGGAACAACTGCGTGCCGGCCAAAGCTGTGGTAAGCCACATAAAATTATATTCTTTCAGTGTCTCCTCATGACATACAGAGCATCTCTTGTATGGGACTGGGAGAAATCTTTCAAATGTGCCATACCGAGTTCGTCAAGTTTTCATCGCAAGGATGTAAGTCAGCTGTCAAATGTGCCATCGCTTTATTTTCTGATAACGGTCTTCTTTCAGATTCAAGGCTATTTGTCTATGTCAGTTTTTGCTTACTCTGTGACTCTGCGTCTTTGCTTATTTTACTATGTAGTGGGCTACAACATCGGCGATGCGTTTCTCCGTAGCGATATCAGGCAGAAGATATTGTCTTTTCGCCAAGAACGTTCTCCCCTTTATAATCGGTATACCAGTCTCTGCTTTAAGAACCACGGGATGATGTAAGACTTTTGCAGGTACATTAATGCAGCCGGCCATTCATGGGATGAACTTGCGAGGGCTATTCGCCGCTCACTGAAATACAACACCATGGACGAGATGATACATCTCGTTCACCGGAGCAGGGCTCCGGTAAAAAAGCCTGCCTTGCTCGGAGTCCGCCAGCTTGTCTATAGCGACTTCACGGACATCCAAGTGCAGCTTGGTCTCACTGTGTCTGCATCCGTTCAGACTACCTCACCACATATTGAGGTTTCTGAGCAGGAGGAGCTGAAGCGCGATGTTGAAGAGGAGGAAATGGAAGATATACAAGAAGCTGAAGCCACCGAGGAGACTGTTGGTGACGATGCTGTGGCCGTCGACGCCATTCCAGCACAAGACATGACAACCCCGGACCCTACGAAAAGAGAGATCGCCGCTGCGTCCTTGATTCAGCGGGTATACAAGAAAGTCCTTGATCATCGACGAGGCATTGCCAAGAGAGGGACAGCAGGCCTTCATGCCCAAATATACGCCTCATGCACCAAAGAAGTGTCTCGACTCGGTGATAACCCGGGGTTATATGTTCGCTTGTTTCTAGGTCCGCTGCCGCACATTTTAGTCTGTCTCGAGACAGTTCGTATCGATACCCTCAGTCAGAGTAAGAGCACGAAGGATAAGCTCAAAGAGTGTTGTTATAATGAGTACGATGCACTCGATGACCTGTTAACACAGACCAAGTACGTATTTCTTATTGCTTATACCAACGATAACTGAGACGATTCTCAATTTTCAACAGCAAGGCGAACAAGACTGCAGTCAAACTACAAAAGCTTCTCAGCACGGATTCTGTGTTCCACAAGCATCGCGACATCAAGGAACTCCAGAAACTAGTAGCAGAGGCCAACCATCTGATTTCGTCTCTCCCTTTCGAAACCTCCTCAGACTTATCGGATGACCTGCACCTCGCTGTCAGGGCGATCGTGACTGAACGTTCATCCGCAGGTCCTACGGAAAGAGAGATCGCGGCTGCGTCCTTGATTCAGCGGGTATACAGGAAAGTCCTCCGTCATCGACGAGGTGTTGCAGAGAGAGGGACAGCAGGCCTTCAGGAGCCAGATGGCAATGCAAACGAAGAAAAGGAAACGGAGAATACACAAGAGGCTGAAGCTGTCGAGAAAACTGCCGGCGAAGATGTTGTAGCTGTCGATACCATTCCGGCACAAGATATGACAAACCCGGAACCCACAGAAAGAGAGATCGCCGCTGCGTCCTTGATCCAGCGGGTGTACAAGAAAGTCCTCCGTCATCGACGAGGTGTTGCAGAGAGAGGGACAGCAGGCCTTCACGCTCAAATATATGCGTCGTGCATCAAAGAAGTATCTCAGCTCGGGAATAACCCAGGGCTTTATCTTCGCTTGTTTCTGGGACCGCTACCGCACATTTTAGTCTGTCTCGAGACAGTTCGTATCGATACTCTCAGCCAGAAGAAGAAGACGAAAGATAGGCTTAAAGAGTGTAGTCATAGCGAGTACAATGCACTCGATGACTTGTTAACACAGACTAAGTACGTATTCCTTTCCACTCTTACCGGCGGTAACTGATACGATTCTCGACTTTTAACAGCAAGGCGAACAAGACTGCAGTCAAACTACAAATGCATCTCAACCCGGATTCTGTGTTCCACAAACGTTGCGACGGCAAGGAACTCCGGAAACTAGTAGAAGAGGCCAACCGTCTGGTTTCTTCTCTCCCTTTCGAAATTTCCTCAGACTTATCGGATGACCTACACCTCGCTGTCAAGGGGATCGTAACTAAACATTCATATGCAGGCAGACACACAAAGCCGAAGCTCAATGTCGACGACTTGTATTACTAATTCTTCTCGTATTGATTTGTAGTCGACAATAATATAGTTTCTTCTTTTTGATTAATACGGCGCTCAGGAATTATCACTGATACAACATATAGACATGCCGTGTAGGTATTTCGTCCACCGCAACTGAGCCCGCACTGAGTTCACATTCAAATTGTCCGAATCGGACAATCAGTGTGCCTCTAAAATCTTCTTGAGAGTATGTATCCCATGTCGATCCACTACAGGTGCTACTGTCATGGTGATAACAAGGATTCCGGGCACGGTCCCCGGCCATACGAGAGCTTGGAACCAAGCGTAGCAGATGGAAATGGCTGCATGGCGTTGATTCGACAATAATCATTAGAAATAAGCGGCTCGCTTACCTTCACTATCCATGAATGACCTTTAATTTGCTCGGGATCGTGATACTCAGGCAAATATCAGGATAGTACCAAGCGCGATGGAGTATGGCTGTAGAAACCTTCCCGTGAGGCGAGGCGTCGGAAAAGCAATCTACAACACTCACAAAGTCCTTGGTTTCTGATGCAATGAATAGCGACGTCATGTCTTGAGATGAACGAGCAATGATTTGCAGAAGGGTCAGCCAACGTCTGTTTTTGAGACAATAGTACCCAAATCCATGCTAAACGGTTGGCGATGAGCGACAGAACTAAAGCGAGGCCAACATAATGAACGTACCTAAATGTGGCAATCAGTTGATATGGGTCTCGAGCAGGGTTTGGAAATGACAGGGCTCATGTTGTGATGGAATGGATCAAAGGAGGTCAATAGGTGTACCCAGAACCTCGACCAAGCACCTCGCCCATCAAGTCTCCCCAAGCCAACTCAGACGGGCCCTCCTTCCCTGATCTGAAGCCGTACAACGATTTAAGCCTACAGCCTGGCGGGCGTCCATTATGTGTAGGTATAATCTTGGGGATCGGTCGGTGGTTGGTTATCTAGCCTCGTATTTCCTCCTATGGAGAAAAGACCTTAGGAATGCGGAGTATAGGGAATATGCAGACCTGGTGAGGTTCCGATGGCACTACGTAAGAGGGAAGGATTACTCGGATACTTTCGGTGCGTAATTTTCTGTATATCTACGAGATGAACCCGGTGCGCACTGCGGACCTGAACCTCAGGTTCGGTCACATGACTGATCCGGTCCGGTCACCGGATCTGCACCTCACGAGGTTCGGCAAAATCTTCCCGAACCTGGACCGAACCGGACCCCGAAATTCTCCCCCATTCCCAAGTTGCATCCTGTCTCCAGTCGCCACTGCACGCGGAGTAGTGTGGGATCAAGCGTCTCATTAATCCACTATCGCCAGCAGCAGTGTTGAGCTGTACGACAGCAAGAACCTCAAGCCACAGGGTCGCAGCTTAAGGTTCAGTCACTGAGATGTACGTTTTTCGAACTTGCCGTAGAATTTGGCCCTCAAGTGATTAGTTGATTAATCTGATGGGACATCTGTAGACTCTCTTAAGATAAACAATCTCATTTTTGCGTTCAATCACGCTAAACTGTACAACATTTTGGATTGACCGCGATACAAGTATGTGTTCCATGCTGTTCTGAAATGATGATAGTTTAATAGTTTGCGTCCAGAATCCCATTGATCACGCTATTCATGTCGCCACGTCCTCCCTCTTTGACATTCTCGACCTCTTATAAATGTTCTTTGCATTCGAATCCTGATATCCCGGAATCCATTTCAGACAATCCGCGAATCAAAGCGTTACTAGAATGCAATGATTCCCCACTGGAAATAGAGCGAGTATCCCTACTTGCGACCGAAGCCGAATCCTCGGGGCTACTTGTGATTTTGAAGGAGAAGATCAACAATGTCCAACAAATGCTAAATATCCTTCTTGATGGGCAAACAAAAGTTACCGAAAATTTACAGGCCGCTAAAACGTTGCTGCACCCTATTCGTTCTATTCCCGATGACGTTCTCTGCCATATCTTTTCGTTTTGCGTGCATGAGGTCTACGACCTCCTCGACGAGGACGCTGTACATAATTCCCTTGACTCACGAAAACCACCATGGACACTATCTCAAGTCTGTCGTTCTTGGCGGAGAGTCACTTTATCAACCGCATCGCTGTGGAGGTGCCTCTCCTTGGATTTTGAACGGTACCGCGAACCTGGGAATGTACATCTGAGCCAGTTTATGCTTGGTTTACATATTCAAGGGGCGCGTCAACACCAGCTGACGATCAGAATATCGAGCATAAAAGATATATCCTCTCACGCCTTCATACCCATCCTCCTAGCATCCATACCTTATTGGAAGAACTTACGCGCATGTATCCCTACTAAGTCCTTTGAAGTGTTCTTGACTTACCGAGGATACCTCGAATCACTTCACTATCTCAAGGTGAGACGGGCACTACAAGATAAAGCCACGTCACCCATCCGCATTTTCGAAATGGCTCAGAGTGTTCGTGTCCTGGACATCAGCTCAGGATTATGCTCTGGTATCTGTCTCCCTGACAATGGAAAGGGCCTAACAAACCTAACAATTCATGGACGGTTTGTTAAGTGCATGTTTTCCCTTTTGGGCAATACGCCTAACATCGAAATACTCGGGGTGTACTTTCAGGCGTCAAAACCTTTCGAACGCCTAAACACCCCTATTATGATGCCCAAGGTGACCGCTCTGGCGATTTCGGAATGGGACGGCGCGGCCCCCTCTTCCATCGCCCATCTTTTCGAATCTCTGGAGCTCCCCGCACTGTCCTTCTTACAACTTTGCCTGGATAACGAGGACAGCGACAGCACTGTTTTTGTATTTCCGGAGATTCTGTCTCACCATCACTGTCGTGAAATAAGACAAGTAGAAGTGACTGCACCCAGGAGCAAGGTTGGAAAAGCCGGTCTGGTCGACATCCTGACCTGCACCATAAACCTGGAACACCTCAGCGTTGCCGCCGAGGTTGTCGACAAAGACTTGCTTTCTGCACTTACACGTTCGAACGGTAATGAACGCATCCTTCCTAAGCTCTTCACCTTCGATTTACGGGGCTCGGAATCTATTGCTAGCTACGAGATTCTCCTGCAGGTGGCAGAATCACGTAGGAAAGATGAAATCGAGCCGAGCCGACAGGAGGAGGCTCTTGAGATGGGAATACTAGAGGAGCTTTACCTAGATGAACCTTTGACATTTGACGATGTTTCATTGGCTTCACGTTGGCAAGCACTCCAAAGCGACGGGCTCATTGTGAATTATGGATAGTACTAGGTGGTTAAATATGTTGCAATGTGCGAAATATGACGGTCCAATGAGGTCCATGTCGTTGTTGACCAGAATTACCGCTAGTTATCTGAATCGTTCCACACGTCTGCGTTTCTTGTTCTCCTCTTCGTCACTTCATTGATGTTTACTTTATCAATGACTGGCTTCCCGTCGACCCTTTGCATATCCCATACACCATTAGCCGAGACGTTGGTCTCAGAGTTGTATGAGGCCAAGAGTCGCAAAGGACTACGCAGCAAAGACTGAGGCGAAAAATGGATGTCATCATTGCCGAAGGATCCATCACTTCAACAGCCATAAGGGATGATCACAACATCGGATTCGGCCGCATCCTCGAGTAATAGCATAGACCAAGGATAGACTCTACTGTAGATTAAAGATATAGTTCCACCTGAAATACTGCAGATTGAGGAATTTCGGAAGACGCATGGCATACTCCCAAGGCAGCGCTGGCCCAACACATCGACTGGTTGGACAGAGAGCGCAAGCGTGGAAGACATTAGTCCGTTTCATGAAAGATGAAAAGCTGTCCTTCCAGTAATCCATCGAAGACCAACTCCACTAAAGGAAATGGCTGCAAGACACCCAGAAGAAGTACAAGAGCAGAAACTGAAGCGGGATTCTGGTTTGAGAATTTGAAATGTGTCGCCATGGTTTAGTGGGTCTGTCAAGAGTGTCAGCCATGGAGCCCGTAGAGGTTAGAGGTTAGAAAACCGATATGCGGTCCCAATAAGGAACACCGGGGTTCTGTGCTGCCACATAACGTGTCACAGACCATTGTCTCCACCCTTCCGAGGGTGTACGATCACTACAACGGGCGCGCGCGCGGCATTTTTACCGACCCTGAACGCCACCGCATCTGCCCCCTGATACAGTTCCGACCGGCCAACCTGTGGTGTTTTCAGCGCCGACTGCCATACTTGGGCCGGGACTGACAGCCAGCCTCGGCTCAAGGGTTCTAATGTCATTTGCATCCCCTTTTTTGTCTTCAGCAACCTTGTATGTCTTCACGACGTAATGTCTTTTCAGCGCTGACCGGGATCGTAACACGGTGAGTTTTTTTTTGTCTTCAGCATGCTCCCAGCTGAATGTCTTTTTCACCCCGTTTTTTTGTCTTCAGCGTTGTATGTCTTCACGACGTAATCTCTTTTGATCAACTGTACATCGACGTTGGGTACGACATTTGTTAGGAACATCGAATTCAGGGGGATATGTTGAAGCAAGTTTTGTCCTAAAGACATGTGCATTTTTCCACCAAAGACATCCAATAAAATTACCAAAAATGTTGCACCTATTGTGGTCTTTTCCTGTGTCTTTTGTCCCCGGCAATTGAGAATGTCTTGAGTGTCCGATCTATGTATTTTCGGGAACTTATGAAATGACCACAAAAAGAATGTCCCCGGACAGAATCGAACCAACAACCTTAACATGCACCTGTATGACTTAACCACCTAAGCCATCCCACCACTGCGGTGTGGTGCCTACGTCGCCCTTTCATCCCTTTCTCAGCCAAAATGTCCGCAGACGTGGCAACATTTATTTGTCTTCTGCAATGTCTTCACGGGTGCATCTTCCCGACCGTCGGCTAATTATTGTCTTGAGATCCAGACACCTGGGAATGTCTTCACCCACGCAACCCAATTTCCTAAGAATGTCTTGACAGCTAATGTCTTCACTCATCCCGGCTCTATCGTTCTCCGGCACTAGATATTGGCCGTACCGGCCCTTCCAAATGTGTCGTAACTATATTTCATTTCCTAACTCCTTATAGTATTATTATTTGTCATAGGCGCGCCCGTCTCAGTCCCTGTATGTTCTCACCCTTCCAACCGTCATTTCCCTTCTTCCGAACGTGGAAACGCTCAAGTTGAAGGGCATAGGCCTTGAAAATACCAAGCCAATCCCCTTTCTTCTCCCTAAAGACCGGAAGATTCCTTCTCCCTCCACCATTTTTCTCAGTGTTGCCGATACACGAACCCTATCAGGACTTTCCCGTAGCCTCACTGGTCCGAACCCAGCAGCCAAATTGGACAAGGTCAAATCACTACAAATCCGTATATCCCGCATGTCTGTCCGGGATCGCTGGGATATTGAACCGTTGCTCGTTTCGACCCAACCTTCCCTTCAGAATCTGACGCTTGTCATGCCTGAACACTCTTTCCGTGCGTCCACGTCCTTTTTACTGTGTTGCGACAGGTATTCATGTGATCATGTTTAGCACCACCGATGGATTTCAGCCAACAGTCCAATCTGAAGACCTTATGCTTACGGATGCCGTTGAATGCCTTCACAGCTCCATCTGAATCATGCCCACAGACCCTTACGGACTCGCTCGCAACGTTGCCTCAAACCACCCTACTTGTGCTATTAAGTCTAACGCAACACACAGACGACATCATTGTACAGGATAACAGCCAGTGGTTAGCGCTCAACAACGTTTTCATCCAGCACAATCAAACCTTCTTACACATCATCCTGGAAATGGCGACAGCAAGATTAACGACGGAAATAGCAATGGCGGAAAGACTTGCTTTGACGTTCATAGTACAGTGCGTGAAGAAGGGCGTCTTCTTGTTAATGCGCCGAATTTGGGCAATGGCACCTCGACGGAATTCTCACCATTCGGTGCCATTCTTAGTGATAGTTAGATGAATGTTTTCATCACAGAGCTACTCCAATGTACAGTAAAGAGTCTACAACGGTATCGAGATTTGGAGGCAAAATTTGATGTTGTCATATGTGTAGATCAACAATATCGACGCAGGAAATGCATGCTCTTGACACTTCCTGTATAGAGTATAATGACCTAGAAAATTCTAGAGGTCGGTTAATGCACCGGCGAAATTACTGAGTCATAAGTGTTTTCACTGTAAGTACACATATCAGGCGCAGAGGTTGTGATTTAGGCAATATACTGTGTCTATACACATTCTATCGATGCACATCAAGCCCACATGCTCTTAAACTTTTCATTAAATTCTCCTGTAGCATCCCTTACGACCTCATACATACGCCAGTCCTCAGCGCTCGTTCCAGGTGATCTTTTGAAGCCGTCCACATCCCCACCATCATCTGAAAGCTCGTCTGCCTCTGCTGGATCGGCCATGAAATCACCGTCCGATGACCCCACATCGTCAGACGGAGCGGCAGCTTTTCCAGATTCAATAGATGCGTCTGTCAGGAGCTGTTCCAAAGATGATTTGACCACCATCAAGTTAAGCTCGAAATCCCGTAAGAGGTACCAGACATCGCCTCGCTGAATACCGTTAGCGCTTTCTAGGGCAGAAGTTTGGCCATGCGTATAAAAATCGAGTAGATACGCGTTGAGGGCATGCTCAGAACCGAAAGTGTTGCCCTGTACGGCTGTAAATCGGGTCATTGACGGGATGGCAAGCTCGTTGAGATGAAGGCCAGAGCGAGCAGACCGCACCAGCTCTTCGACCGAGCGAAATTCATCGAAATGCCCTGACGTGGCCACGAAGCTGGATCGCACAGAGACAGGTTGGATATGATTTTCCAGGTGCGCACGGAAGCCGTCAGTGGAGGGGGTGCCCGTATATTTTATCCCACTGAGAGGAAGCATGTCGTCGGGGCCAAGTTCTGAACAATACTGAGACGTATAGGCCTTGGTGTACTCTGTGAAAATCCCGAGGATTTCTCTATCATGTTCCTCGAGGACTTTGCGCGCGTCGACGCGAAGAGGAGGAAGAATGATTATAGACGGGAAGCGAACTACGAGAGCTTGGAGTTTCTTTACATTCTGAGTATTCGCAGCTGCGCTGGCCAAGTACCGACGCCCGAAAAGGTAGCACATGAGGAGGATAAAGTTGTACTTTGGTGATGGTCCTGCGCATATTCGATGCAGTATTCCTCCACGAAGAAGGATTGGCAATGCAAAATTGCTCGGTTCGGTATTCTGTACTATCGTCGTCAGAAATGGCCTTATAGAAAATAGCTGTTGCCGTCACTTACATAGAGCTGCGCCGAGACCGCATAGAGATTGATGGGCTTTCCGTCCCGATCCAGAAGATGTATTCGGCGAAGATACTCAATATTGAAGCGTAGGTGATAAAGTAGTTGGTTTTTCCCAGTCTGTGACCCAAAGCTGATCTGCGGTAGCTCCATCAAGCTCTGGATGGCACTTACGGCCACTTTCGCATTGTTTGAGCCGTACAGCAGGCTGAATAACCGTAATGTCAGTGTCGGGGTTAACGAGAATGTGCCTCCTAAGGAAGTCAATTTAGATAGTACAAGACGTTGCACTCGATCGAGAGTAAGCCCATAAAAGACGACGTTTCCCAATAGATCGTATCCACGGCGACCTGCACGACCTGCGCATTGACGAAACTATGACGTTGCCGTGAGTACTTCCAATCAACTGAGCAACAGTGGAACCAACCATAAGAGCCGAAAGACTAGGTGAGTCGCCACAGAACACAGAAGTCCTCGTAGGTGCATTGATACCAAGGGCAAGCGTCCCTATTAATATACGTTAGAGTCTAGAAGCATGATATCGGAGATGTACTGCACCATCCGAGATCATGACTCGGATATATCCCCGCCGGAATAGGCTATAAAAGCAATCAATGAATGTGGCGAGAGAAGAACTCACAAAAGGGCAGACGTACTTCTCAACTAAGCTTCGATAAATCTTATTCAGCCCGCCATGGTGAACTGCTATCCCCCGTCGAAGTGCAGCCAATAGTGCGGGCTTGAATTTCCAGTACCCCGACCAGATACCATTGATCGAGTCGTTCAAATCTTCGACAGAGTAATAACCCGCAAACGAGAAATTGTCCAACGGTGCATCAGGATCAAAAGTGCTTTCCCATGCTGGGGCTTCTGTCGCGGCCGAATGTTCGATGACATCAGGATCAGGCTTACGCTTCGATTTCTTCGCCCTATTATCTTCACGGATGCGAGCCTTGGAGCTATCCTTCCACTTCTGCCATTGCTGACATTTCCTTTGCCACTCTGGGCTACTTGATTTCCAGGCCAACTCTGACTCCATGAGTTCTTTCAGAAGCAACTCTGCAACATCTTCACAGTCGGCTCGGTCAAAGTTGAATAGGATGGCAGGCTAGAAACAGGGCACATCAATGATATAAACTGACAGAAATGCGTATCAATGCGTACCAGTTGCCCGCGAGCATGAAGGTCAGCAACGAGCGGTAAAAGTCCCCTCTCGAAGCTCTGGCGGCTAGGTTCCTTATCATCTGGGCCTTGCGGGATGTCTTTGTCTGCAAGATCGTAGATAACTTCGGTCCGAGACGACAGTGGTAGATCCACGAGCGTAATCTTGAGATCAGTTTCATATTGCAGGATGTCCTTTTGCTTCAACAATCCTTTGACAGAGGAAAAGAATCGAATAGGGTCAAGCCTGACCAACTTAATGGACAGATCCTCGTGTTGGCTCATTGCGCCATAGAGCGACAGCGTATCAGAAGGCTCGAGCGATAAATCCTCTGGCAGATCCCGCGGACCAAAGGCCAATGTTGACAACGGATGGAGGAACCTCATCCTAGATGTCGGCTTGTATGATTCGTGTCCTTGAAATGGTCGTAGGCTCTCCAATCCATCCAGACGATAGAAGAATTTTCGAAGGTGCGAATAGCGGTGTTTATGCTGAATGAATGTGTGCTTATATCCATGCGTTCGTGAAACTGATGCAAGCCAGTCGTTGAAGGTCTCCGGTGCTCCAATGGTTGCCGACAATCCACTAGAATAGAATAAGCACAAGACACGGGTGAACATAATGAAAGCTTACATGATTGGACATGGGGCTAGAAGGATGATTTGCTCCCAAACAGAACCTCCTTTCTGCTGACCGATGCAATGAATCTCGTCGAGAACAATTCTGTTCAGAAGCATAATGAGTGTTGATAATGTAAGTGGACGTGAACATACCTTTTGATTCGAGGTGTCCATTTGGAAGCAAGTGGAGCAGATAACAACATAGTCGAAAGTATTTCTGGCACGGTGATAAGAATCTGGCAGTTGTGCGGTTCATTGATACGGTAGTCCCCTGTATGGACTGCCCACAAACTCCCTAGATCCTACATGAAACTACAAAGAGGAAATGTGTGCGAAAAGCATACCATTGGGAACCTTTTTGTTGAAACGGGCGTAAACCTCGGCAGCAATCTGAGTGACAAGCGCCTTCGTCGGGGATATGTAGATCAGAATCCCGTCGTTTGACTCGCGCAAAACCTTCTCCATCGCATAGAATGAGATAAATGTCTTTCCGGCGCTAGTAGGAGCTAGGTAAGGGACCAATCAATGAGACAGCAAGGGAGCATACATAGAGATGAGCCTTACCAACGACAAGCATAGAATGGTCGGGATCATCGATGCAATCCAGAGCATTCTTTTGCCAGGCATCAGGATCAAAATTGACACGCCTATCAAAACTACCATCCATAGAACGGTCCAAATATGGTCCAAAGAGTCGGAGCTGCCAGACAATAGGATGCTCGGTTATCTTCATCCAGGGATAAAGAACGTCTCCCTTGGATCGAACCAGCTTCACAAAGTCGAAGGCCAACGGACAAGGCGTTGGCAGCTCTGCTATCGTAACGAACTCGTCAATGTAGGTCGAGAAACCAAAACTCGTCAGGACTGCAGATAACGCTTTCCCTCGCGCTGCAGTAGTAGCACCTTTGTCACAGATATTCTTCACGAGTCGCATGATTGTTACGGTATAACGATCTCGAACACAGTCTTTTTCGTGATCGGGGTCTTCAATCCACATCTTGAGGAGAAGATGCACCTTGTACATGAGATGCTCGACGGCAAGCCAAGGGTCAGACATACGGGGACTACGAGTCAGTTGTTCCAATAGTTCGAGCTTCTGCTGGGTCGACTTGTCGGACATAGCGTTCAGCTGATTAAGGAACCATTGTCGTGTCTGGCTCTCCTTCTCAGCATCTTTCTTTTCCTGGATATCCTTCTTCAGCTGTTCCTTCTTTGTGAGTTTGACTGGCTTCGTCGTCTTAATCTTCTGAAATGTAAGGCTTCGGCTTATAACAGAGATAAGTAAAATTTACGAACCGACAGGTTAGGACCGTTTTCATGCTTCTTCGATGCTGCAGAATCAACAGTAATAGTAATCTGTTGAAGCCCTCTGCCCGACGCTCCCGTCAATGTTTCCGCTTGGCGTTGCAAATTGGCAATATACCGCTGGTTGGAACGGAGAACACGCCAATTCACGACCGGAGGCTTCTCGCCAGGGGCGATGATCTTCTTGCTATTATGCCAGTGACGTGTATCCGAAAACAATACCGAAAAGTTGAGGAATTCGCTCGACTTAAGTGGTTGATCGTCAGCGGCGGTGGGGATTTTGAGTGAAGGGAGTGCCTTGTCGAAGACGGGGTGGGAGAACGGTAGGAGTTGAGTTTGCGTTTGAGATGTGGATATCAGAATGGGCTCCGGAGGGCTCGTTTTAGATTCGGAGTCAGATGCATCCCATGCTTCTAGATCTGAATCGTTCTCCCAGTCATCTTCTTCTTCGTCGCTGTCACTTGTTATACTTGCGATAGAAGATAGAACGGTGGAAGACTGCAGAGCGGCCCCATTGCTTAACGTCGATAAGGGCAGCGGCACCGGGGATGGCGGATCAGGCCGCTCAAAGGTGAAAGCCTTCAGGCACGAGAAGTGATCGGGGAAATGTTCACCGGGCCAAATATTCTTTGCCTGTGTGATGATATCAGCGCGAACAGCTGAAGCCAAAGGCGTTCCACGGCTGAGATACTGAAGGAGTACGAAAAAGATGCGGAGATCGATATCCAGACCAACAGTGGCCTTTTGGAGAACGGAAGAGGCCGAAAAGAAAAGCCGGGGGAGGAAAGACTGTCGCAAAGTGTCCTGCAAATCCGATTGGACTTCGATGGGGGATTGAATTCGAGCCTTCAGAGGCAGCTCCGGAAGGTTGAAGATGTGAAGAAGAAATGCAGCTAAAAGTTCTTCCATTAAAGGTTTCTGAGACGAACTTATGGACCCAAAGAATGAATCATCAGCGAAGAATAGCTGACAGATCTTTTCAAGTACTTCATGTGTACAAGACAACGGTCCAGAACACTGAAATATCTCCGAGACGCCATATTTTTGGCTAACAAGATCCATTTGATTGTATATTGGTGCGACTGGAGGCCAAGGAGGGACAGAGTTCCTAGTAGCAGACGTCCTTTCAATGATGAAGGACAAGATCTAGGTATTGAAATGTTAGTTAACACCCCCATGACAAAGGTATCTCGTACCTTGGAGTCTCTGAACTCCAACCCGTTGAGTAAAGCTACAGGTAAGCCAAAGGATAGGATTTCGAAGATGAAGTTCCGTTGACACGCGATGTAGCCAGGGTGAAGACTATCAGCGGGACCGTCGCGGTTGGGGACGCTATCGCTTATGAGCACAAACATAGGCTGAAAGGTGATTTTAGGGCGAAGTACAAGGAGAAGTATACGTGCCACATACCTTTCTGGAGGCTTCATACTTCTTCCAAAATTCGTCTTGCAGATCACCGAACTGATGCATTGGGACGATGCTGGAGAGTTGCTGTAAATGTTTGAGAAGAATTTGTCGTGCCAAGTGTCGCGAAGAGTGCACGAAAGATGTTTGTCCTGGTCTAGTTGTAGCGTGAATGTTATCTATAAGCTGTTAGAAAGAAGCGCGTCTTTTATTCCATGTCTTTACTTACTGCGCCAAAAAATAACCTCAAAGTTAGCTTTTCGTGAAACGAAACTTTTCAGGGTATTCTCGAGGATGTACATAGCGTGTAAAGCCTGAAAGCTGGTATCTATAAGTATGCGTGTCAGCGTCTGCCACTAAGGAAAAACCCTTTCAAGAAACATGCCATCATTACGCCCAATGGCGAGGAGAGGATCATCTAAGACACTTTGTAAGAGGGATTCTCCTATGCCACCGAAAAGAATCAGTCGTCGTCTTGTCGCGAGAAAAATCATGACTTACCATCAATGATGAAAGGCTCATCGCCTGCGTAATCTCCTATCAAATCCATCCATCGGGCCTTCTTCGTTGCCTGATAGTACCAACTTTCATTGATATCGTCGAGAAGTTCGCTTTCAGCTGAGCTTGGAGAGACAGCCATGGTGGTGGTTCGTTGGAAAGGATGCCGTGCCTCGAAACGCAGCGAAATACTTTGCCCGAGCCTCATGCTTACCTCATGTAGCTATCGATAAGCGTCCGTCAAACAAAGGCCTAGCTTCTAGTCCCGGTAATGGTGACAACGGGACTTGAATGGAAGTGTGAGCCAAAACATCTCCATCCGGAGTTTCCACGGCCTCTTGAAATCACTTAGGACCCGAAATGATCGGATATAAATGGCAAGTAGCATACAATGACCGTGCGTTGAAGTTGTATCATCTGAACACACATTTCTTCTTGGTGATACCTGAGGCGGGCGGTCTGAACGATGCACCAATGATTCGTCAACCAGAGCTCCTGTCACATCATCTTCAAAAAATCCAAAAGCTGTAGGAATATCTCCTACTGCAACGGGCATAGGCCTATATCGCGGATGTTGGTATTCGCAGACTCGTCTCTTTCTGCTCCTCAAGAGTTTGACGATAACCTTTTCTGGATAGCGACCTACACTTCCAGAGGGCATATCCGCCAAGATCCGAGCTTCGTATACCTCCATAGTTGCACCTTGACCTAATTTATTCCCAAGAAGTTAAACAAACATCATAACGATACGAATGCTGTCGACTGAGGCTGTTTGGTCGTCTAGAGAACGAAGGCGAACTTGAATGTTTCAATAATGCTCATTGACACTCTCCTATGGTTGTATCGTTGAGTATGGAGAGGCCATGCTAGATTTATGGCTTACCTCGGGTGTAGTTTCTTCGAGCGTCTCTCCGAGTCTATGGTCTATGGTGAAAGCGTCTACCAGCGACAGTTGCTTCGGTGAAGTCCCGTTGTCGTTTACGGGACTCGCCAGTATGTGATTGCTTGCTTTCAACTAGCGACAGGTCAAGTAGGGAAACACGTTCAACGGCATCACGCAATATTGTCACGTTGATTGCTACCACGAGCTTTCCAAAGGTTAGATTAGAGTAAGTACAAATATCAATGAGCTCGAATATGCAGTGTTTGGGTTTCTCGGCGTCGAAAACTGTCGCTGAGAAAGTTCCCGAAATCGAACATAATAAAGGCACACGTCCAAGCCTGGATTAAAGTTTTAGATAAGTTACACGAGGAAAGAAAGAAAAAAAATACTCGTTGTATAAGTAGGTGCACACGGCTGGCATAGGCGGGGAAAGTACAGCGCAGATGAATATTTTCATAATCAGACCATCTTGGTTGTCGTGAAGGAATACCCCCTATTATTGGCGACCGCCAACGCTGTCTTCATGTCCATTAGGGGATCTTGTTAATTTCGACAACAGACTTGTCGAGATAATCTTAGAGTTGTTCAAGATTCAGTATACGATAGGAAGGAACTGCAGAACATGCGCACCCTCAACCTCGACGGATCGCTTTTCATACTTGCCTTTCTTCACGCTCGTGTGATGGAGCTTGCGACACTACACACGGCTTCTTCCACCATTTTCCCAGCAGCAGCAGCGGCCGACAACTTGACATCCAGTATCGACTTGGGCATGAAGATCCTTGGTGTCCGTGTATTCTGCCTCTGTGGCGTGATGGAAGATGGACTGAAGGATGCGTCGGCTGTCCGGCCCGATAGCCGATGCTTTTCCACAACCACGATGGCACGGCCTACGCATTGCAAGTTTGTGTCTATGCGCTAATCCCAGCTCACCCTTTGCAGTTATGTCGGTACCCCTTGGCTAAGCACACCCGAATCTCTGTAACAGAGCTGCTGAACTTTATGCCGCTTTCAAACTTTCTGCGTTACTGCTCGCTGGCCCCCAACGCATGCACGTCACTCTTGGCATCACGAATCTCAACCCCCAGATCTCTCCAGACTACACTCGACCTTCTGAACCGCGTTTAGACGCTTCTCTCGCTCACAGTCGCATCCCTGATTGTCACGCTCGCCAGGCCCGATGTTCTCAGAAGGGAATCCTGACGACACGCCGTTTTGGCGTGCAGGAGAGCCAGTACGCTGAACTTCCGATTACAATGGGCTCGTATGACGTGTCAAAAGACCATCTCTACGAGATGCAAAGCAGGCACATGAACGGCACACATTAGGTGTGTGGTTCTACATCTTCTGTGGGATTCTGGATGCGATGTCAAACGATCCTTCAAGCTGGCATTATTTGCTAGATTCTACAAGTCGATCCAGCCGGCTGGGGCGGCTGGGATATGGCGTGCGGACGCTGTCAAATTTCCGTATGTTTTCCCTGACGCTTTTGTGACGCTTCTTGATGCTCCGTATAGGTACATGAATGGGTTCATTTCGGAATCGGCTTTCCTTGTCGGGGGTCTTGTGTTTGCGTTGCCTATGGTTATCATACGTATCAAGGATCATACCGATCTAGACGACGAGACCGTGTCAGTTCATCTGTCTCATCAACTTCTTGCTTATAGCACTCGTATGGATGATAAAGGGCATATACGTCCGACTGAGAATGTCACTGCAGAGATGAAAGCTCTCCAGGGGTCTTCATGATTTTTATGTTGGTGATAAAGGTCACTTTATGACTGATGACATTTTTTTCTAGTCTATCTGTAAATACTCGTGTTCTTGCTTGCCATCGTTACATGTGCTAATGATCGACTTATTTTGGGCTATTCAAGTTGCTATTTTTCGAGGTTACCAGGTTTCCACTCTATTGTGAATGAATTAATCGACAACAGGTGACGGGAGTCCTGTGCTCTCGATTAGGCAATTTGTTGGTTGAATTCAATTGGTGCGCTTCTTCAGTACTTCAACATGTTCACGCTTCGGTCACTAGCCTGGGACTTGGGATACCTTTCGGCTCGTTCTTAAGCCTTCACCTGCTGGCTTGCCCAGGAAGTAGTCGCTTTTCCAGAGACCCTATGCAGACACTTATAGTCAGACTCGGACGCGTCGTGACCAAAGCACGGAACTGAGATTTTGTCCCTGAGTTCTACTCGTCTCGAGACTATCTAGGCGCTTAGGAAGCTTCCGTAAGTGATTGATTGGGATTTTGAAGCTCACACTGGGGTCTGAGTTTGTCTCTATTTTGCCGGAAGTGTGTCTCCATGCCCATATAAACCAGAAAACGCCTTTGTCATGATGCAACCATGCCCCGCAAGCGCATATATCGCAGCGATCTCTTCAGCTCGGAGCAGCTCGCTTCGAGGGATGTGCTTGACTCTGCATTGGAGGAGCTGAAAAGCCTCCTCACAAAGGATAATTTCAAGCATGTTTTCCAGGAGCTAATCGACAACGAGAGCCCTCGTGTTCTTCTCTTGGTCTTATCGTGTAAGTTGACGCTGTCGAGCTATCTGATAGTCTATCAGGCTCTTACATGTTCATAGCCCTGAGTGAGACTACACCGTTAATTTCGTGGTTGCTGGAGTCCTTTCCCTCCGAAGCTGCGACCTATGATGGGACGATCCACTACAAAGCTATATCTTGTCTCTCTACGGAGCTTCTTTCCTCCTCTTTTGCTGAAGACAAAGAATTATGTACCCGATACCACGAACTAGTGCAGATCACGCCTGAGGTTTTGAAATACCTCGTCTCTGTCCGTCCCATCGATACCGGATCGGAGCGTCATAACAAGAAGGGCAAGGCCAAACAGTCTCAGAGGAGGCCCCAGCAAGTCAAGCGAGAAGACGGCGCCACAGCTTTAGTCGAAAGGTATTTCGATATTCTGAATGTCGATATGCGTAAAACGTCGAGCGATGCATCTGTCCTCGTGGATCGTGTTTTGCAAAGTCAAAAGGATATTCTCCAGGTAAGTGCTGCTTTATCTGCATGGTACTCGTTGAAAGTTGAGATGTGCCCAGTTCTATTTGGAGCTGCTCGGTCGTCCTGAGATATCGGCATCTCTCAAGGAACGTATTGTCACCTCTGCGTCCTCCACAGAGGAGGAGAACACTCCGAAGTCTGTGGTTGAGTTACCTTCCGCATATCCCATGGTTCAGCCAATGAAATCGTATATCTTCGTGTCGTTTCATGAAATGATACTGTATTGATATTTATGAAGGGCGTTATACTTCGATACTGCCGAGGGCTTTGGCGAGTGGATGATCATCATTTCCACAAATGCTGATAAATTTTTGCGGAACGCCCACAAGAAAGATCTCGTCGCATTTAACGCCACCGTGAAGAAGACAAAGTACGTGTTGGGTCGCATGATATCGTGTATCAAGCATGCTTAGAATACGCTACACAGGGAACTCTCATGCGGTCATTTTACGGACAATAATCAAAGACGTTTGAGTAGCGCAACTGAGGTCCCCATCTTTGAGGCTAAAATCTCCCGTAACCTCAAACTCATCGTAAGAAATTTGTTTCTTATCAGCCCCAAATATCACTGACACCGCTTTGAAGTATCAAATTGACATAATCCCGGGCGATGATGTATGTTCGGAGGATAAATTCATAATCCAAGCTACTGAACTACCTTGAATCATTAGCAGAGAGAGCTACAAGGTAAGTTAACGTCCATCTCTCTTTTCTCGCTCCTCACCGCTCTTGAAGCTATCAAAATTTTTGATATCTTTAACCACGCTCAAATCGACAATCATCTCTGGAGTTCTATCAGCAGTCAACTTCGCAAAAAGGGAAAAGAATACAGGAAGAGGTATCATTTTATCGTTGTAACTTGCCAAATGTCTGTAGACTAAATGTGATGCTGTAGATGCGCCGTTAGGAAACACGCAGATCAATCCTCGAAGGATACTTTCACTCCAGCTATCTTTCCTCCGCTACCGGAAGTGTCGCCTTCGGAGATCAAAGGCATGCCGGATTTACGTCCCGACGAAACAGCCCAGGTTAGCCCCACATCTTTTGTTCCTTCGTATCAAACACTGACTATTCCACTCAGATTCATTCAAGACTCGTGTAAGTCATATAGAGAAGAGGAGAGTTCGAGCCACTGACCCCCTACAGTGTCGAAAAATACATCACATTTTCGCAGGTATGTTCTCGTGATACTTGCCTGCGGACTGATGATTTAACCATGAAGACGCGCAGCCTTTTTTGAATAGTACGTATCGGTGCGACGCTGTCCTAAAAAGCCGTATCTGATTCATTTTGGTAGCCGTCCTAGCAGATGTGGATGCAACTTTTCCTCATATGGTTTCGTGCGCCACGGTCTTTATACTCTCTTTGTTCATTTTCTGATACCATGTATTCGCAGCACTCAAGAGAAACGTATCATAGAGCATCCACGGTCCTGCTACGTCATAGGCCGCAGCGGCACGGGGTATGCACGAGCAGTTTGCCGGCTTCATGCTTTGGCTCATCGGTTTGATGTAGAAAAACAACTACTATGTTATTCAAGATGTTGCTCATCGAGCGGACGTTTCAACTCATGGAGTCAGGTTTACCTCGTCCTCGTCAAGTCTTCGTCACGAAGTCCAGAATGCTCGCTAAGAAAGTGCAGGAATACTTTGCGAAGTTGTCCAGCTCCTTGGCAATGGCATCACAATCCTCTGCCGACCTCACGAAGCTACCGAGAGCTCCCCAGTACCAAGATGATTTAGGGCTGATTGACGCAGATGATGTTGTAGATTGGCGGACTGATTTACCAGCCAAGTACAGTGAACTCGAGGAGAGGCATTTCCCATTATTTATCACATTTGATGGCGTGAGTAGCAGCTCTTTTTCATCCATGCTTCCCATTTTTACCGATTATAGCTTTGCGACATGTTGGAAGCTGACATGAGTACGCAAAAGTTGATCGACATGAGACGTACTGGTATCAAGCGCCAGATGGGTGTCATTACTTTTGAATCCTTTTGCGAGTCCTACTGGTCTCATTTCCCCGAACCGTTGATTAAAGGATTAGGTTTCTTCTTCTCTCTTTTGTCTGCGCATAAGTATTTAAACAGCGTTTATTTAGATCCTGCCTTGGTATTCAGCGAAATTATAGGTAAATAATTCATATATCTTGTTAAAGAGATTGACCCGAGTCTTCGTTCAGGCGTCATTGAAGGCTCGGCAGAGACACTGAGCGAAAAGAGGCATCACCTTAGCAAAGACGCATACCTTGATCTCAGTAAACGCCGGCAGTCTACATTTGCTGACCAGAGGTGCGAGGTGTACAGACTCTTTGAGTTGTATATACGCAAGAAGAAGTCGCAGGGAGACTATGACACCGGTGATCGGTAAGGTCTTTGTTGAAATTCCGTGAGTAGAAGATAATCGAGGTCTAGGACCCATGGCATATTGAAGCATTTCGCGGAAAAAGGTATTCCGGGCAAAGGTCTCGACAATTTGTGAGTCCTCTGTTTGTACTCTTTATCTATTATAAATATTGCGACAGATATGTGGACGAGGTGCAAGATAACATGCTCATCGATACTATGAGTAAATTTTTTCTCTTATCTTCGTCTCGCATAGATCAGCTAACCAACTCGTCATCTAGTCTTGAGGGCGCTATGTAGCAATGCAGACGGTCTCTTCTGGGCAGGTGATACTGCACAGACCATTTCCGTTGGAAGTTCTTTCCGTTTCAATGCATTGAAGGCATTTCAATGGAATGTTGAGGTAGTATTCACTTAGAATAATTCTCATATATGCAAGTCTAATTATACGAGTAGGACCAGTACCGGAAGAAGCGCAGACTCGAAGCTCCGCATTCGCCTGAGATGTTTCAACTTGCGGTCAACTATAGGTCCCATGCAGGGATTGTTGATTGCGCACATTCTGTCATCGATCTAATCATGATGTTTTGGGCGGATTCTATTGATCGCCTTTCTCCAGAGATGGGCATTGTAGATGGGGTCAAACCTGTCTTTTTAATAATGAAGACCACGCCCAGCTGGAACAGTTCATCTTTGGTGATGTCGGCAATCATATCGAGTTTGGTGCTCAGCAGTGTTTGTCTCGTGTTATCGGCGTTGTTGAAGCGAGCTGACTCCGAATTTTTATGTATAGGTATCATTGTCAGGAATGAAACGGCAAGAGAGAGACTCCGACAGAAAGTTGGTGAAATCGGTCTTGTGCTGTTCGAGTCTTTTTTTTGTTATATTAAACAAGCCACTGATGGCCAATATTATAGCACCGTATATGAAAGCAAAGGACTCGAATTCAACGATGTAGGTTAATATATTATGTCGCGAGTGAGTTTCTCACTGTGGCGCTTCATCCTTTCAGGTCCTGCTTTACAACTTCTTTGCTGATTCACCCGTCAATCTCGCGCAATGGCGTGTTGTGCTGAACGCCGTCGAGGAGAGCCAGCAGGACCCTAGAAACCCTCCTCCTCAATTTGACCCTGTTCGTCATGCCAGCATTTGTAATGAGGTGAGTCTGAATTATCACACCATCACCCAGCACTATTAAAGCGATGATATTTTTCAGCTCAAATCGCTGTATGTTGCAATTACAAGAGCACGTGAAAATATCTGGATCGCAGATGGATCTGAGATGGGGGAACCAATGAGAGTAAGTTGGTGCTGTACTATCCAGACAGTATTCTTATCACGAATCATCAAGATATTTTGGACGAAAAAAGATTTGATTAACAATTATACTCAGGGATCCGATGCTCCTCGTCTCGCGTCTTCGTCAACGGCAGACGAATGGGCTGCAGAAGGCCGTGAACTTTTCAATGCGAAGCACTTCTCACAGGCCAAGCACTGTTATGATAGGGCCAAGCTTCCTGCCTTAGCATCCATCGCAAATGCCTATGATTTGCGAGCAAAGGCTCGTAAAGTCATTGGTACATCGAGACAAAAAGTGCTTGAGCGACGTTCTTGTTTCACAGAAGCAGCTGTTTCATTCGAGAAATGTGCTAGTGAGGCGCGCTCGAAAGATTCCATGACCTACCTCAGGATCAGCGGCGAATGCTTTGAACAAGCTGACCAGAAGGATCGGGCTGCCGAAAAATTTATCCAGGTTCAGGAGTATACCCATGCTGCAGAGTTGTATAGAGACATCGGCAAATTTGACGAGGCGGTCGAAATTGTGAAAGCTCATGAAGACGAAATGTCGTTGAAGGTCGTCGAAAATGTTATCAAACTTGCGAGACTAGCATACTTCTCTGACCGCCAGATGTCGTACGTCATTTCCCGAGGCATGTTGGCTAACCATTCTCACTTTCCTAAACAGAAAGGCCCATGAGCTATTTGAGTCAGTCGAGAAAGAATTGGAGTATTTGGAAGAGAGAGATCTTGATATCGCTCTTGCAGACTTATTGGAGAAAGAAGGACGACTCAGCGAAGCTGCTGAATTGCACTATTCCGAGGGTCGCAAAGAAGAGGCTATTAAGCTTTTCCTCGCTCAAACTGAAAACAAAGATGCTTTGCGTCGAGCTCAAGAATGCATTCTTGAAGAGCTTTGGCGCAAAATATCATTTGGTGTTGACCCCAATGTCATACGCTCGGATGCTGCCGTGTCGCGGTTGTTGGATTTTTCTTCACAGTGTATTGTGAAGCAAACTGCGGAAGTAAGTATTAGCCTCATGTCTTACTCGTTGTGGCTTATCAAGGTGTTTTCAGCTCTCTATGTTCACTGCTATCATACGAGGCCAGATATCTCAACTGCGTGAACTGGGTTTGATATTTCACAAGATTGGCCATAGTTCGGCAGCCTTGCTATGTCTAGACCAATACTTTTCTCGGGTTCTTCGAATTCAAGACATGGCTCTTGTTGACGCAGTTGAAGAACTCAACCTGTTTTATACCTATGTGGGCCTCCTTTCTGCTGCAGCATTCCGAACGGACCCTTGTAGGGATGTAACGACCGCGGCGTTGTTCGGTTTTCGGCGAATAGCAGAGAACGAGTTCCTGGTGCCCCAGAACACATGGTTATACTCAGAGATTCTTAAACTTCAACCTAGGAACTTGCCTAGGGATTCCGACTCCAATCTCAGGCTGTCAGTACTCGAATTACGTGGCCAATTTCGATATATTCTGAGAAGTCATCTCCAACAAAGGGTTGCCGCCGAAAATGACGAATGTGCAAGAAGCAAAGCATTTGCGCCTTGCCTCGTTTTTGCCATATCTGGGTTTTGTTCGCGGCCTGAATGCCCGGAAGCTCACGCACCACCTTCGGCGATGAATATCGATTACTATAATATGCGTGTTCGTCTGCACCTGCAACAAATCTTGATCTTGCAGTCGCTTAGAGAGAATGCCCATGCGGACGTGGAATACAGAGGAACTAAGTACGTTATCATTCTCGTTCTCCAGCTTCGCAATATTTATTTCCATGTAGATTCTGGATCAACCGTCTTTATGAGGCTCTTTATCCTCCACACCATATGTTTGGTTCTATTTCCCATCTCGCACTTTCTACAATCCCCGAGGCCCCAAAGGCGCTAAATGTCGTGAAAGATTGGGTGCGAACGCTTGTTTATGGCCGGGAATATCACCCCTGGACGAACTTCCTCACGGACGTGATGCGAACAGCCGCCTTGGCTCTTGCGATTGACCGAAGTCAGGCGGATTATCTCAGAAATGCGGCTTATTTCAGAATATACCCTCCATTCATGTATATTCGCCAAGGCGACCGCCTCATTCTTCATGATCTTCTGGACTCGATGTCAGGACATCAAACATGGTCTCTTTCGGCTGGTTTTCGATTTTTCGAGTAAGTCTGGATCCCGCAGATCTTTACGAGTCTAGTGGGTTGATCTTCTTTCCAGGCACGTTGTAAAGCAAAGATTACCCGTCAACATAGGTGTTCTGTGTGACTTTCTGGATTTTCTTTGCAGTTCTGTCATTCTTTGTGGCGAGCGCCTGGGAATGACATTACCGCACAACGTAACTGTCCCTCGTAGCTGGCTCTTGCGCTTTGTGGAATATGATTTTCCGTATTTCAACAAGGGGATACAGACAAACTTCTATCACGTCCTTCTAGCACCTGTATGGGATCTCCTGCAACAATTGCGCGTCGGTAGAGACTCTGGTAAGTCCCATAAATTTATTATCCTTCAGCTTCTCATCCTCACAATGTAGCGGAACATTTATTGTATGGGATTTCTAGAAATGTTTCAAACGTGCCATACCAAGTTCGTCACGTTTTCATCGCAAGGATGTGAGTCAGTTACCGAGTGCGTTGCTATCTTTTCTGATATTCTTCCATTAGATTCAAGGCCATTGGTCTATGTCAGTTTTCGCTAGCTCTGTGACTTGTGTCCTTATTGCTTATTTACCTTGTAGTGGGCTACAACATCCACAACGATTTTCTCCGTAACGATATTAGGGAGCTAGTGCTATCTTTACACCAAGAGGGTTCCTCCCTATATGAGCGGTATGTGAGTCTACTTTAGGAGACGTCTGCATAATATTAACGCCTTTGTAGATACACCAGTGCAGCCAGTGACTCGTGGGATCAACTGGCAAACACTATTCGTTGTTCATTGCAAGATGATACCATGGATGAGATGATACAGCTCTTTCACCGGAGCAGGGTTCCAGCGAAAGTTCGCCCCTCTCCCGGAGTCCGTCAGCTTGTCTACAATGATTTCACGGATATCCGAGCACAGCTCAGTCTTTCTGCGTCTACTTCCTCTCAGACTACCTCACCGCATATTGAGGTTTCTGAGCGGGAGGAGCCGGATGACAAAGCGGAGGAGGTGGAAGATACACGAGAGGTTGAGATACCTGAGCAGGCTACCGATGACGATGCTGTAGCTGCCGATGCCATCCCGGCGCAAGATGTGACAACTCCGGAACCCACGGAAAGAGAGATCACTGCCGCATCCTTGATCCAGCGGATATACAAGAAAGTCCTTCGTCATCGACGAGGCATTGCCAAGAGAGGGATGGCCGGCCTTCACGCACAAATATATGCCTCATGCACCAAAGAAGTATCTCGGCTTGGTGATAACCCAGGGCTATATCTTCGCTTGTTTCTCGGTCCGCTGCCGCACATTTTAGTCTGTCTCGAGACAGTTCGTGTAGATACACTCAGCCGCAAGACGAAGACGAAAAAGAGGCTTAACAACGACCGTGACAAGTGCAGTCCTGATGATATTGCCACCCTTGATGACGCGTTAACACAGACCACGTACGTATTTTTTCCCGTTTCTACCAGGCGATAACTGATGTAATTCGCTCAACAGCAAGGCGAACAAAGCTGCTATCGAACTACAAAGGCAACTCAACCCGAGTTCTGATTTCCACGAGCGTCGCGACATCAAGCAACTCCGGAAACTAGTGCAAGAGGCTAAAGACCTGGTTTCTTCTCTCCCTTTCGACACTTCAGACCTATCGGATGATCTGCACCTCGCTATCAAAGGGATTGTAACCGAACGTTCATCTGCAGGCACACGCAAGAAGCCGACGCTCAATAATGACGACTTGTATTACTAAGATTTTCCTGTATTTATGTGGGGTCTACAATATAGTTCCCCCTTGATAAAACGGCGGGAAGGAATCATTGCTGATACAATATGTAGACAGCCACGTAAGTAGCCCGTCTGCCACAAGTGAGCCCACCCCGAGTTCATAGTCAAATCGCCCGAATCAGACGATCTCCGTGACTCTATAGGCAATGTATCTCAAGTCGATCTAATACAGGTGTTACTGTTCTGATAATAACAAGGATTCAAAGCCCACAGACACCTGTTAGCCGTACGAGATGAAGTGCCCGAGAGGCTGGCCACACGAGAATTTGGGATCCAGCGTAGCAGATGGAAATAACTGCAGAGTGTCAGTTCGGCATAATTGGTAGTGGAAGCAGGTAGTTTGCTTAGCTACACCGACCACAAGAGCGCTTTGCTCGGATCCTGACCACCCAAGCGAATACCAGGAAAGCAGTGCCCGCAAAGCTACCAAGGCGAGACGTTGGAAGAGTAACTTTAGCGTTATCAGAGACATTCCAGATCGTCATGGATGTTGACGAGGGATAAGGCCTGTGTGGCCAAATAAGAATTTAACGTCGAGGACATGCCTTGAGACGGCCAGCTAATCCAGGGGTTTGAGCCAATCGGATAATAGGGCACAAGCCTACGACTAACTGTTGGCAATGAGAAATGGAACTGAAGTGAGACCAATCAAATTGAATGCGCGTACCAAGTGCTAATCGAATAGTCTGACCACCAATCAGTAGCATGACAGCGTTGATTCCGCCACGCTCCAGCGACTTGTTCCATCGAGAGCAACTTCTTCAAGCCTAGAACAATGGGCATTCCTTGCTGTCAAAGCTGGCGCCGAGCACTCGATGATAGATAGCCCCAGCACCTTCCGCTCTCTGGTTCAGCTCCGAGTCGGCAATGCTCCCGTCAGTGTGAAGAAATATCCGCGATTTCAGCGACAGTCATCCTCTGCCTTGACACTCCCACACGCCTATACGTGCAGCGCAAAAACGACAGAGATGACCTTTGACTGGTCAAGTGCGATTTCTGAGGCCTATAGTAGCAAAGGATGAAGGTGAAGGAATCGAGCGGTAAACGAGGATTCGCAAAGAGTTGAGCAAGAGATACCCAGTGACGTTTGGATAGGAATCTTTCGGTGGAGTGTTGGACGCTATAACATGTGCGTTTCCATACCCTGGTCTCAAATTGCCAGTGCAAGATCGTCAACCAACCATCGTGAGTTTCATTTGCGTGGGATCCAAGATGACGTCCCAATTTCATCCGAGAGCAGGGAAGAGCAATTTTGATTTTCCGAGATTCAATGCCGGATATGTGAATTCGACCGAGTCCTGCACGCTGCATTGTCAGTATCCGTATACATATTTTAGCATTCGTACGCACCGACTACGCGCGAGAGACGTGAAGAGGAGTTGCATAGCCAAAGTATACAACACCACCGTATGCCTCAAGCACGAACTATAGCAGGAAACAGCGAAGAACTGAATGGTGTACTGACGTCTTGAATCCGGCATCAAAGAGATCATGTATGATGGTGAGAGGGAAGGATTGTTCGGATATTTCCGGCGCGTAACTTTTCGTATATCTACAAGATATTTGCGTTTTTCCACCTTTTCTGTGACGCGAAACGGGGCGGGGAGTCAATCAATGTCTTTTCTGAGAACCATGGACGCCAACACCTTTCTACTCATCCATGCGTGGACCATTCCCTGGCCCGAATACCCCGCTGCAATTCACTCTCTTCCTTCCGACTTGCCCAACACCTTTGAGGGAACGCTGCCAACCCAGCGGATATGCCTAAAATGCCTGATCACTCCTGTAAGTTTCTCAAAGTGGTTGTCGTCATCCACATCGGCCGAAGTAGTCACCCGACTCGACTTAGGATCTACGGGCCGGGAAGCCGGGATAAGATGTCCATTTGAAACTCAAAGTCAGCCCCGATTCTCCAATTTTGCGTGCTTCAGTTTTCCTGTAGTACCGACGCGTCTAATGGATTCCAGTATATCGGATTCGCCCGATGCACAGTTTGCGCCAGCACTTGAACCATTTCTCAATAACGCGACACAGGCGTTCCATTTACATAACCCTTGGATAACCCCATACCCTCGACCAGATCGGCCCCGGCGCGAAGGAGAGCTTATGCGGAGGATCATGCTGCCGTAGACAAAATACCCTTGAGAGGCGAGAAGTCTGAGAAGTCAGAATACGAGTCGCCGGAGAGTGATGGCGACGAATGGGATGTGCCGAACGACTATATCTAATCTGGAGAGTGCAACCCCCAGTGATATCACTTTGCTATTGGGGACCCTATATTTTAAGTTGTTGTAGTATGTCTAGATCTTGACCTCCGCGAAATGTGCTTCGTACTGGTCGTTACCTCTAAATAAAGCGAGACCAGAGTTAATGGATGCTTAGAGTTAGTTGGGACGAAGGTGCAACGTACTTTTATATGAAGCAGGAGAATGATGATAGGATCAAAGCGGTGATGTCCAAATATGTCCTAGTATCAAACTTCTCTTCAGCTAAGTAACGATGTCCCTGACTGTGTTCTCAACAATAACCGTCATATCGGAGACTTTAGATGTACGTTCGTTGAGTACCTGCGTATCCAAGCATATTGATCCCGAGGTTTGATGCTAATATAAAGTTGGTTTATACTTTTTAAGCGCTTAATTCAGTTGCGACAGCATGTCCGCATCATGATTAACGTTACAGCACAAAGTAAAAATATCACTCCGAGCATAGAGCATAGTTGTATCCACTCTCATCCGACTAGCACATGTCTCCAAAGAGCCTGCGATGGTGGCGCCGTCGAAATATGACGGGAACTGGCAGCCGTCACGCAACTTGTGTGTGTCGAGTCTTCCATTCGTGATAACCGTTTACCATTTTAGCTCTTTGGCATTCAACTGTATTGATCGTTAACACTTACCTCATCGAAGACCAACGTTTCGGATAGGACTCGGAAGATTTGAGAACACTCCAGGTTTCCAACAACAAACAGTTACTAAGACGAGCTTAGGCTGGACGGCGGTAATCGGGCTGTTTTTGGGGGTTTGATGCAAGGTAAGTGGTAAGTTCCATATGCTCGGTGGCGGTAATGCATAGTGAGAGCCAAGCCCGAACCAAATACTGGAAAGTTCATCAATGAGCCGGACGTAGAACTTGAGTCGGCCTGTGCTGGACTAAGGGTCGACTAAAGACTGAATTGAAAAGACATGTGCTTAGCTTTCATAGAGATCATTACAGGCGCTCAACCATCCGAGTAGTATCTGGATCCAACCTGGATGCGTGAAGTCTTAAAGTTAATGTGCCCTCCGATATTCAAGCCGAAGGCAACGACAAGTTACATACAGTTACTTCGTTTGATGCTGTCCAGATGGTCTGTTACCCTGACAAAGCCGTTCGAGGGTGCAAACATCCCCGTAACTAACGGCTACATAGTAAGCTGAGGATGTCGTCGGAGTTCAAGACGTGACGCGCGCTTCATGCTTGATGCGAAAAAATGGGATAAATTTTACACCTAGTATGCTCAATTATTACATCCACGCAGTAGTCTAATCCCTGTTTTAAAATTCTTTACTGAATTAAAATCAAACAACGACGAGGAACAGAGTGAATAAAAAGCATGAAAGGATAACAGGGATGAAAACAGTTAGCTTTATATATGGGATGGCTGGGTGGGGAACGATGGTGAGTGCGTGTGGCGTTGGGTTTGCATTATATCAGAATGTCCGTCCAAAAAAGAAATGAGAGAATAAGGCACGACTACAGCGTACATACTAGTTAATAGCGAGTGTGAGTTATCTGACCAAGTGCGAACGTGAAGGAAAAGCGCCGGAGCCTTGCGCGATAAAATTATTACACGTGAGGAGGGTATATATTGAAAACACTGTTAATGACGATTTCGAGAGATGTGTTGTGAATCCGGAACTGGTAAGAAGGTGGTAGTTCGTTCAAGGGCAGATGGTGAGATGTCGTGGCTTCGTAGATCGGAAAATGAGCGTTTTATGTGTATAAGTAGTCGTAGCGAATCCAAAATTTATAACTCAAACAAAGAACTGTGTGCTAAAAATGACATTTATCAGTATCTCGGAGGTAGAATGTTAAGGAAAGAACATACTGGATCCGACTGGCGGCATGAACTTCCATCTCCTCCATCTTGTATGAATTGAGCTCCTCCTTGATCCGCTGCGCCAACGCAGGCGTGAGTCGGCTCCATGTGGCAGGCTCACTCCGTCGATCATAGACAGAAGCGGAAAAGGTATCGTACACTGACAGATTACTGGCAAAAGCTAACCGCTTGCTGGTAGGCGCTGTCGCAGACCGATGTGTCAAAGTGGGCGCTGCAGATGTCATGGTCGACAAAGCAGGCGCTGACGAGTTGAGGTTGGGATGGTTGAATATCGCGGATGCCTTTTCAGGTATAGGAGCATGGGGCTGGGGGGATGAGGACATCTCTCTAGGCGAGTCAAGACTCATTCGGCCGGACGACTCGAACGTCAAAGGTGGAAGTAGGGGAGCTGATGGCAATTGACCATGACCCGATGAGTGCGATGGATGTCTATGAAGACCATCAATATGATCGGGATCAGGCGAAGGTATCCGTGCCAGCGGTCCCAACTCCGTTTGCGGAGGTGAATTGTATGAGTTTGACCGTACCCGGTTCGGTAGCGCCTGTTCAGCGAGATACACTTGCTGATCATAAGAGGCTGCATCTGTGTACGGGCCAAGAAAGTGAGCAGAATTATCTTGGGCAGCGAGTTCCACTCACATTTCAGTATACCTTTGGATGGCGTCCGTGCCCGTTCAACACTACGTCTCACATCGACAGCCCAAGGTTCGGGATCCTCCTGATACTGATACTCATCATCCATGCTCACCCGTTCGAGTCCTTGCCGTATTGTCACGTCCTCATCCTCTTCCGCCTCACCCCAATCATCGTCATCCTCCCATCCCTCTATATGATCACTAGGGCCAGCCTGACGACCATAATGGCCATCTTCACTGTCCTCTTCATCTTCCTCCACTAGAACCTTTGTACCATCTTCATTTACCCGCATCCCCGCACCCTTTACAGGTGATGATGAGCCCTGTCGCGTCGTCGTACCCTTCTCCCAGGCTGCTACACCGCTGCTCCCGTTCACCTTGACCGCGTTCGCGTTGGCATTGGCCGCAGCCTCAGCTTCTTGCTGGGCTTTAGCCTTGGCAGCCGCCTCCGCATTGCTTTTTAGCGTATGCTGCCGTGCTAGCTTGGCTGCCGGACTCAGCCCACTCATTTCTCCTGCAGCATTCCAATCACTACTGCTCCTGTCCAGCTCCGCAGTGACATGTGATACGCTTGCCTCACTCGCCTCTCCCTTCGCGCTGCCTTTCTTGTCCTTTTTCTTCCCTTTCTTCTCTCCGTCCTTGTCCTTCTCTTTGTCTTTGAACAACGACGTGATGCCAGCTAACGAGTTCCGCCTCGCCAGTCTCCCCATTGATCCAAGCTTTCGGATCATTACACTCGCGCTACTGACAGTAGACGATAATGATATGTTGTCCGTACTCGCGTTTAACCGTGAATTGAATAGGGAAGCCGCTCGGCTCTTCTTCTTCGTCTGTACCGTCGAAGGAGCTCTCGTCGAAACATCGTCACCAGGACTGTCCGGACTGCGTGTACCACCTCCGGGTTTACTCACAGCAGCATCAATGAGAATAGGCGTCTTGGGTTTTAGTTTTGAGCTACTACCCCGGGATGAAGCCTGCGCCGACGCCTCTTCCTCCTCCTCCTCCTCCTTCAAAGCTTGCGCAGCATTGAAAGAGAGCGCCCGTCGCAGTCGACCCTTGAGTCCCCCACTACGCAGCATGCTGGCGCTGGGCGTAGGGTCGAGCATGGTTGCCAAATCACTATCATCACGGGACATCCGCTTCTCGGACGCTGTAAACGTTCCCTGCGATAAAGGGGACGGTCGTGCGGGACGCGGCGTACTTGGTGACGCTGCTGACGACGTTGCAGCTGTGGGAGATGTAGCCGAATGGCTAGAACCAGGACGATTAGATGATGAAGCGGAAGATGAGGAAGATGTGCGATTGTGAGGTGGTCCGCGCTGAGGTCCGGACGCCGACGGCGATGTTGATGTTGAAGGCGAAGACCGTGCAGAGTTTGGAGCTGAAGCTGCCGAGGAGCCATTCCTGCTACGGACGCTCCCGTTCGCGGACGGCACGTTATGCCCGCTGTGACCACTCTGATTGCTGTTTGTCCGCTGGCGTGAACTGTGCGACGAATTGACGGAGGAACTTGATCCTGATGCATCTGGCCTAGCATATGGAGGATTCGGAACCCCACCGGACCGCCAGTCACTGGGCTCACTAGTTTGTGATTGTTGCCGACTTGGACGTCGGTATGGATGGAAACCAGGGTATTGTCCATTCGGTTGCTGCTGCTGCTGTGGATGGTCGCCAGCGCCACCTCTGTGGTTCGAATGAGGCGGAGGGGTACCGCTAGGAAAGGGACTGTACACGTTGTTAATTTGATTTTGGGCAAAGTAATCGTTGGAGGAGGAAGGGGTGGGCCCGCTTCTTTGCGAAGACGACGAGTGGTGTTGTTGGGGCGGCGAAACGTGTGGGAAATTCTGCGGGGAGTGTTGAGCAATCAGCATATTGTGATACGCCCATTGTGCCGCGAGCTGTGCGTTGGCGGGGTCGAAGTAGGGGGTCTGCTGGGGTATCTGAGGATAGGGTGGTTGCTGTTGCTGATTTTGATAGAAAGCCGGATAAAATGGTTGGGCCGAGATAGACGGCGTCCAAGCGCCCTGTGGTTGCTGTTGGACGGGATACGGATAAGGCTGTGAGAGCTGCTGCGGCTGATGGTAGCCGCCCTGCTGTTGATTGTGCGAGGTGGACATCTGTGAAGGTGAATGGTCATTTGCAGGCGGCGAGCGCTGTTTCGAGTTGGAAGAAGGAACGTCCATTGTCGATTCTCTCAGAGGATACTGCCAATCTGAAGGTGCGAGAACGGCCATCGACTTTGACCGCAAGAAGCAGGTCCCGTTCTTCTGAAGAAATGAAAGAAATTCGGCGCAACGAGCACAATACAAGTGAGGAAGGAGACGGAGGAGGAGCAAACAGAACAAAGATAATCGTTTCGCGTGTCAGTGGGATTCAATGATGCGAATGGGAAACGTAACGCACCGCTTTTGAGTGTTAGTAGAGATCGAGCACGACGGCAGGATGGTCGTAGAGAACGTCGGCAACGGTGACGAGAGCCGCTGAAAATGTACACGGGTGCTGGTCGATGGCAACAACGACGACAGCGACGGTGCAAATCAGTTGCTGGGAGCCACAATCAATAATCACGGCCAAATAGTACTGCCACGTGCTCCCGCCGTCACAACGTCACGCTTTTCCCCGAACTTGTTTATTTTTCCGTATTTCCTCGAGTACTAGTTCCTCCGTCCAGTCTCGCCACCCAGTCTTGGCCGGCTTAACATAGTACGCGTATCCTGTTAGTATTACTGGGACTTGAGATTCTCTTTCTTTCTGGTCTTCCTCTTTGTCTCATTCGACTGGATTACCTCACTGTACGGTGGCTGCTAGTTCTGTTCTTGATCCGCTCAGGGAACGCCGTCTATTGAAGAAATCGTGCAAGGTCTTGTCGGTCTTCGGTACCTTGAAGCGGCCGTCCGTTCTCTCGTAACCATCCAAGATGACCGGTCTGTAGCCGGGATCTAATTGGTTGCCAGCCAGCTATCCCTCTTATCAGCGCTCTCTCACCTCAGGGGGCCACAAGGGGACCAACAGATCCCTACAAGAATCTTTATTCTACAAAGAAGAACGCGTCGAAATCACAAAGCGAGGTCGTACGCTGCGACTCGCTTCAATATCACCTGTTCTTCGAGAAGTCTGCTTCCATTATGTGCTTCCGAACGATGGCAATTTCTCACCATAACATGCGGCCTACTGGTACTGCCTCTCCTGATTCTCCTATGATCAACTTAAAATCGATGCGTCTCTTCAAGCTTCATTCCTCGTCACAATGGAGACGTTTCGACAACTCCGGTCTGACATGGGTTTCCTTTATCCACAAGTACTAACCGTTTTGGGCAGGGAACCCTAGAAACTCTCAAACCCCGATGCTGATGGCGCGTCATTTATGTTCAGACAACAGTTGTACGTCTGCCTGCTGTTGCTCTTTCGTCTTGCGCTACTGTGCTTTGCCGATGCTGCACAACAGATTCCGATGCCATTGCTAGATCTTCGCCGCACGTCTGGCCTGGAGATGCTTTTTCTTTGATGCGCAGTTAACATAGACAGGACGTCTTTCCTCTTATTACGATGTACGTATGTCCTAGGCGTGCAAAGCAGGCTGTCATGCTGATGTTACCACTACGCTTTGATCCAGACGACAGCTGTAATCGGCCGTCGTAATCGGCTCTACGGCATCACCTTCTAAGACTAGAACTCGACGCTGAACCCGGCATTGGGAGCTTGAGGTGTTTCAGTGAGCATCAACATACTATGGGTGGTCAGCATGTGCAAATGGATCGCGATGTGCAAATATTGTTTTGCAGCACGTTCTGGCTACTTATTGGTTTCGGTTTTTTTTCTGACAACTGAACAAAATTGTATAATTAATAGTGCGCAATGATTTTATTTGTGGGTTTAGAGGAAGCCGAGCTGTATCGAAATTTGCACATCGTGATCCGTTTGCACATGCCGACTACCCACAGTAGGAGCATTGCTTTTCATTCTTTCTACGCAGTATCTCCCAGAGATCATCGAGGTCGCAATGGCAACCCTACTATATTTGTTCTTATCCTAACACTTTATAGCAATGACTTAGCTCGACGGCCACAACTGTCCTAAGTACATGTGCATGATAAGTACGCCGCGTCTTCATTAGAGAGACATCGGACCGGAACGCGTTCTTGGCGTAATTGACATTTGAGAGGGGCAGGAACCTGCAGGAACGGCTTGTATAATTCGGGAGCAGTAAACATTCCACATTTCTTCGGCAATATAATCAAATTGACGGAACAACAGAGTCCAGAGTCTCAGCCTCAAGTCTGGAAGGCACCGCGTCAGTACTTCGCGTTGAATGCCAGGTGAAAGGGTTTAACCAAGTTCCGCTACCTTGTGGAAGTGGACAGTACTCGCTGAAACATTGTGACCATCTAGTGCTGAAAGCTGAAACGAGATCGAGCTTAGGTCGAGGCACTACAACCGGGAAGGAAACTACAAAGGGGAACGTGACTTCTCAAGTCTATTAGTTTCCGCAACCCGTTACAAAATTGAAAGCAGCCTTCACGAGTACACCGGAGCTTGACCGCTTCATTTTCTGTCAACGCTAAAGCCTCCGGGCTATTATTATCACTGCGATTGGATATCTGTCAATGAGCGCCAGTAGCAGACGCTGAATCGACATCTTCCTCCGGCCCGTAAGCGTGTCGCAGTCAGGTTTGCCCAAGCGCGGTCGGTCGAGGCACGCCCCTGTCAATAAAGTCAGTGAGCCCCATTTCTTCTGCCCCAACGTTCTGACTGCGTTGAATTTTTTTTTTCTTTTTCGAACAATATCCCCGAGCCAAGAATGGCAATAGACTCGATGTCGTACGAGAGTCTCCTAAATCTCGCTTTCCATCTGTACGCGTCGGAGGCCTTCCTCCGATATGTGAGCGCATCCTGTTCCTATGAATATTGCTATTCAATTCATGATGCATCGCAACATTGTTTTTCCCCACGGGCGGTAACAGCGCCCAGTTCTTTGATCGCAACGCTTATCGCCTGTCAGCAAAGAAATCGCCGCTTTCAATAGACTTTGTAATAACTCCAGCAGGCCATCGGAGTCAACTGCAGGAGAGCAACCGGGTACGATCGTCCGCCTTCACGCCAAACTATCGAGGCTACATAGGCCCGCGTAGCATTGGCGGTGGGTAAGAATGTTATCCATCGTACCCCTTTTGTCGTGTTCCTCAAGTTATTCAATCCTCCATACAATGGAGTGTGCGTTGACAGAGAGGGGAATTCGAAATGCTAGAGCGGCAAGTGCGGATGCTGGATAATGCTTCGCGCCATCTTATTCTGCAACCATGGAGATAAGAGACTTCAGCAAGGAAGTCATCTGAAAGGCTTCTGTGAATGACATGTGCGAGCCCGAGGCCTGTGTGCGCGGAAACCATGAGGGGGTCCGTAACAAGTTTTGTTGCGAGGGACACAAACATGCAGCCCGGGGATGATCACGACTATTAAACGTACGAACGGTATGAATACATATCCTTTTGTACCAGATGACAGCACCGCACAATGTCCTATATTCCGGAGATACAAGAAGTTGACAAGCACTAGAGGTTCTGTAGATATACGACCCTCTCTCCATTGCTAGTTGACTCGTGATAGCGTTTAGGGAGGTTGTAGAGTCATATCGTCTATTAGAAGATGTGATAAAACGCGAGAGAGACAGCAGAGGTGCAGAAATTGTATGACATCGGGTAGAAGTGTCGAAAGGCATCAGCGACACCGTCGCGGGCATGTATATGGGGATACAGGAAGGTTTTAGCGTTGGTGATTTTGTCGCTAGCTCTTGGTGCCGTCCTCGTAGGAGACGATCCAATGTGGCTTGAGCGCTGGTGATGTTTTCTCTGGTTGCGGACGTAGTACTTCTCGATGTCTAGAATATTGTCATTACCCTTCGGAAGCTCTGAGCAGCTAGCCGTAATGAAATATCATGACAATGCTTGAGGTAAAGACCTGGAAATGGCGGCACATGATGGGTTCGGGCATTATGCAAGCTGGAAAAAATTCCAATGTTACTGTACAGAACATGAGCAAGGTAAAATACAGCATAGACTAAAATCTGCACTTACATAAACTGGCCTTTACCGGGTTGGTGTAGGTTGGCATTTTCCTACCTTGTTAACTAGTGCTTCACCAAAGCCTGAGGTCAGCGCTACTTGACATACCTTGCGCAGAGTCTACGTCGCGGAATAGAGACTTGGGATGCCGATTGGTGGTGTGTAAGCGTCGCGCTCTGCTATCGATGTGAATACAGTACCGGGTCCTTGACCTTAGCAAGTAGTATGAATGAGAAGATGTGATAAAAAGTCTTAAGAGGGTAATAGTATACCCCCTCGTCATGAGAAAGCTCAAGGTAAAGACTGCATACGAATGGCCAATCAAAAGAGGACCGTCCAATTCCTTCCGGCAGTTGCTGTGCCGCGGTATCATGCCGCGGCGGAGTCACTCGTCTGCATCCCGCATGCAGTTACTCTGTCAGTTGCAACTACGCTCTTCTATATCATGCTATTTCTCCCGTTTATGAATACGAGATCATAACAGCTACAGTTGCTATCATTTCACAGTCCGCAGGAATGCATCAAAGAATCCGACTCTCCGCGTCCGAGCCATCAATGAACGTGAACTTTGAACCGCGTGGTCTCATCGACAACGTTTCTTTGGCGACACTACCGTGAGTCCTTTCGCTGCTCAAAGGTCCTATATAATAACCCATCGAAGCAAGGTGCAAGTCCTTGAGAAATGCCTTCAAGTCATGAATCTGCGGAAATCCAATCGGAGCGCCGGTCCGAATCTCGTTCGATAACCTCGCAACCTCGTACTCCAGAGCAGGAAAATGTAGCTGTCCAACCCAGCGATCCTTTTCCCAAAGTCAATGACATGTCCCTCGTTCAAGTGACCGTTCTGTTGTCAAGGTCTCCAGAACATCTCACTGCAGTCTATCAGAATGCTCATTCAACCCGATTCTAGTCTTGGTCTGGCGCTGTTTCTCTTTGCTATCGGTGCGTCTTTCAGAATTTCAGAAATCTGCGCGACTTGACTCTTATTCTGACGTAGATGAAACCATCGTGGCGACTTCGGTTTCTACCATCGGTTCTGAACTCGAGATCAAAGGCTCGCTGTCATGGATAACAACATCTTACCTGCTCACGACGACTGTTATTCAGCCCATCTCTGGAAGGATTGCTGTAAGGGTTATAAATTTTTTATGTAGTCCACGCTATAATTGAGTGACGGCTATTAGGACGCTGTTGGCGTCAAACCGCTCGTCTTTTTGGAAGTCTGGGTATTTATCGTTGGCAATATCATCGCAGGAACAAGTCGCGGACTATCACAGATGATTGCGGGACGTTTGATCAGTGGTATCGGTGGTGCTGGACTGGTTAGTCTAGTTAGTATCATCGTTTCTCGTGAGTACATCTTTGTAGATGTCTCTTTTTTTTTGTTTTACTGATGCATTTTGGGTAGAGTTAACAAACGAAAAGCAACGAGGAGCATACATGAATATTTTCAACGTAGTCTTCATCCTGTCTGATTCGCTTGGGCCAATTGCTGGTGGAGCGCTTGCAAAAGCTGGCCAGTGGCGCTGGATGTGAGTTTATCTGTTCAACATTAGATCTATGAACTTAACAGCTCTTGTAGCTTCCTATTCACCGCACCTTTTGGGCCTGTTAGTCAGTTTATTTCCCGCGTTGTAATTTTGTCACCCGTCCTGATTTGATGGATGTTAGTTACCATCTTCCTGTGGGCAACGCTCCGTATACCACCACCGCCATCACGAATCCGGACGTTCCGAGAGGCTCTCGCCAAGATCGACTTGATCGGGATGTTACTCATTGTGGTGTCCCTCAGCTGTCTGGTTGTCGCACTCAACATGGGAGGCCAAGACCTACCTTGGAACTCTTCTGTAGTGATAGGATGTTTCGCAGGCGCGGGGGCGAGCTTTCTTGCATTCATCGCAGTAGAGACGAAAGCAGAGATGCCTGTTGTACCGGTTGAGCTGTTTTCGACATGGAAATGGAGGAATGTGAGCATTATGACCAGTACGGATTTCTTTGTCTCTGTGAGAGTTGGGTATCTGACTACAGTGCCGTAGTTGTGCGAACATTTTCGTTCTTCCACTTGTTTGCACTGGTTAGTTGTGACCACATAATTCATTCTCTTCAATAGTCTGATAGGTTAGCATTTAGGCATTCTATCTTCCTGGTTAGTCTCTCAAGTGTCAAGTCTCTAAGACCCTAGTGCCAACCAGCTCGTTCGTCATAGTGTTTCTTCAAGTGATTGGGATGTCTTCGGTAGTTTCGTCTGCGCTGATCATCCCGTTCTTGATCATGGCATCAATCTCCAGTACTGCTACGAGCTGGCTTGCACCTAGATGGGGTGGCGGGTACGCGTTGAAAGCTCTGTTCGTCATACCTCTGGCAATTTTGGCTGGTGGTATGGTAAGTCGTATCCAGCTTGTACCGGCAAGGTGGGCGGGACTAACGTGATTCGATAGGGACTTATGTCGACCTTGAACGAAGGCAGTAACATCGGTCGCATTGTAGGTTATTCGTTGATTTGTGGTGCAGGCTTTGGTTCCGTATGTTTTCCTACTTTTGTAATGCACTGACAATGCTGAATGTACTTGTAGGGAACACAGATGACGATGGTCATTGCGCAGATCGGTCTACCTGGCGACTATCTGTCAACCGTGACCGCCTTAGTTGGCACCGCACCTACCCTGGGTGGTGTTCTTGGTGTAGCAATTCTTGGCAATGGTATGTATCTTTCTCAACTGCGTCTCTCACTCAGCCTTTCAATTTTCGACAGTGATCAACAATGCTTTTCGTGATATGCTCGTCAGGTCACCGTATCTCTCAGTGATAACAAGTTTGAACCCAAACTCTGTTGTTGATACGCTTTCGCGACTTCCTGAGAGCGGGCCAGAGCGACAGACCGTTATTGACGCATATGTGGGCGCATGGCAACGGGGGTGTTGGGTTCTCGTCGGGGTTGCAGGGCTGGAGGTAGTTCTGTGCTTGGGTCTCAAAGCCGTCGTGTTTGATGAAAGGAGGGAAGGAAAACCCGAGGCGGAGAAAAGTCCTGTGGCGGTATAAAGGAATGTTAACCGACTTTGTTCCGTGTATGCGTCGCCTTTAGCATAGAGATAACACTGTACATAGATTCTTGCGCAAGTTACGATTTACTTCTACGGGATTCCTGCTTCGCAGTCTGGTCCGTTATCAAAGCTTACTTCCCTTATGCTGCAATCAATCCAGCAAGCTTTCCTGAACTCTGCAGTGCCATCGTGTCATCACACCCACCGATGTGCTCTTGGTCTAGAAAATATGTTAGATAAGTTAACTGGACGCATCACCGCGAGACTTACTAATGAATACATTGGGTACGGTGCCTTGACCCGTCTTTTGACGGAGATACTCCTGTATGTCACTTCCGTCATCACGTTCATCAAGCCTGCGGAATACGGAGATGAGCAATTGTCGTCATTAGTTTGAACAACAGACACACTCGATGATGCCAATGTCCGCATCGGGGTATTTGTCCTTAAACATCGTCTTCGCACGCCGGCAGTAAGGACAGTAGGATTTCGAGAAGACAGCTATCTTGTGCGAGCTGATAGTCTCCTAAACAACACTCTATAAGATTCCCCTGTGAGTAACGGGCGAAACACAGCGTACTTCGACAAAGTTCTTGACAGACATAGTGGGTGGGAAAGAGTTGAAATGGCAGGAAAAAACTGAGAGACGGGAGAGCATCGATGCTGGCTTTTAAGATGAGTCCGATGGTGTCATCTGATATGATGATTTCGGATTCCGATACGGACCACATAGACGCTTTGACGTTGCGGTGGGTAAATTGCCTCACCTCAGGCTATAAAAGCCTTAATTTCAGCTTCGAGCGCCACTGATCAACTGATAGATTGGATCTTGATCAGGGATGCAGTCGATACTTTCGTAATTCACGCACCAATTGGAATCCAGCATTTGGTCTCTGGGAAGGGTAATGCAACACCTTATGGTGGTGAGAGAGAGGTGATCCACGACCGCTTCTCAGCGTTAACTACTTCACGTGAACGTGCCACACGCTTCGATAGCAATCTCCTGTATGATCGGGTATCACAGTTGGAGTGCGAATCGAAGTAGAAGGGTCGCCTGATTGTCCGTATGTCCCTTGCTAGGGAAAAAAAAGACATCCTGAAGAAGGCCTGTGGCTGGTATGGATACGGCAGGAGAAGTTTGAAGAATGACGATACAGTGAGATGGCCAGATCTTTTTCAAGATGATTAACGAGGCGGCTCATCGAAGCTGACATGCACCTGAGTCGCGTTCGGGACTGGAGCTGAGGATACTCCTTTCATGTCGGTGGAAGTTGGCGACCCACTGAAGACGCGATCCGGCGTTGCTTCTTCAAGAGGTCATTGGACGGCAGTAGAGTGAGATTCAGGCGCTAACGAATAAGACGTAGTCGTTTATCCGATTTCCCGAGGCGGCCTTTATCATTGTAGTTGTAAATACAGATGATACAGCCATGGGGCCGGAGCCGTTCCCAGGACTGAATAGCTCTTGAGATTGTTAGGCATAAGAAGGGCATTCCGACTGGCAACTACGAGAATTGCACTAGAAAACATGCTGATATTGCCCTTCTAAAGACGACACGAGGATAGGTGTGTGAAGGCGAATAGAGGAAGAATCTATTCGAGAAGTGCAACATGGTCGAGGTACTCTGTATCCCGCCTGCTTAACTGGTAAAGAAATCAGATAGAGAATCATTGGAGCTGAAGAGACTCACGAACCTGGATGCAGCATTTCCCAAGCGAACTTTATCCAATCGCACTGCAATGCCTAACATTATGGGGGATAAGATGGAACGAAAAAGTCCCGAGAAGCGAGAAATCTTGGAAGGAACGTCTTACGATATGACTTGCTTGCATTGTGGCGGCGGCCCCAGCCTGGCGGTGTATTAGTTGTTATTCGAGCGGGTGAGAGACCAGCCAAATGCTTAGTACAAGTACATCTGCGGCTTCTTCGCTCCTTTTATTGGCGTGTCCCCGCTGATGCTGACATTACCAGAGTCTTATATGTTGTCTAGGGTCTTGTTCGTAACACGATTCAGTGAGTCGTAAATGGGTTTCTCCTTCAAAACAGCAGCGCCAAACACGTCTTCGAGAAGGGGATGCATCCCATTTGCAATTAGCCCCCACAGATCGATATATCGATTGCTGAAGAGCGCTTGTGATATGAAGGAAGGAAATGATACCGTGGCATTGAGAGACAAGGTGGTATTGGTATTGGTACCGGCACAAGGTCCCAATAAGGAACGGTTGGCAGGCGATCGATCAATCGCCCAGCCACTTGTCCGAGCTGGTGACCACCTTCCGGCAGTAGGTAGGTGTAGTAATTTCTGAACTTGGACAGATAAGTAGCGACTAAAGTTGCCTACCTTCACTTTGCGCTAAGAAGCGTCTAATGAGGGACCAGGGTGCGTGAACGGTGACGCCCTTCACATCATGATCCTAATTTTTTGCTTGGCTCTTTTTAGTATCTTGTTACTCAGTGAAGGGATATATCCTTGTAGCATCGTAGTATAACACATATCAAACATAAAATATTTAATCGACATATAAATAAGTTAATTCCCCCAACATCAGCAAAATAATTTAGACTTTGGTTGACGAATCATTCACAAGAGCTGACTCTGGCTCCGACTCCTCCATTTGCTGAGTCGTTGTGGTATCAGTCGACTTTCGCAGACCGTCAATTTGATGCCTAAGAACAACAATTATCACGTACATTAAATTCGGCAAACACTGGATGTGAAGATTGGGCCTCGTGAATCGACATTGACGGATCCAGCTTTTCTCGAAGGTAATCTCTAGAATTGAGTCTGATGGATGATGATATTGTAAGCTTCACTCGAATTACGAAAGAAGGTCAGGCTTACATGGCTAAAAACGAGTTCAAGTACGCTTGAAGAGATAGGAATCAGTTGAACGAAGATGAAACTGAGGAAATGAACCTTACACTTTGCAATTAAGAAAGAAATTCCTCCGTAGACTGTCGCATCGGGAAGGACCAAGAACTACAAGAATACTTGTTGAGCACAAACGTGGATTTCGAATCGAACTCTCATCTTACCGTAACCAATGACCCTACCGAGAGTAAACTATCGGCGAGTCTCAACGGTAATGGTATATAGAGGCGACAAAAGTACTTACGTCGTGATGAGGTTCGTATTGACAGTGAACAGTGTAAGAAGAGTGATAACATGATCACTTCTATACCGGAAATGTCAAACAACCGTCCATCGTGAGAACGACCACGCACCTGATGATCCCTGATCGAACTCGATGAAGACTTGTAACTACAAGGCAGTTGAACCGTCACTCGAAACGGAATAGACATCAAGCCGCTTACTCATAGCCAGAGTCACGATTACATCAAAGGCCATGCCACTTGAAGCCGCAAGCTTAACTGCAAGCTGGGAGGTGTTCGTTGGTCTGGCTTCTGTAAATAATAACCACTCACAGAAAATCCAGGTGAGTTGGAAGTCTGTAAGCGGTGCTGGGAACCGAGGACACCCATAGCTGCAAAGTATCAGCACCGTCACTGATTTTTCCCAAATGTATTGACGGACCGATATACGATGCTGAATTCAAAGAGAGGTAGGTAAATTCAATAGTAGTGACAGTGTTGCCCTACTGACCGAAATTAAAGAACGCCAATGGAACCTGTCGTGGGACATGAAGACGTGGTAAAGAAAGAATGGTACAATGCTCCTACCGTGATAGCCATAAAGGTGATTCGCATCCATAAATTCAGTGAAGAAGCGCCGATTTTCCATATGCGCCAACAGAAAAAGCTATCAACTGGCATAAATAAGACAGATTTCTGATAAACGTTTACTCACAGCTGCATGAGAAGCACAGAGCAGACCTAGTCCTATGAGCATATTGAGAGAAGACCAAGAAACGACGCTGACTCCGATGATAGACGACTCCTGTCGTAATGTTAGTGTCATAAGTAACCTCACGACAAAATAACAAGACTTGCATATGTGGTCAATCTAGTTACCTTGTTAATGAGATGCGGCTAAATGTAAAAAATATGAATACATACGCTACGCCACTATCGGCTCCTCCTTCTTCCAATGCAGCTGGATTGGCGAAGTCGCTCACCAAAAAGCGATACATGCCAGCCATAATCACACCTTGTTGAACAGTATCTAATCCCTGTTTGTGGGATATCAGATGAGTATGATTGATGGCATTACCGCATTGGATGAAGTTCTTACGCTGCAAGTAAGTTGAGTTACATTGTTGTCAGCGTATATAGAATATCGCCACTTACACTATAACTAATACCAGAAGCTTCAACCACCAACGGTCAGATCGAGCCCGATTTGAAGTTATGTAGAGAAACGTCTGAACGCAGATAGCACCGTACAATCTTCCACGCTGTTAGAGGTAGTGATCATCTACGAGAGAAACTTAATACATACAGCATCGCGAGACTGGCGCCAATATATAGGGCCCCAAGAGTGTTGTCTAGAGCAGGAAGTGAAGTGGGTCGTGAAGCTGGTACTGCTGACATATTGGGCTCCGCGACAGTGGAAGGCAACAAGGATGGGTGTTTAAATAAACAACATACCCTGGGTCAGAATGTATCACCGGGTCACCCGTGATTTGACATGAGACACTGGAACTGGTGAAGATGCGCGATGGATCTAACGATGAAGATCCGATGAACTTGAGATTTAGAAGACTGTCGCATTAAGCAAAGTATAGCGAGGACTGCAGAGACATCCACTACCCCGAGAGGGCTGCGGTGTAGCGCTCTGATGCCTGGTCTGGTCGCTGACCCTACAAGTGGGTGGAAACTTATAGAGATGATGTCGGTAAGAGTTTCCGCCGGATTGTTGGATAACATGTTCCACGAGCTATGAATAGACGCTGCTTCTTTTCTTCATCACATCAACTCAGCGAACCATAGGCTGGGTGAAAAATATCAGCATCAGTTCTCATTTGAAACCTATTACTCATGTAACAGCCTCGCTGGAGCAGGCTGATGTGAACATGGTTGAGGTGATCTTGTTTGAATATACATCCTTGCATTAATATTCTGGTTTCGCAGGTCGAGAATTCGCAACTTGGTGACAAACACTTGGGCCATCAATACATGTCTTTGGGAAGCGCCATTTTTCTTGTTGAGCACGTCCCTTGCACATTTTTTGATTTCGAGCTGCACCTTCAACTTCAGCCTTTTCTCTTCGCTCATGAACTCTCCCTGTAATGAACATAAGCACCAGCTTAACAATTCCTCAGGCCGACTTCACTCACATACTAGCCTTGGCATGTAGCTCCACCTTCCACAGCACTTTCCATCCCATCCCTTCAATGGACATTGTCCTATCTGACTTGACAAATTCCCGTAATGTCACATTTCCACTTTCATGCACTATGAGTATCCGGAGAGCGCCGTTTGCTCAGATAGATGAAGAGACATTATAATACCTTTATATAAATAAGTAGGGCAGGGATAAACGCTAAAGACTCTACTTACCAATCGCCTGATTCCCGCGCGCGCCGTAGAAAGGACGGTACCATTGCTTTCTTGCTTCCCTATCGCAGTGTGTACTCGACTGCGAGATGGCAGAGACCAAAAATCGGCCTGAGCGACTGTAAGAAACCCTTCCAGGGGAATAGAACTACTGCGATACCTCTGGAGATCCGACTAAATTCGGGAGTGCAATAAGGGCCCTGTCAGATTGGTCCTTGGACGATGAGCCTGGCGTGCTATCTTTCCGGGGCCAAAGGCACTAACAAAAACCTGCAGTAATCCAAGGCATTGACATCCATCGAGAACCGGAGAAGGGGAACGGGCGATTCAGACAGAGCTGCGGACCCTCCGATGCCTGCTCCTTGACGCGACGCCATACGTGAAGCTTGGGCCTGATGTCTCGACCTTGTCTGCATCCTATGGTGTAAATTATGCCTCCAATGGGACCGAAAGTGATGACAGTCTTCGCCCGCTATCCCCGTACACCAAGTAATCCGTCGCTGCGGGCCTTCCAAGAGGAAGTTGGACACGAAAATGGACGCAATGTACGCGCTGACATCGATACAACGAATCCAGAGCCATCTCAAGAGCAAATTCACTCGTTGTCCAGGGAGATGAAGAGGGTAGTCACACCAGAAGAATGGTACCGAAGGATATGGCTTGCAAGTGGTGGTGCTCGAACATTTTGCCGATTCTCCCGATTTCATTTCACTTTGCTTTGATTTTTATTTTTTGATCTCTGCATTCAAGTAAACCTACTCCTAAGCAGTTCCGGGTGATTTTGCAATGTTCTCCGTGGTGTTTCTGGTGTTTTTGGTGGGCGACGCATTGGGAGGGGAACGTGGACGACAAGTTGGTCGGAGCGTGAAAACATGGCGGCTTGCCGGTGATCGCCTTCCGAAAACCACTCACCGCTCGTCTCCTTAATTTTACTTCTGCTTTACACAACATCGTTCGCATCGATCTTTTCTCGAGATGAACAAGCACAACAATGTCCACTGTTGCCCGGAAACGAATCTTTAGACCCAGACCTTCCCAACGCTGCCGCAATTCTTGAAGCCAAACCAGCTCATACAAGGGAAAACGTGCGGAGCTATGAGTGATAGCTGAATTATGTTTGCCACGCCTATACGTGTTGCCAAAGGTGCATATCTTACTGTGCTGCGGTGAAAATGGCTGACGGGGAGTGGCGTGAAAGATTGATATTATAATACGCAGCAGTATCTGTGACCTTCAATACCAATCTCGGACCTTTGGTTTCGGAGACAAAGTCGATGATAAGTAGGGCCTAAGAGCTTGAAGAGCCTGAGGCTTGATACACGAGAGACGAAAAAATTATCGGAAAACTTCATCGAGCCACACCATGCGTATAAGGCTATGCTTAGGATTCATTCAAAGCGTAATGTCGCTGCAGCACCAGCATTACAAACCTTCATCTGGGGTGAATCTGACCTCCAAGGATGGCCATTAACCCTGTCTAACTTACCTCCAGATGATCATGGTCAGTTTGTCGGACTTGCAGGTTGGACCATTCATGATTACATGCCGTTTGGGTATCGTCAGACGCCACTTAACGCTATTCTATTTTGCGTTAATCCAGAAATTTGATGTTCCTGAAACGTCTTTGCCTTGAGGCGCGAAGGCACCGGGTGCCGCCACAATCTGCTGGTCCTTTCTCGAATTATCTGTCGCTGATCTTGAAAGGGGTATTTCCAGATATTTCCAGGACTTTCTCTTGCACCGAGTCATAGGTCTGCTGCCTTCCTCTTTAAATACGCCCTCGCTCGCTTGAATTATAGGACTTGGCATAACGGACCCCTTGCGGTCCCCCAGTCTTATCAAAGAAAGCATTGCTGTTCGTACGTGGCAGGCCCTTCTCTGTTTGATCGCAACCTGATTGTGTTTTTTTGACAGATACTCTTTGAAGATGTTGTTCAGCGACCCGCTAACAAACAAAGCTCAATACGAGAAATTCATGGACTACTATAGCAAACTGTATCTCCGGAACGCTTCCGACATTCCTTCTTTCATGTCCACGATTTTTCATTGCGATGACCTGGACGCTGAAAACGTCCCAAGGATCAAAAAGGAGAAGTCCAAACAGCCCGCCTTCATAAATGAGATGCCCACGGAAATATTGCTTGACATTTTCTCTCAGGCCATACCTTCTACTACTATCGATCCGTTTAACGCCACCGCCGGTCCTTGGGTGCTCAGTAAAGTGTGTAAGAAATGGAATTCCATCATCACCACATACGCACCTCTATGGACGAACATCACCATCGACACCAGTCCTAAGGCTATGAACGTCCTGAAACCATACAGATGCCTCCTCGACGTCCTTAAACATTCGCAGGACCAACCGCTCTCCATCCGTTTCGTCGAGGGAGAAGACTCCATGCTTTCCGTCACCCACATGCTCCTCCGCATCCTCATGAAGCACGCTCCTCGGTGGAAAAGCCTCGACTTCACCTTATCCAACCCCGAGACACTAGCCGTACTCGACGCTGTTCGTGGACGTCTCGGCTCTTTGGAGTTGCTCAAGTTTTCTGGCTCTCCTGGGATGATTGCGGACATGCCCTGGTCAGCGACGCCATGCAGTATCTTTGCGGATGCGCCCAAGCTGAAATCCGCCGATGTATCTATGGGAGGCTTCACGCTGGAGCTCCCATTCGCTCAGCTGAAATCATTCAGCGATCATTGGTGCGGCGCTCGGGCCAAAGAGATGTCCATACCCGAGGGCATATCGAAGTACCTTCAGGAGATGGGACAGGTGGAAGAGTACAAGCTCTATGGACCCGAACTCAAGAACGTCACGCCCATGACCGACAACATACGACTCCCTTTTCTGCGTACTCTTCACGCCGGAGACCCACGTGTCCTTCGATCCATCATCGCACCCAGGCTGGAAGAAGTCCACGTCCAGCTGTTCAACAAAGATTTCCGAGAGGTGAACCTCCCCGTCCTTCTGTTTCTAATCGAGAGATCCCGCTGCTCCTTGCGCAAGATCACTTTCGGAGATTGTATGCCGGTGGTGAACAAATTTATTTCCATTCTTCGGGTGTCGCCCGCGCTGGAAGAGCTCGCGTTGAGTTTTACCGTGTGGAACGATAGGATGGATTCCTGTCTTCTGGAGATTTTGCCCTCTATTCACGTCAAAGAAGGGGGAGAGGGAGAGGGAGATAGAGAAATGCCGTTGGTGCCCCGCTTGACCAAACTCAACATTATCGTTCAACATAAACATAAGTCGCGCACGGTGCCATCAATGTCGTTCCTGAGGGATACCTTGATTGACGCAGTCGAAAATCGGCGCAACCACAAGATGACGGGTGTGGCTAAGCTTGCCAGCGTCGAGGTACGAGCTGCTGTTCTGGTTAAGCAGGATATTACTGTTTCCCCAGGAGCGGGGAACGTGGAGAGATGGAATAGGTTGAAGGACGGAGGAATGGGGGCGTTGTTTCATGTGATTGGGGGTAAGGCCGACGAAGAGTGTTCGCCCAGCAATTCGCGTATGATACGCGTCGATCCCGATCCCAGAAGTCCTGCATATCTGCAAAGAGAGTACGTCTGAGGAAATGGGATAAAGTGAAGAAAAATCTTCTAATATTGTACTACTTATACGCTCCTTCGTGATATTTACCATTCGTCATTTTAAAAATTAAAAGCCATAATACGTTAAATGTGAATACAGTGTACATTATAGTAGAGATTTCGAAATATTCATTGAATGGACCTTAACCCGACGTCGTGCCATTGTAAATGAGTTCGTTGATTGCCAGGCTCACTGTCAATCCGAAGTTGTCCTGTATCAAAAGAAGCATCAGCACCTACGAGGTACAGCATCGGTCTTGTGTTTACTCACCGATCCGGTAGCCCATTCCTCCAAGACCGCCAAATAAACTTTAGCGTCGCTAATGTTGATGCCGCCACCAAACCCACTCCCAACGCGCTGCGAAAAGTCCGGCATGGTTAGATTAGCTGGAGCAGGATGGGTGGGGTACGGAACGGCTAAGCAGATGTGTTTAATGGAAGCAACATAAACATGCTTATGACTGACCTGGGTAGTTAGGGTAATCGAAACGACCGAAATAGTGTCCGCTGGACCACTCATTAGATGAGTAAAGAGAGGTGGGGAGCTTCGTAAGGAGGAAGACGGTATAGTTGTAGGTGGACACGCTGTAGTCCGCCATGGGATCGTACGAGAAGGCAAAGCTTTGCCCGGGCAGGATGACCGTCCCATTGACCGGCGAGGTGATAGTACCACCAGCTAAGATGAGAACTGGGAAGGCGAAGAGAGTAAGAAACAAAGGAAGGAAGTACATTGTTGTTACTGAAGACTACTGACTCTGACAAAAGCGCTTTTATAGTCCGTCCCCGGGGGAGAGATACAAGCGACAGTCAAGCTGACTGACCAGGGGGGCAGGCACGGGCGCTCGCGGCGGGCCCAGTTCCCGAAGTATGGAGGCATTACTCAGAATTCGGCGCTGAAAAACTTTGAGTGACCGAGAGAATGCGAGAAAATCGGTAAAAGGCCCATGAACATCGGAGAGCGCGGGGAAATTATGAACTTTCGGACTTTCAAAGGTCAAGTCGCATGTACGGATGATACTGCAACGAGATTGTAATATGCACTTTGAGGTGATATAACGCTTGAAGTCCCATCTTAACATAGGTCCCGGTCTGCAGTGACTAGACATTGGTGAAGGAAAGATCAAACGTGGGAACGAGTACTAAACAAGGTGCGTCACTGGACGACTTGTTTCATCTTTCTCCGTCGGACTTTTCTACGCCGTAAGCTTCATGGCTGGAGCTTCACGAGGTCCACCAAGGTCGGTTACTGCAGTATCAAGCGAAGACATGAATTTTTGGGGCGCAAGATAGGTGAACGGGGGAATGGAAGTTATTTAGTTTTGACATGGGCGGTCTGCCGTTGCACGAGTTTTTATCCCCTAGCCGATCTGTTTCCCAGTGTCGTTTCCAGTCAGAATCCTTTATAGACTAAGAGTAGGAACGATAGAAATTCGATCGGAAGGCATTATGCAGAGAACTGTTGGTTTCGAGAAAAAGACTCGCATTATGTAAACTAGAGGGTACGACAGAAAGAGAAGGCGGGTTCCTTGCCAATCCTTAGGGGTCGCAGATCGAAGGGATGTTCGATCTTTACGAAACATAGTGCCCCACCCTATACAAAAGAATTCATTCAGCTGTAGAATGAAAAACGTAGAATGCACATGCACTACCGACTCCCGAGGAATCCCATCGAGCTAGAAACGATCCAAAATCTCCCCAAATCTCCCACTTTCCTCGAGCTGCATCATGATCTTCCCCATAAGAGATTTTTCTGCAGGAATCTGCCCAAGTTCAAACACCTTGCCGTCCCTTCGATGATATACCTCCTTCCCATCAGACGGGCGCACCTTGATGCACGCCTTCACTGTCTCCACATACCCCGGGTGATACTCCCTCTCTAGTTGCGCCAAAAGCACCGCCTCGGGGATCTTCTTCCCACGCACGGCAGTTCGTAAAGCCATGATTAAGTACGCCAATGCGTCATGGTCGTACGGCCCATTTTCGAACAAACGATGTCGGTAATGAAGGAACGCCATGGCGAATCGCATATCGGTATATGTAAATGCAAGCGGTACCCCATTGCTATCCCAGAGGATGTAATCTGCATGCGGGTAGACTTGAAGATAACTTTTCTGCTGGGCCAGGTCGACGTACTGGTGATAATCGAAGTCGTCGAAGTGCCTTGGCTCAGGTAGGTTGAAGTTAGGTCCGACGGCGTTCCGTGCGGGGACTCTAGGTGCTGGGTTGGGGATAGGGATGAGTATGCATGGTGGAGGCATTGCGTCCTCCGGGAAGTGTACGATTACGCAAACATCCTTCTTTGGTCCTACTTGAAGTCCGAGCTTGGCTATCGCTCCCGTACCAATAGTATATGACGGAAGCTGTTGAGTGAAGCGTTTTAATTGCCTCAAAGCTTTGATGATAACGTCAACATCGTTGCGAGATACTTCAGGTATAGAGAATGGTGGACCCCGTTTAACAAGGGCCTGCATTCGATTCCATAGAGGTTCCCCATATTCGCGCTTAAGTTGGTCCTGTACGGAACGTTCTCCAGAAACACCACCTTGAGTCTGAAGTACTCGATAAACGTAGAGCAGAGCTCCTTCCGCGCCAGGACCAGACGTGGTGAAGAGCATATTCCGCATGTGAATAAATGCGACAGCACCAGGGACCTCGTCGAGCTTGATACCGAAGACATCGTCTGTGCCAGGTTTTGTTTCGACAACGTAGTCGTACTTTGTGCTGAGTTCGAGGTACTCGATGAGTCGAACAGCGTGTGGTGACCGCCGATGCCCAGGTGGACATGTCGGGAGGTCAGGTCTTTTGGTGTTGCTTTCGCTATCTCCGATGTGAACGTCGTTAAATGCGGAAGAAATATCTATCAAAATGGATGAATACTAGTCGCGGATGAAACGGCTCATCATACCCAAAGGCTTGCCGCATTCTTTCTTATGCTGCTTCCAATCAGCCACTTGGCAGTCACGACCGCAATATCGAATCTCGCGTCCGATGGATTTGCACCGAGAGCAAACTGTCATTTTACCGTCCTTCTCTTTGTCTTCGACCTTGAGACAGCACTGACAATGGAGCTTCATCTCTTTGCGACGTTTAACCTCGTCCCTCTTAAATTGCTTGCTTGCAGTCTTTCCCATCATATTCTCGAACATTTCCGAGTGGTTCTTGAGAGTAGACTTGGTTTTCGAGTGTTCAGTGGTGAAGACAGTGATCTCGGGTGTTATACCTTTGTATGACATGAGGACGTTCATAACAAAGTTTGCTGGGCAATGTTGAAAAGCTGCTAACACAGATATGTATTTCCACGCACCTATATATTCTGATCTGATCATCCTTGCCATTGAAAGTTGTGCCAAGCGAGCCTTATGAGTGTCATCTTCTTTGAACCCAACCATTTTGTCGAACCGAGAGTTGGCCATAACATGAGGCTGCGTTGGAACATTGGCGTTATCTGGGAGCACGAGCTGGTGCATGAGATCGAGGAATCCCTGTCCACCTTCCCGCGTAACCTCGTCCCTGTTCAGCTCCGGACAATCCGCCTTACTTCTGATGAACGTGACATAGGTCGTGTTTTGCTCTGCCGCGCGCAGACCAGCTAAAAAATGCTTCTCCCGCTCCTCCGCTGAGAGTGCAAGCCACTCCTTCTCAAAGTCCTCCTCAGTTATAAGGTCGACGATGCGGCATGATCGCCGGAGCTGATTGGTGGCAGTGAAACGACGGAAGTGAATGAACTCGAGAACAACGTCTTCGTTCGTTGTTTCTTCAAAGACCGAGGCAGATTGTGAACGAAAGTGGTGGGAAGACAGAGGAGCTTTTGGGTCGTAACGTGCTTTGGTGTGACGATCCATTACCGTCCACCAATCCGCTGTGTGCGTCTCGATGTCGGGGGCATCAGGAAAGCCTAATATTCGGTCAAAGGGGGATTGATTCAGATTTTTGATTGGTGGCATGAGAGGCCAGTCGATAGTGAGAGAAATCGCGAGGCGGCGGGGAAAATAACAATAATTTGCAATTACAATTAGGGGTGGGTGCCCTAGAATCTTTTCCGTAAATATATTCCAACACGCGCGTGGACTGTGTTTCTGCTGACTTCGCCCATACTCAACGTGTTTTCAGGGATGAGACCACGGAAATATACAAGGCACCCTGCGATCTCGGACCGAGGGGAGGACCTTTGGTGCGCTCTGGTGCCCGTAGATTGTGAGTGCAGAGACCGTTACATCGAGCCGTCCGCAAGCGCGATCGAAATCATACCAAAAGAGTCAGCTCATTCTCAAATGCAAGAAAATAACATACATGGCTATCAAAATTAACGGATCCTGCTCAAAATCCAGTTACGTAGATGGTGATGAACTATGATATCGATAACGATGGGATGAGATATTCATGAGTCAGAAATGTAGAACCCGTTGACACGAAGAAGGGAAGAAGGATGCTAAGGGTCTGCATCATTATGCAACTATTTAGTAGATATGGGCTCAGGGCAAAGGACCATTTAGCTCAGTGTGTTGGCCCGAAATATGAGTAAGTAATAGATGATTCCTAGTAAATATCGGTGATTATGTGATTATATTTACAATAAGGTAGGAAAAGAAAAACCCACCACGATCAAACTCAGAAGCCGTGTTAAAGACGTGGAAGATAAGGGAAGAATGCCAGTGAATAGATCGTAACATTGAAGGTTTACTCTTGATTAGGATGGACGGGAAGTGACGTGTTCCGTCGTCGAGACCGTTCAACGTTCAAATGTCCAGGTCCGAAGACCAGTGCTCCACTAACTGGCGGTGATTGAGAAGAATATTTAACGTAGTTATATGAACCACTGCGCATGCACGCATTTTTTGCAAGATCGTACCAGGGGAAAGTGACGCGTGGGAGCAATATTTTAAGGCGTCACTCTTCTTCAACTCCCATGATGTCTACCCTGGTGGCTACCTCAAAACAGCTCTATTCCCACCGGCCGGCAACGCAGATGTCCTGCAACAAAACATTGTTAGCCGGCACGAGTTACCCGACTCAGGACTAGGCGCGCTAGTTGCTCAGCTGGCAGCTTGCATATGGTAGAAAGTACAATATACAGACTGCTGCTTCGCTCTCAATGATATATGGGGCTTCACGGGACGTGATGGATGGATTATGCATGCTCTGTTACTTGTCTTCAAGGTTTGGCCAAATGTAGAAACGAGACTATGCCCTTCTAGGCTCAAGCTTTCGTATTCCAGCGTCTATCCTGCACCCAAGCTGGAGAGCTTCTTTCTTATATAGGATATTCGGGTTCACTAAGACGCGTTGTTCCACGTGTAGAGATGTTGAAGAGGCATAGATTCGGAACTCGTAGAATTCTTCTCCCCGTCTTCGGTCTGAAGAGTGTAGGAAATGGCTACCGTCTTACGGTATGTTGTGACAGGCTTTATATTTCTTACCCTTATCAGATTTCAGTCCGCAATCCTGCCCGGAAGTCAGAGCGAATGTACTCTCGTTACGCCCAGCTTGTCTTAGTAGGAAAGAAAGAGCGCTTGGATGAAAATTACTTATCCGAAGTTCAAGAAGTTAAAAACCCGACAGTCGAGGCGAGTCTGATCTATATAATGTTCCTTGATACACGGATTTTGAGTATTCATTGAAGCTATGGAATGCAGTGTCTAGTACGTTTGTATCCTAAAGCGTGAGTTGATTTTTACAATTATTATTTACTCCATGCAGTGGCTGACGCACCTTATTAGTTTCATGTATAGTA